TCTGAATCGGTACCGTTTAAGTCAATGCCTAACATTGAAAGTAAATTGTTTATCCCTTTGCTAATACATTTCTTGGCTAAGTAGGAAATAGTTTCATTTTTAAAACAAATATTGCTCCTTAGTTTTCTGACTAATATAAGTGTAAGGGAAACAGCTTGAATAACAAAAAGAAAAAAATACAAATAGTCCACATCTTTAAGGCGTAAAATGTGGTGTAACAGACTTATAAGCAATGCTTGAAAATAAGTGTAATTGTTTGTGCTTATTTTTTCTTTTCCTGTGTAGGTGTTGCTGATTTGATTCTCAGAAAATATTTTTGTAGCAGTGGTTTGTTGATCTAGGAATGACATCATTTTTGTTTTATTTTAGTGCAGATACTTTTTATTCCACCTACGTTAACGAATAAAATAAGAAGTCGAGAAATATGTATTAAAACTTAACTTAACAATTATTTCATCAACCTAATTAACTAAATTTAAATTTCAACGTTGTTAAACGTTTGTTTATTTTAGTCAGTAGAGTACGCAGGGGGGGGGGGGAGCAGGGGGAGCGGCCGCTCCCCCTCTGGCCATTTTGAGCAAAGTGGCGCCTTTTTGGAAACTTTTTAAACTCAAAGTTTTAAACAATGATATTTGTTAAAAAAATATTTTTGGTCGGCACATCTATGTAAATCCCAAGATTTCTTTTCATGAAGCATTTAAGCATTATTGTACTAGTCTAGTAGTGTCTACGTTTACAACACGTATTAACAGCTGCATCAGTTTGCCATTCTAAAAATAACCAGTACGATGCATTGCAATGTTTAAAAACCTCTACGGTAGTACCACTTTGCAAGAGGGGTGTTAAGTTTACGGCAACTGTATAATGTATTTGCTTACGAATAATTGAATTAGAAAATGTTATACATAAAACTTCACACATAATTACTTTATATATACAGCTTGAATCGTGTGATTAATTTAAAAAAAATTACAATACAGAAACAAATACAACTGATGTGGCACCTCTATTTAAATTTACTTATGAGCAAACTGCGTATTGGTGGGGAAATTTTGACAAGGTCAACAACGTCATCACGATGAAGTAGTAGTATTCTTACAGTTTGGGCGATAGTGATTACAATTACAAATTATATGAAACAGTTACAACCCCCTCCCTATAGACCGCTCTGTAAAAAAAATATTGTCATAATACAACTGCTACTTATTTAAATCTATTTCTGTAATATATATTTGTGTAATATATATTTGTGTAATATATATGTATGTTTAGAACAGTCATCTAAAAACTGACGCTATGTTCACTCTGAGTTGGTTATCTCCCCCCCCCCCCACACACACACCTCACCACCACAATTGTGTAGAGCGACATTAATGTCACACCTAGGTATACACTGGGTTGGATAATTGACCTAAAGTGACCGGACAGTGGTGAATGAAGTTGAACCCCCCCCCCCAACCCACCCCGAACTGATCTGTTAAGTACATGTAGAAAAACGCGTAATGATGTACCAAAGTACCATGCCGCCAGAAAATTAGCTTTTTAAACGTAAAACTGTGAATATTATTTTTGCAATTACGAGTAAAAAGGTATGTGATCAATACAGTGATCTAACCCATACCTATCACTATGTTAAAAAATGATCTTTAAAGAACAGAAAGAAGCAGTAGCTAATTAAAATAAATGATATGAACTAAAAGACCAATTGTTAGTTAAATGTAGGCTGTTATTCCGAATATTTTTCTATGACATCAATAAGCGCGGTTTTATACCAACGCTGATTTCATAAGCTTTTATTATGCTGTAATACTTTAGCATTTATGATGACGATATATTAAATTTTGATTATAGACAAAAACATTTTGTAAAAACGAATAGTGTCAAACGATTTCATTATATTCTAAAGTAATTATTTATTTGTTCAAACATTTATAATTAAATGTGTAGATATATACATATTTATATTAAGATAGTGATTATTTCCCCTATTTCACTTGTCTTAAATATTTCCCAGGAATTATTATGTAAGAAATTTTTTTTACAAGAATTACAAAACAGATTGTGTTACGTTCATTGTTTTTGATTGTAGTGTATATATATATATATATATATATATATATATATATATATATATATATATATATATATATATATATATATATATATATATATATATATATATATATATATATATATATATATATATATATATATATATATATATATTAGATTGATACAATTTTCGTTTTGTCGGCCTACATTGTATGTTTTTTCTTATTTCTTCAGAGTGCTACTTTCAATTTATTTTACATCATAGCGAAATAATGACATACAGCTAGTAATTATATATATATATATATATATATATATATATATATATATATATATATATATATATATATATATATATATATATATATATATATATGTATGTATGTATATATATATATATATGTATATGTATATGTATATATATATATATATATATATATATATATATATATATATATATATATATATATATATATATATATATATATATAAACGTATATAGAACGTGTTAAAAATTCGGCGCCTTTTTTTGCTCTTTTCGCTCCCCCTACAACGAAAACCTGGATACGCCTCTGATTTTAGTGCAAATAATTTGACCTATTTTAAGTAATATAATAAGCATGTTTATTAACTGCCACACGGTTTTACCTCATACACATTTACAGAGACAACTACAAAGCAGTCAAATATTAATAATAATTTTAAAAAGTCATTTTTATTACATCATAAATACAACCCGAAGTGGTTTAACTCTGTATGTGCCCTTTGTCTATTAAAATGTATTAAAATGACATTTAAAATGCCTTTTGTCTATCGTATGATGTATTAAAATGACATTTAAAATAAAAGAATGTTGACATAAACGATTTACATAGGAACATACCTTTGTAACGTATCCACCACAAGAACAGTGTATAGTCTAGAATGTAGGCACACACCGAAAAAACCAGCCCATAGTAGGGCACACAACATTATTTTTCTGTATTTCTTATCTAAAACACGTCATACTTAGACTGCGTTAAATATTCGATGATAACATTGTTGGGTTTGCAGCTATGTGGGTCTAGAAGGGTGTGTGGCAGTTGTTTGTATAAATGTGTTTAGTGAGACTATGTTGCAGTTGTCTGTTTAAATATGTAAAATATGTGCGCGTCTATCTGTATACATTTTCACTTTTGTAAACTTAAAATAAAAGTGGAGGCGAGAGAGCAGAAGAGAAATCCTTGCTCCCAATGTGTTTAATTTGTTTGTTACTAATACATTATGAGAGAAATATGAACTCAAGACAAAGGAAAGATTAAGGTAATTTTGTGCATTTATATTGAAAACTATGGCCAATCTAAAATTTACCCGAAGTCTAACTCACACGTTGGTCTACCCAAAGTTAAGGACCCTTGTTTCTTTGACCCTTATCGTATATACTGCAACCCTGCTGTTGAGTAAAACTTTCCAGTTTCATAAGTATATGTCAAGCTGATTTCAAAAGCTAAGTTACACTTTTAAAAAAGATCTTATATTGAAAAGGGTAGTTTTTATTATCTCGCCATAATAAAGATTAGTGGTTTAGCCGACTCTTACATTTATTTTGACTTGTAAATTGCCACTATAAACTGGTAGCTTTTGTTATTTTTACGATACGAATTTTGGGTGTTTCCAGAAACTGGTGGATGATTTAAATCCTCTCTAATAGAATTTACAGCTATAAATAAAGAAACGGGTCTTGTAGCAACATATCTCAGATTATATAATGTGTGTCTTGCTAAGTTGTGTGTCGTGGCTTGATGTGTGTCACCAGCTTCTATTAGACAGCATCTTGTGGATCTCAATGGTAATTAACCTGTCGTTCCAATTTGTGACAGCTTTGATACGAGCGTACTTGAAAACCTTTTTCTTCTTCTTTAATCTTAATTATAATTTTGGAAGGAATTCTCTCCAATATATTTGAATATTACGTGTCAACTTGTTATGCGCAATATAAGACGTTGGCTCATATTTCAGCCTCCTTTTCTTTTTGGATTTGCTTCCAAAGCAGCAGTTTGATTATGGAGTTGTTTCAACTAGAAAGTGGTGTCCCAGCTTTCGAGCTTCATATGCCCAAGGGTTTGAACTCGGGACTATTCGGTTTATCAGCCATGAGCTTTACTGACTTGAAGACGCCGAGCCCTCGAAATAACCTGATACTGATGTAATCTCTCCAAAGGCATCTTCTGGTAACGCATCTGTTATGTGTTACCATCTCACTTCTCTAGTCTTTTACTCTATTTCGTGGTGTATGACAGCAAGAGAGAGAGAGAGAGAGAGAGAGAAAGGGAGAGAGAGAGAGAGAGATAACATTTAAAATTATAGAGAGTACTATGTATTTACAGACACTCAATCGAGACACTTGAGTGCCATAAATGTGCTTTATATTCTACCACCCTGTTTATATTTATGAATATAATACCCACCTCAAGCCTATCCAGACAATGTTACATTTAAAGTTAATAAAACACTTAAACTATAACACAGAGGAAAAATATATTTAAAAAGAAAAATACTAAATGGTTGAATTTTGTTTATTTGATTTAAAATATTAATAAAGACAATTATAAACCAGAAGGTAAAATTAATGATGATAATGCTTGTTGAAATCTAGTCTGTGTTCTACTTTTAGCATATAATCTAAATCTAGATTGAAATGTGAGTCAATGTAAAACAATTTCTATACACATAAAAAACATCTGACAAAAATAGAAATAGTCTTTGAATATAGAGCTTTAAAGTATTGATATATGCGTTTTAAATTTATTTTTACTTTTATTAAAGAGAAAATAGTTTAACTTATAACAGCTTACACAGAGTAAACAATGATTAAAACAATTGTCAAACAACTTGTATAAATCTGATTTAAGCACAGGAGTGCCCTGTCAAATGCTGCTCCAGACATGTCCAATGAAGATGTTCCTCCGTTACCCATCTTGACCACCAAATTTGCCGTCTATGGTTAAGTACTTCACGTTCTCTATATTTACCTCGTTGCAGTCTCGAATGGTATTTGAGGTGTAATTTAGATTCACAGTTCTGAAAAAAAATGTACATCTCTAAATAAAAATATTGTAATCGTCTGTTGTCAGGCTATTGTAAAAACATTTTTTTCCAATAACTATATTTTTGTTGAAACTTACACAATCGTCTTTACCACCCTGCTAGCAATTTGTTTTCTAAAGTTTTTTGTTATTTTAGTATTTAGCGCCCGCTGAAGTGAATTGAAGGCAGCTAATACAGGAAGAGGAACGACCATCGGTGTGGCAAGTTTTGTTTTATTTTGTTTTGTTTCGTAAGCATTTTCGATTTTATTCCCATCCAATGTGTTTGGATTTGTAGAATTGTTTAAATCAAGGCCCGTACATTTTTCTTTCCTTTTTTTACCACATGCCTTATATTTCCAGAAATATTTTCTTCTGCAGGATAAAGTATTGGTCCACTGGCGATTTTGTTGTTGAAAGTGATGTTTGCAGGTTGGGATCCGTTTTCTGACAAGTTTTGAGCTACATTTTAAAGGATCGGCTGAACCACAAAGTAAACATTTATATCTGCCGGCTTTATAGCTGGTAGTTTTAGCTTTCTCAATGGACGAATTGTTTCTCATTGTCTTATCCTGATGGTTTATATCACCACTAGTGCAGGGGCTTAACAATTTGACAAACTGAAATTAAAGTAAAATGCAGATTTGTTTGTATTTTGGGTTGTATTTAAAAATTAGGCTTAAATCTTTGTGAACTGGATTTAAATTAAGTTGAAGAATAATTTATTTAAGTCTAATAATCACTAAAATATTGTGAATTTTGTGTAAAAAATTGGAACATGAACTAGTTAATTTGGTTATTAAAGACATAAAACTTTTGGATAACTGCTTAAACATTCACACAAATACTAACCGTGGAGGTTTTGTTCTGATGAAAAAAAAATCAAGTCTAAATACAGTATAAGAAAAATAGATTTAAACTATTATACATTTAACATACACGTTTTTTCTTTTTCGTTTCTTTCTGTTTTTGGCGATACATTGTCTGCTAGTTTCTTGTTTGATCGTCTCATGATGTTGACCTAAACAGGAACAGTTATATAATTACTTTTAAAAAAAAATAGTCTTCCTTAAATTCGTACGACTATAGGTACATTTAGATTTAAGGATGACAATTTTGATCGTAGTTTACCTTTTGTTTTACCTAGTCCGATTAAATTCGTTTGACCACTGTATTGGACGTTCAACATCTCGTGTTTTTCAAAGCATTTCAGACGATCCTCTCCAATCGTTTCAAGTTTTGTCTGTGTTCTATATCTTTTACAAATTGTATTTGTCGACTTTCGTGATTTTTTAAGATGAGTAGATTTTGTGGATTTTGTTGGTCTAGATGTAGAGCTGGTAATAAGCTGTGTAATGTTGGTACTAGCATGTGGTGTAATCCTGGTGTACACTATAGGTGTTGTAGGTGTAGCGGATTCAGTATCAAAACTTGTGGTAGTATCATCTCTTGTGGTACAAACTGCTGATGTTGCATTAGTAGTTGATGCAGTATCCGTACTAAGGGTTGTATAAACTGGTGTTGAACAGTCCAACTCAGTGTTTGTTTTTTCTTGGTTTTCTTTTGCAGATTTAGCGCCGTGTTGTTTTAGAAATTTAACGACACGATAGTGACATCCTAGAGTGGCCACATCCAAGGCTGTCTGACCGGAAGTGTCAACAATGTCAAGGCTCGCGCCATATTGTACTAGTACTTCGACGACGGAAGGATCAATCCACCCATTGATGTAGCGCAATGGGGCTTTACCGTACTGATCCTTGACGTCAACACCAGCTCCGGCTTCCAGTAACATCTTCATGATTTCCGGGTCACCAATCTTAGAGCTGTAGTGTAAAGCTGTTTGGTTGAAGTTATCTCCAATGTCAAGATCATCTGTATATTTCAGAAGTGTTTGCACTGTTTTTTTAAATCGAAACATTGCCGCATAATGTAAAGCCGTTCTACCATCTTTGTCTTTAATATTTGCCGAAGCATTTGCTTTCAGAAGAGTTTCTGTCAAGACGCTATTGTGTTTCTGAACACTGTAGTGTAAAGCTGTTTGACCATTTACGTCAGTTGTGTCAAGAATATCTTTACAGGTTACCAGTGTTTGAATTGTTTCATTATTCATGAATTGGACAGCATAGTGTAATGGTGTTTTGCCTTCGTTGTCTCTGATGTTTGCTAAAGCTCCAGTTTCCAGTAAAAAAAACATCATATTGCTTTTTCCGTATTGTGCTCAATAGTGTAACGGTGAACTTCCGATTACATCTGTTCTATTAATATCCCCGCCTTTTTGAAGAAGTGATTTGACGATTTTCTTACCTTCATAATCAGCCAGATTAACATCAGCGTCTGCGGCCAACAATATATCAATTATAGCTTTTTTCCCATTTTCAGCAGCAACACGTAAAGCTGTTTTATGATAAATATCATCCTGTTCATTTACATTAGCTTTCCATTTCACAAGAAGGTTAACGAAATCTGCATGAACTCTTTCAACGCTTATATGTAAAGGAGTTTTTCCTGGCCAATCATCTTTTGTTTTTACATTAACATCCGCTCCACCTTTCAACAGAAGTCCCCCCAAAACTAAGTTGTTCGTCTCTGCATAATGATGTAAAAGAGCCATACCATATAAACCCTACTGTTTATGTCGATGCCTAAACTTGAAAAAAAGTCTTTTACTACAGAATTACTATCATTATCCTCAAACTTTTGGTGTGAAGTAGTAGTTGGTTGATTCGTTACTGGCACTTTATGTTCACTTTATTTTGTTTTAGCATCGCAAGGACTCACTTTATTAAAAATTATCAAGAAAAAAAGCGACCTGCAAAAGCAAAATTAGATGCTCACATGTTTTTGTGTATAAAAGTGTGAATTACGTTGAACTAAAAGTTTTGATGAAATATAGGAATCTGATTTCTTAATGGTGCGAATAGAAAATGTGCCTTTAAAAGATTTACATATGACTTTATACTTATTATTCTGAAATAAAATTTGAGGAACCAATATTTCTAACCTATTGCGAAACACATTACAGCCTTCAGATATAGAATGAGTTTATTTAAATAAATTAATATAAAACTGTCACGCTGGAGTAGTAGTCAGCGTATAAGGGCGGTAGGAGTGTGGGACAGGAGTTTCTGACAAACGAAATAAAAATAAAATTTCTAATGTTTTATACAAGCCTAGCCTAAGAATTTACTAAAGATAAAATGAATCTTTTTATTTTAATGTGTACTTCCTATTTAATTCTATTTTTGGTTAATAATAAAAAATATAACTTCTGGGTTTGATAAAAAACTCAAATTAAACTGATTTAAAAAAAAACAAAACGTATTGCTGCAAATAACATAATGTGTCATAATTAAAGATTTAGGTATAAATCACATACAATTTAGTAGACATGCTGTACCTTTTTGGTGTAAAACTGCACAGGAAAAGCGTAGAATGAAGATCTTTAGGCAATCTAAAAAGAATACACACTTTCTATTCCGTAGGCCCTACACACCAAGCAGGTAAAAATAAGTCATAGTATTGCCGGGAATTCCCCATTTATGTATTGGATAAACCCAAGACTGTGCATACAGATGTCTGCATAATGTATCGTTTAAAATATTTAATGTAACTAAACTCTATATGCAGGCTTTACAAGTGAAAAGGAACTCTAATTAAATAAAACAATCGACATTTTGGTGCTCATCACACTGATTTGGTAAGAAACAGATCTACAATTTGGGAAACGTTTTCTCAAATTGAAATTATTTTGATAATTTCATTTGAACAAGACAGAGATTATTGAAAAATTCCAAAATTATTTTAATAATTACTTACAAGTCAGTTTTAAGACAATCATTCAGAATTTGTTTTTAGTATAAGTCAATCTAATCTACAAAATGAAAACACATTGCAGTGTCGCTATTTTGTTTCTCTTCTATACAAGACATTTAGGATAGAAATGCTTGCACATTTTGGCCAACATTTGCGAAAATAGAAAAGATTCGCATGAGTTAACGCACAACTGCACTATTGTTAAAATCAATCTTAGTCCTAATTCCTGATTAAATATTCGTTTTTACAATCTTTTCTTAGGCCTAAATGGCTGACTTTCAAGGTGTCTATAGGGCTGGTAAGTAGGTCACTAACCAGTTATATGGCTCATGCAGGTTTTATTGAGCCGTAGAGCTGATTGGTGACCTACTTACCAGCCCTATTAGCGTTATAGTTTTTTAATTTATTTTGATCAAATAATTATGAAACAATATCTTCTTATCAATAAAAATGAATACAAAGATTGCTATAGCCATCATCAGAAGGGGAGTTAGCTAGAAATTTAATTAATAATCTTGTAAGCTGTTAATGTTGTGATCAGATGATCTCAGACACCATAAAGGGCACTGTTAAATGGCCGGTCATACTTGTATAGAGTTAAAATCTAGCAATGTGCTGACCGTGTTTAAAACACATTATTGTGGTCGAGAATATTGTCTCTTTAATTTGACAGCAATTAAAACATTAAGAATAAAATTGATTGCCATTGGTTTTAACATTGATTAGCTATCTAATGTTTTCATTTTCAAAATAGAATATTGTCAGCTTTTCTTGGCGTAGCTGTATTTTTGGTACACAATACTTATGTAGTATCGACATTTCATGCTGGTGTTAATGTGGTATTGAAAGTGGGGTGTAAATATATAGTTGGTGATTCATTTGGTACTGTTTTTAATTAAGTTTATTATCATTCAGTTAGGTATTTACAAAGGTTTACCATCTTGTAGTTTACTTTTTTGTTGAGGGATTCCAAGGCTGATCTTTTAGACTTACTTTGTTGCGTATATTTTTTTGTCTGGTTGTTGACGTGTTTTTAGGTTTATGGGAATGCAGCCAAATTATGACAATGAATTTATAATCTGAACAAAGACAATACATCCATAGTGTTTTTGTGGTCTGAATCGGCACATCAACATGCTGAGGCGTGGGCTTGGTTTATTTACAATACAAGGAGAATAATATTTGCTGTCAACAAAATTGTCATCCTAGGCAGACAGTTTCTCTCTTAAAGTTTTAGACACGTTATGTTTACAGTTTGTTTATTAGCTTTATAGTATACAATTTTAAATAGAGTTACAACTGTGTAGATATATAAAAATATGTGTTTTCAAAAGATGTTTATAAAATTGTTTCTATATTACCTATTTTTTAAATTTAGATATGGAGGTGCAGACAGCAAGTTAAGAGATCTTTTAATGTTTTTCACTAATAGAATGTTTATTGGGTGCACTTACACAAATGTTAAAGAGCTACCGTTTTAGGCTTAATACAATAATAAGACATTGACATAAATTGTGAAATTTTTAGTCTTAAAATTTAACAAGATAAAATAGTAGACTAAATAACAGTAAAACTAACAAGAAATACATATGTGCTTGCAAATTCCTAAATATTGACTCGTGTCTATTTCGCTAAAATCTTTTTAGTAAGAAACAGTTAAAACAGTTACTAAATTAGTCACTAAATTTGAGTTCTAACATTATTTCAATTTCCATATTAAATTCAAATAATGAGAGATGTCTCTTGTCAATGGCAAGTGAAATAACACTTTTACAAATCTACATTGGTCTACATAATTAATATTGTCTACGTATTTTATATATAGTATCTAAACATAGTCTACATTTGATCTATATGCTACACAAACACAGTCTACCCTGTACCCAGCCAGTATATCAGTCTTGTGCCACACTGGGGCAGTCATTCGCTGGCTAGATCTAACCTATGGAGAGTCCTCTCTCACAGACTTCTCTAAACTTGACGAATGAAGTTGCCATCCGTTAAACGATGCTCTAGGATTTTCCGACAAAGAGATTTAGTTTGCTGTCGATGGCTACGTACTTTGGTTTATTTATGTTTACTTCTTCGCAGTGTTTAATGATGGTTGGATTGTAATTTACATTCACATTTCTGAAATAGATATTTATTGATCTAAAAAGTAAGGCTAAATTGAAACAATGATATTGGGGTTTATAAGTAGGACTATTATATATAAGCTATAAAATAGGGACAATGATATGGGATATTTTTACTTACACATGAATATTTCCAGTGCTGCTAGTACTTTGATTTTCAAAATTTTTAGTCACTTCGGTATTTAGAGCGCACCGAATTACGTCAAGGAAATCATCACTTGCATCTGAAGTAGTGGTAGAAGTTGTTGGTGTTGTATCCATAGATGGTGCTGTATCAGTATCAGTACTTGGGGTAGTATCATCATTTGCATCTAGAGTAAATGTAGAAGCTGTTAGTGTTGTATTCATAGATTGTTCAGTATGAGTACTTGGGTTAGTATCATCACTTGCATGTAGAGTAGTGGTAGAAGTAGTTGGTGTTGTATCCTTAGATGGTGCATTATCATTCCTTGGGGTAGTATCATTAACTTCATCTGGTGTAGTTGTAGAAGCCGTTGGTGTTGTATCCATAGATGGTGTATTTGTAGAAGCTGGTGGCGTTGTCATACATGGCGATGAAGTTGTTTCTAAATTATGTATATATATATATATATATATATATATATATATATATATATATATATATATATATATATATATATATAGGTAATTATTTAAAGTTTGTGATTAATAGTTTGCATGAGATTACGTGCTATTTTTGAAAGGTCTTAAAATAATAGCCCACCATGGGATTGTCGGCTTATTAAATATCTAGAAAAACTAAACTGATTGAATAATCAGCATAACACACGTTAACTGATGATTACGCCTTAACATTAAAATTACGATGATAAAAATTCAAATATTTAACAGTATGATTTATTACAGTTTTTAAACGCATTATAGATCTGCTTTTCCAAGATCGATTTGAAAATCTATTTAGTTTCTGTTGTTTATTCTAATTCTTTATTGTGATGGTTTTTTTTTAAATATTAAATATTTACATATTGTTCATACTGTATTTATTCTTTTTAGTTTAACCAGTGTTTCTTCCAGGCCTCTCTTGGGGTTATGAATTTATATAGAAAATATATACGTTTAACCGTGTCTGCCCCCCCTCCTCCCCCGGAAATTTTTGTCCACCCTCCCGAAAATTTCAAGCGCCCCCAGGAGAAAAAGTGTGAAAGAAACACTGGCAAATACCGATATAAATTGTGCAGTATCAGTACTTTGGGTAGTCTCCTCACTTGCATCTGGTGCAGTGGTAGAAGCTTTTGGTGTTGTATTCATAGATGGTGTATTATCAGCACTTGCGGTAGTATCATTACTTGCATTTGATCTAGTGGTAGAAACTGTTGGTGTTGTACTAATAGCTGATGGTGCAATATCAGTAATTGGGGTAATATCATCAATTGCATATGGAGTAGTGTTAGAAGTTGTTAGTCTTGTATTCATAGATGGTGTAGTTTTCTTTCTAGCATCTGGAGTAATGGTAAAAATATAATGTTAGTCTACTATACTTTGACCTATTATGTAGGACTAGTCATTACCTAGTAGGGTAGTAATCTTAGTAAACACTAATGTAATGGTAATAAACACTTACATGTCACTGGTCTAAATCTCTTTCTGCGCCTTGAACAGTCCAAAACTTCGTCCATTTTCTCTTTGTTTTCTATTGAAAACTTAGCACCATGTTGTTTTAGAGCAGCAACTGCTTCATCATTTGACACCATAATGGCAATATCCAAGGCTGTCTTTCCTAAAGTATCTTCAATGTCAAGGTTAGCACCTTGTTGGATTAGTACTTTCACCAGAGAAACCGTTTGAAACCATGCAGCGTAGTACAATGGGGTTTTCCCGTACTTATCTCTGACGTCAACATCGGCTCCGGCTTCCAGTAACGCAAGGACAACCTCCGTAAGACCGCACCAGCAGCTGTAGTGTAAAGCTGTTAGTCCCTCATCGTCTGCGGCGTTAGGATTATCAACTAACTTCACCAGAGTTAAAGCTGTTTCTGTATGCCCGTTAAGGGCAGCATCATGTAAAGCTGTTCGACCACCCTTGTCTCTGATGTTTGCCGAGGCTCCAGCTTTAAGTAAAACATCGAGAATGTTGTTTTTACCCGTCTGTGCTGCGTGATGCAAAGCTGTTTTACCAAGATGGTCGATGCTATTAATTACCGCACCTTTTTCTAACAGTGACCTAACGAGTTTCTCACTTCCTTTCGCAGCAGCAAAATGTAAAGCTGTGTGACCCCGACAGTCAACTAGATTTACATCAGCATCTGCAGCCAACAACATATCACCTATTTTTTCATATCCATTTTGAGCACACAAATGTAAAGCTGTTTTATGTTCAAAACCATTCAATTCATTAACATTTGCTTTCCATTTCAAAAGTAACTCAACAAAATCTGTGTGACCTAGGTAGGTGCTGATAAATAAAGGGGTTCTCCCTCGATGGTTCTCTTTTGTTTTGACGTTAACATCCGCGCCTCCTTTTAATAAAAGTTCCGCAAAACATAAATTGCTCTGCGCTGCGTAGTGATGTAAAGGGACTTTCCCATTCTTATCCGTTCTATTCATATCAACGCCTAATGTTAAAAATATGTTGTTAAAAACACAGCTACTGTCATTCTCGACACACTTAATTTGTGCCGTGGTGGTCTGTTGACTCATTACTGGAAACATCTTTTTTTTTTTTCTTTCAGGCTCGTTTAGACTTGACCTATTGAAAATAATAGAAATCAACCGACCGTAATCACAAATAGACTTCTTTTAATATTGACACTGACGAAGTGTGCGCCTTAAACGAGATTAACAATATTTTTTTTTAGATCTAGCATCTACGTTTACAATAATTTGTGGTAAAAAGTTTACTGAAAAAAAGGTGTAGTTTGATGTGTAGTAGACTTCGACTAGCACCCTGGTTTATTACTAGCACCCTGGTATATTACTAGCACCTTTAGGTATTTTAATAGCGCACTAGTATGCTTCTAGCATTCTGATATGTTAGTGGGACTCGAAACTGCCTGACAGTGAAATTATTTTATGTTAAAAAGCAAAAAAAGGAACCACCGGTATCTGTGAGATAGAGATCTTTTAAACTGCAATAGGTTTTAGTCATCGTGTGTCAGAAGAAACGTATTATGATGACTTTGAACTTCATATGTGAATCAATTAGGTAAAATATATAGTGTTCTTACTCAATCAAAAATATGAGTCCACGGACGTTTTAACTGTTAATTCGTCTGTTAATGCGACCCCTTTTTTCCTGAAAGACATTTTACATAAGTCCGTTTAAAGTCAACGATTCTTTTTAACTTTTAAGATTTAAAAAGTAACAGCGTTTGCTTGTATGTATGGAACAGGTTTTGAATATATTGAAACTAAATTAATGATTGAGATAATTTTTATGTTTTGAAGATATCTCACTGCTTTTGATATGAAGACCGAATAACGTCTCTTTAAATCGATAAAATGAAAGCTAAACATATCCCTCTTATCTTAGTGTTTTGAATAACTTTAAATTCACCTTAAATAGAAATGTTGCTTGTATTTTAATGGATATCCTAAAAACTTTTTAAAAAATACACAGTATTAGTTTAACTAATTGTTGCACTGTTTCACACGCAATAAATTTAAATTTAACAAATATATAAACAGTTGATATATTATATTGCAGATTAAATAAATCAATTAAAAAAATCAATCCTACTTTCTAAAAAATTAGGCCTGTATAATTATTCGAATATTTAAATGGGAACAATATAATAAATATATATTATCACCTCACGATTCCACAATACAATTCACATAATTAACCGCCTTACTTACAATTTAGTACGTCACTTTTGAAGTCACTGCCACAGCAACAACGTAGAACAGGAAGGTGGGGCTTCGTGTCACTGAGGCAAGTTGTCACACAGTTCTTGAAGTCTAAGGTCTAAGTTTGTACATTGATTCCAAATATGGGCCATGGTTCGAAACCTTAGCCAATATAGTTTAATTTAAAGGGAAGCTACTCGCAATTTTAGCCTCTTACAGATAAAGACAGAGTGGATTTGTTTCATAGTATGAGTTATGTTTTCCAAAATTTACTACACTTAGTTTTGTGTGCTTATGTCATCCTTAAAATCATTTGTCGTCGAAAATGTGAAGTGAAATTTCGACCCATTTCGAACGGACCGATTTCTTTCTTGAGAACTCAGATCGTCTTCGTAGTATGTTAGCAGTTAAGAATCCATATTGTGTTTAACAATATTTAAGTACTATATATTATGTTTATTGTATTTATATAAATCTTTATTTCTAATTTCTCAAGAGGACAATCTTTGTTGTCATAAAATATATAGCAGTCTACAATGCGTTTAACAATATTTTAGTGTCAGTCTGTATATATCGTTATGAAATTCCCCTATATAGATCTATATTTTTTATTGCTTAAGCAAAGCCAAAAGAAAGAATTGTGATTTGATTTAAATTTTAAAAGTTTAATTAATAGTTATAATACAGCACAAGTACATGAAACATGTTTTTAAAACCACATTTATTTCACTTGTAGTGTACCTGTACAGATTACAAGATATCCCCTCCCCCCGTCCTTTCCCCCCCCCCCCCCCCCCCCCCCCAAAAAAAACAACCCCATAGGAACATATCCCATCTAAGTTTTATTTATCTTATTGGGAGCTCTTTTATTTTTTTCTTAAAGTATAAACCCAGGGTCGTTTTACTCTTACAAATTAATTTATTGTATACAAACACGCATTCAGCTTCAGTCCTTACAACCATAACGATAAATAATCACATATTACTTTTATCTATATGTAGGCCTATTTATTTTTAGTAGAAGTTCTGATATTCCCATTGATGGCCAGACAGTCGACATTGTTGATGTTTATTTGGTTAATGTGGTAAGAAATCGATCTATTAAGTCTGACATGATTTCTGAAATTGAAATATTTTTGTTGTTATTTTTTTATAAGACAATCACATAATGTTTAAAAAAAATTAACAAACTCTTACTCTTTATCTTCAGCCAATTGAAAGACCTTTACTGCAGTTTACAATGAAAAACAAACCCAACTAATTAAAGTAAATACAATCTATCAAAGTTACGACACGTTATTGACTCTTTAAACTGTCTTCCCATCTATAAACTCTTTCTACAATTTAAAAACCACGTTGCACTAAAGTTATAAGGTAGAAAATAAAATACATTCATAACATACTTTAAAATTTCAAATTAAAAATAAATATTATAGCCTGCTTGCTTGTTTTGTTAAGTATTAATGTAAACACGTTAGTCACTAGCACGCACTAAAAAGACTTTAAAAAATAAAATAGCTTTTGACGTTTTCTTATTTTAATGCATTTTATGTTATTGAAATTATCAAGCTTTTTAAAATTACTTATAATTACGTCTATGCCAGAATGGTCAAGAAGGAAAACTAAAGAGTAAATGAAGCAACAAGAATACCAAATAGCACTGGAATATATTATGTTTGTCTGATCTAATAACTAGATAGCAAGGGGGAAAATAAAAACTTACATAGTTGTGGATTTTCTGTTCCCTATTTTTACTACAGTCTTGATGCTAGTCTTTGCTTGTCTGACCATTGTGTCTTGCTTATCTAAACGGAAATATGCTTTTATTACTTATCAAACATCACTCTGTTTTGTTTATGACAACAAAAGCATGCTTTTATCAAAACAGGAGTTTATGAGTTTATGTTCTTAATATTAAATTTATATAATGTAAATTTAGTAATAGAAATTGGTGTTATAGTATCCGTACTTGGGGTAGTAATAACTGTGTTAGTCGTGATACAGTCTTTTGGTGTTGTATCCATATATGGTGCAGTATCATTGCTTGGAGTAGTATCTTGACTTTTCTTTGGAGTAGTTGTAGAAGCTGTTGTTGTTGTATCCTTATATGGTGCATTATCATTACTTGGGGTATTATCATTACTTGCATTTGAAGTAGTTGTAAAAGCTGTTGGTGTTGTATCCTTATATGGTGCATTATTAGTACTTGGAGTAGTATCATCACGTGCTTTTGGAATAGTTGTAGAAGCTGATGGTGTTATATCCATAGGTGGTGCAGTATCATTACTTGGGGTAGTTTCATCACTTAAAGATGGAGTAAAAGTAGAAGCTGGTGGCGTTGCAAAACTTGGTGATGAAGTTGTTTCTGAATTACAATATACAAGTTTTAAACAATTTTTTTGTGATTTAAAGTTTGCTTGAATTTATGACATATTTTTGGAAGGTCTTATAATAATAGCCTACACAGGAAATACGATGGAATTGTTGGCTTATTAAATATATAGATAAATTATGTCGATTTGATAATCAGCGTAACACACGTTGATTAGTGATTACGCTTTAACATTAAAGTTAAGATTAGAAAAATTCATATATTGTGCTAGAGATTATAGCTGTTTTTAAACCCAATAAAGATATATTTTTCAATAAAGTTAGAATCAGCTATAATGATAAAAATTTGTCATGCCAAAGATAGTAGTTAGTATTGAATTTTCCTTATTTTATGCAATTGTAAACAAAAATATTAAATAGACTTATACAAGCTCACCTGTCATTGATTTTACTTCAGTAAACGTTGAACAGTCCACAACTGTGCTGGTGTTTTTCTCTTTAATCTCTGCTGATGACATAGCGCCATGTTGTCTTAGAACAGCAAATGCTTCTTCGTTTAAAAACATAATGGCCACATCCAAAGCTGTCTGACCGTTGTTATCTGCAATGTCAAGAGTAGCGCCTCGTTGGATAAGTAGTCTCATGGTCTCAATCTGCTTGTACATTACACTGTAGTGCAATGGGGTACTTCCGAACTGGCCTCTGCGGTCAACATCAGCTCCAGCTTCCAGTAACGCCTCGACAAATTCTTTAAGAAAGCCCCGACAGCTGTAGTGTAAAGCTGTATTGTCATACATATCTCCGATGTCAAAAACACGTGTCTTTTTTAACAATGTTAAGGCTGTTACGGGATTTTGTGCGTACTTCACAGCATAGTGTAAAGCTGTTTGACCACTATTATCTATGATATCTGCTGAGGCTCCAGCTTGAAGTAAAAAATCGACAATTTCATTTGATCCGTCTTGTGATGTGTAATGTAAAGCTGTTGTACCAAAGTTATCAGTGCTGTTAAGATCCGCGCCTCTATCTAAAAGCAACTGGATGAGTCTCTTACTATCTTTAACAGCAACAGTATATAAAGCTGTCCAATTAGTCAAGTCAGCCGTTTCTCTTTTATTGCTAGCATGACGAATAATCGTATCTTTTTTAAAAAGCATCTTGTCAAGTTTTGAACTACCATGCCTAACAGCATAACGTAAAGCTGTCTCACCTCTCCCGTCAGCCAGATTTACATCAGCGCCTGCATCCAACAGAATATCCACTATTTCCACATATCCGCGTTCAATAGACACATGTAAAGCTGATTTTTTTTCATTACCATTCAATTCATTGACATTTGCTTTCCATTTTAAAAGGAGCTGAACAAAATCTTTGTGACCATTTTCAGCGCTAATATATAGTGGAGATTTTTCTCGCAGAAGCCCTGTTGTTTTGACATTAACATCCGCTCCTCCTATTAAGGATAACTCCCCAAAACATACGTTGTTCTTCTCTGCGTAAAAATGTAAAGGAGCCTTCCCATCTGAATCCGTACGGTTTAAGTCAATGTTTACCATTGAAAGTACATTGTTTATCACTATGCTAACACATTTCTTGGCTAAGTAGGAAATAGTTCCATTTTTAAAACAAATATTGCTCCTAGATTTTCTGATTAATGTAAGTGTAAGGAAAACAGCTTGAATAACAAAGAGAAAAAAATACAAATAGTCCACATCTTGAAAGCGTAAACTGTGGTGTATAAGACTTATAAGCAATGCTTGAAAATGATTGTAATTTTTTGAGCTTATTTCTTCTTTTCCTGGGTAGGTGTTGCAGATATGATCCTCAGAAAATATTTTTGTAGCAGTGGTTTGTTGATCAAGGAATGACAGCATTTTTGGTTAATTTGATTGCTGATACGTTTACACTTGACCTATTTTAACGAATAAAATAAGCATGTTTATTAACTGATACACAGTTTTACCCCATAGACATTTAAACAGACAACTACTAAGCAGTCAAATAATAATAAAAAATTCATTTTCACTACATCATTAATAAATACCGTAAAAGGTTTTTTGATCTCTATGTGCCCCTTGTCTATTGTATAATGTATTAAAATAACATTTAAAATAAAAGAATGTTTACATAAACGACTTACATAGGAATAACCTTTGTGACGTATCCACCACAAGAACAGTGTATAGTCTAGAATGTAGGCACACACCAAACATCAGCCTTTAGAAGTGCACACAACTTTATTTTTCTGTATTACTTATCTAAAACACGTCATACTCAGAGGCGTAGCTAGGGGAGGGCGGGGAGGGCGGCCGCCCCGGGCGCCGACCCTAGGGGGGCGCCAAAAGGGGTAGAAAAAAAATTTAAAGCTTATTTTAAGCTGCAGTTTTGAATTATAAACAGTCAAAATAAAGAAATGTAACGGCTGATTTAACTGTTTTCTACCTTGGTTGTGTAACTGTAAAACGTATATCTTTAAGAAACAGTGACCGGAAAAACAGCTTTCCAGCTTTCTTAGTTGGGGAGGGGGGGGGGGGGGGCGCTTTTTCGAAGACTAAAATCGGAAAAATTCACACCGGATTAAGGAATAAACCGATATCGCCCAGAAAAGAAACCCATTGAACTAAAGCGTATTTTACGATTGTGGAACATAAAAAAGAGTTAGCAGACTGTTGGAGCGGGTGGATGGGAAGCGACGCTCTTTGCCAAAATGTTAAGAGAGAAGAAAATTAGTATATTGTACTGATTATTACTTTGTTCAACCTAACTGATAATTCAAAATTGCAACATTGGCCTACTATTATCGAAATTGTTCTAAAGATACGACCAAAAGTAGACCAAATAAGGCTTGCACCGTCTACAAAATAACTCTAAAGCAGTGGTTTTTAACTTTTTGGAGTACCGAACCCAACCAGTTTCATATGCGCAATCACCAAACCCTCCTTAATAGTTGTATCGTCTACAATGAGAAAATCCGATCATGAATCCTATGAGTCAGGTGTGTATCTTGACCTCCGCGGAAGCCCTGAGACTGAATTACCGAACCTCTCGGGTTCGATGGAGCCCACTGTTCTAAGCTCTTTTGATTTTCTACTTTTTATTCGTTTCGGCATCTTAAGGGGAAATTAATTAACAATCAGCGTAATTGTTATTTTTTTTTCCAGACTGTCGCACACACAAACACACACACACACACACACACACATATATATATATATATATATATATATATATATATATATATATATATATATATATATATATATATATATATATATATACATATATATGGGGGGCGCCAAACTCATAGTTCGCCCCGGGCGCCGGGAGGGTTCGCTACGCCTCTGGTCATACTTACAATGCTTAAAAAATCGATAACATTCTTGCGTTTGCAGCTATGTGGGTCGAGACGGGTGTGTGGCAGCTGTCTGAATAAATGTGTTTAGTGATACTATGTATCAACTGCGTGTATATATGTGTTGGTCAATAATATGTTGCAGTTTTCCTTTTTAAATAAGTAAACCCGTTTTTAAAACATATGTGAGCGTCTATCTGTGGACATTTTCACTTTTGTAATTTTAAAATAAAAGTGCAGGCGAGAGACCAGAAGAGAAATCCTTTCTCACAATGTGTTAAAAAATTTTTCAGTTTGTTTGTTTCTAATAAATTATGAGAAAAATGTAAACTCAAGACAAAGAAAGGATTAACGTAATTTTCTGCATTTATATTGAAAACGATGGCCAATCTAAAATTTACCCAAAGTCTAATTCACATTTTGGTCTACAACCTAACATTATATCTAAACCCAAGTTTAAAGACCCTTGTTTCTTTGACAGTTTTCATATATACTGCAACCCTGCTGGTGAGTAAATCTTTCCAGTTTCATAAGTATGTGTCAAACTGATTTCAAAAGCTAAGTTACTGTTTTTAAAAAGATCTTATATTGAATAGGGTAGTTTTTATTATCTCGCCATAATAAAGATTAGTGGTCTAGCTGACTCTTACATTTATTTTGACTTGTAAATTGGCAGTATAAACTGGTAGCTTTTGTTATTTTTACGATCAAGAATTTTGGGTGTTTAAAGAAACACATGGATGATTTATAGCTCTAACATAGCTTACAGCAACTGGTCTTATAACAACATATCTGAGATTAGATGATGTGTGTCTTGCTAAGTTGTGTGTCGTGGCTTGATGTGTGTCACCAGCTTCTATTAGACTGTGTCTTGTGGATCTCACTAGTAATTAACCTGTCGTTCCAATACGTCACAGATTTGACAAAAACGTACTTTTTTCTTCTTCCTTTTTCTTAATTATAATTTTGGAAGGAATTCTCTCCAATACATTTGAATATTACGTGTCAAATTGTTATGCGCAATATAAGACGTTGACTCATTTTCTTTTGGATTTGCTTCCATAGACTCTTTGAAACCAAGAATAAACTACAAAGCAGCAGTTTGATTTTGAAGCATGACAGCAAGAGGGAGAGAGAGAGAGAGAGAAAGGGAGAGAGAGAATTATGGAATTAGAGAAAGAGTACTTTGTATTTAGACACACTCAATGGAGACACTTGAGTGCTAAAAATGTGCTTTATATTTTGCCTCCCTGTTTATATTTTTGAATATCATACCCCCCCTATACCTACCCAAACAATGTTTACATTTAAAATTAGTAAAACACTTTAAACTATAACATAGAGGAAAAATATATTTAAAACGTAAAGGGTTGATTTTTGTTTATTTGTTTTAAAATATAAATTAAGACAATTATAAATCAGAGGTACGATAAATGTTGATGATGATTGTTGAAATCTAGTCTATGTTCTACTTTCAGCATATAATCTAAATCTAGATTGAAATGTGAGTCAACAGAAAACAATTTATATACAAATACAAAACCACGGACACATAATGCAATCGGCTTTGAATGTAGTTCTTTAAAAGTATTGATAGATGTGTTTTAATTTCACTTTTACTTTCATTAAAGAGAAAATGGTTTAACTTATAACAAATTATCCAGATTAAAAAAAGTTTTAAAACAAATATAATACAACTTAATCAAAATCTGATTTAAGCACACGAGTGCTCTGTCACCCGCTTCTACAGACTTGTCCAATGAAGGTGTTCCTCTTTTACTAGTCTTGGCCACCAAATTTGCCGTCTATGGTTAAAAACTTCACGTTCTCTATATTTACCTCGTTGCAGTCCCGAATGGTATTTGAAGTGTAATTTAGATTCACAGTTCTGAAAAAAATGTACATCTATAAATAAAAAATATTGTAAATTATTTTCCAATAACTATATTTTTGTTCAAACTTACACAATCGTCTTTACCATCCTGCTAGCAATTTGTTTTGCAGAGTTTTTTGTTATTTCAGTATTTAGCGTCCACTGAAGTGAATTGAAGGCGGCTAATACAGGAAGAGGAACGTCCATCGGTGTGGCAAGTTTTGTTTTATTTTGTTTTGTTTCGTTAGAATATTCGACTTTATCCCCATCCAATGTGGTTGGCTTTGTAGAATTGTTTAAATCAAGGTCCGTACTTTTTTCTTTTCTTTTTTTACCACATGCCTTATATTTCCAGAAATATTTTCTTCTGTAAGAGAAACTATTGGTCCACTGTCGATTTCGTTGTTGAAAGTGATGTTTGCAGGTTGGGATCCGTTTTCTGACATGATTTGAGCTACATCTTAAAGGGTCGGCTGAATCACAAAGTAAACGTTTATATCTGCCAGTTTCATATCTGCTAGTTTTAGCTTTCTCAATGGACGAATTGTATCTCATTGTCTTATCCTGATGGTTTATATCATCACTAGTGCAGGGGCTTAACAATTTGCCAAAACTGAAATTAAAGTAAAATGCAGATTCGTTTGTATTTTGGGTTGTATTTAAAAATTAGGCTTAAATCTTTGTAAACTGGATTTAAATGAAGTTTAATAATAATTTATTTAAGTCTGATAATCGCTATTATATTGTGAATTTTATGTAAAAAATTGGAACATAAACTACTTAATTTGGTTATTAAAAACATAACACTTTTGGATAAATGCTTAAACATTTACATAAATACTAACCGTGGAGGTTTTGTTCTGATGAAAAAAAAATTAAGTCTAAATACAGTATAAGAAAAATAGATTTAAACTATTATACATTTAACATACACGTTTTTTCTTTTTCGTTTCTTTCTGGTTTTGGCGACACATTGGCTGCTAGTTTCTTCTTTGATCTTCTCATCATGTTGATCTAAACAGGAACAGTTGTATCATTAATTCTTAATAAACATAGACATACTTAAAGTCTTACGACTATAGATACATTTAGATTGAAGGATGACAATGTTGACCATAGCTTACCTTTTGTTTTACCTAGTCCGATTAAATTCGTTTGACCACTGTCTTGGACGTTCAACATCTTATCGTGTTTTTCAAAGCATTTCAGACGATCCTCTCCAACCGTTTCAAGTTTTGTCTGTGTTCTATATCTTTTACAAATTGTATTTGTTGACTTTCGTGATGTTTTAAGATGAGTAGATTTTGTGGATTTTATTGGTCTAGTTGAAGAGCTGGTAATAAGCTGTAAAATGTGCGTACTAGCATCTGGTGTAATCCTGGTGTACACTATAGGGGTTGTATGTGTAACGGATGCAGTATCAGAACTTGTGGTAGTATCATCTCTTGCGTCAGCTGTTGTGGTACAAGCTGCTGATGTTGCATTAGTAGTTGATGCAGGATCCGTACTAAGGGTTGTATAAACTGGTGTTGAACAGTCCAACTCAGTGTTTGTTTTCTCTTGGTTTTCTTTTGAAGATTTAGCGCCGTGTTGTTTTAGAAATCCAACGACACGATAGTGACATCCTAGAGTGGCCACATCCAAGGCTGTCTGACCGGAAGTGTCAACAATGTCAAGGCTCGCGCCATATTGTACTAGTACTTCGACGACGGAAGGATCAATCCACCCATTGATGTAGTGTAATGGGGTTTTACCGTACTGATCCTTGACGTCAACACCAGCTCCGGCTTCCAGTAACGTCTTCATGATTTCCGGGTCACCAATCTTGGAGCTGTAGTGTAAAGCTGTTTGGTTAAAGTTGTCTCCCATGTCAAGACCATCTGTATATTTCAGCAGTGTTTCTACTGCTTGTTTATATCCAAACATGGCCGCATAATGTAAAGCCGTTCTACCTTCTTTGTCTCTAATATTTGCTGAAGCATTTGCTTTCAGAAGAGTTTCTGTCAAGACGCAATTGTGTTTCTGAACGCTGTAGTGTAAAGCTGTTTGTCCATTTACGTCTGTTGTGTCAAGAATATCTTTACACGTTACCAGTTTTTGAACTGTTTCGTTATTCATGGATCGGACAGCATAGTGTAAAGGCGTTTTGCCTTCGTTGTCTCTGATGTTTGCTAAAGCTCCAGCTTCCAGTAAAAAAACCATCATATTGCTGTTTCCATATTGTGCGCAATAGTGTAACGGTGAACTTCCGATTACATCTGTTCTATTAATATCCCCGCCTTTTTTAAGAAGAGATTTGACGATTTTCTTACATCCATGATCAACAGCAAGATGTATAGCTGTCTTACCTTCATAATCAGCTATATTAACATCAGCGTCTGCGGCCAACAAAATATCAATTATAGCTTTTTTCCCATTTTCAGCAGCAACATGTAAAGCTGTTTTATGATAAATATCATCCTGTTCATTTACATTAGCTTTCCATTTCACAAGAAGGTTAACGAAATCTGCATGAACTCTTTCAACACTTATATGTAAAGGAGTTTTTCCTGGCCAATCGTCTTTTGTTTTTACATTAACATCCGCTCCTCCTTTCAACAAAAGTCCCCCCAAAACTAAGTTGTTCGTCTCTGCATAATGATGTAAAAGGGCCATACCATATGAACCCCTACTGTTTATGTCGATGCCTAAACTTGAAATAAATTCTTTGACTACATAATTACTATCATTATCCTCAAACTTTTGGTGTGAAGTAGTAGTTGGTTGATTCATTACTGGCACCATGTTCACTTTATTTTGTTTTAACAGCGCAATGACTCGCTTTATTAAAAATTATCAAGAAAAAAGCGACCTGCAACAGCAAAATTAGATGCTCACATGTTTTTGTGTATAAAAGTGTGAATGACGTTGAACTAAAAGTTTCGATGAAATATAGGAATCTGATTTCTTAAATGTGCGAACAGAAAATGTGCCTTTAAAAGATTTACATATGACTTTATACTTATTATTCTGAAATAAAATTTGAGGAACCAATATTTCTAACCTATTGCGAAACACATTACAGCCTTCAGATATAGAATGAGTTTCTTTAAATAAATTAATAGAAAACTGTCACCCTGGATAAGTAATGTGCGTATAAGGGCGGTAGGAGTGTGGGACAGGAGTTTCTGACAAACGAAATAAAAATAAAATTTCTAATGTTTTATACAAGCCTAGCCTAAGAATTTACTAAAGATAAAATGAATCTTTTTATTTTAATGTGTACTTCCTGTTTAATTCTATTTTTGGTTAATAATAAAAAATACAACTTCTGGGTTTGATAAAAAACTCATATTTAACTGATTTAAAAAAAACGTATTGCTGCAAATAACATAATGTGTCATAATTAAAGAATTAGGTATAAATCACATACAATTTAGTAGACATACTGTACTTTTTTGATGTAAAACTGCACAGGAAAAGCGTAGAGTGAAGATCTGACTTTAGGCAATCTAAAAAGAATACACACTTTCTATTCCGTAGGCCCTACACACCCAGCAGGTAAAAATGAGTCATAGTATTGCCGGGAATTCCCCATTTATGAATTGGATAAACCCAAGACTGTGCAAACAGATGTCTGCATAATGTATCGTTTAAAATAGTTTATGTAACTAAACTCTATATGTAGGCCCTACAAGTGAAAATGAATTCTAATTAAATAAAACAATCGACATTTTGATGCTCAGTACACAGATTTGGTAAGAAACAGATCTACAATTTGGGACACGTTTTCTCAAATTAAAATTATTTTGATATTTTCATTTGAACAAGACAGAGGTTATTGAAAAATTCCAAAATTATTTTACTAATTACTTACAAGTCAGTTTTAAGACAATCGTGCAGCTTCAGAATTTTTTTAGTGAAAGTCAATCTAATCTACAAAATGAAAACGATTTGCGGTGTCGCTATTTTGTTTATCTTCTATACAAGACCTTTAGGATAGAAATGCGTACACATTCCGCAAAATCTCGCAATGTGCTGACCGTGTTTAAAACACATTATTGTGGTCGAGAATATTGTCTCTTTATTTAACAGCAATTAAAACGTTAAGAATAAAATTGATTGCCACGGGTTTTAACATCGATTAGCTATCCAATTTTCAATTTTTCCATTTTCAAAATAGAATATTGTCAGCTTTTCTTGGCGTAGCTGTATTTCTGGTACACAATACTTGTGTAGTATCGACAATTGCTGCTGGTTTTGTTGTGGTATTGAAAGTAGGGTGTACATAAATAGTTGGTGGTGTATTTGGTGTTGTCTTGTTTTCAATTAGTTTATTATCTTTCAGTTAGGTATTTACTAAGGTTAACAGTCTTGTAGTTTACTTTTTTGTTTAGGGAATCCAAGGCTGATGTTTTAGACTTATTTTATTGCGTATATTTTTAGTCTGGTTGTTGACGTGTTTTTAGGTTTAAGGGAATGCAGCCAAATTATGACAATGAGTATATAATCTGAACAAAGACAATACATTCCTAGTGTTTTTGTGGTCTAAATCGGCACATCAAAATGCTAAGGCGTGGGCTTGGTTTATTTACAACAGAAATAGAATTATATTTGCTGTCAACAAAATTCAAATTGTCATCCTAGGCAGACAGTTTCCTCTCTTACATGCAGCTTACATTGCTCCCACTTCGATGTTTACGTTTATGGCTTCTAAAACAGTAAAACAATAACACAGAAGGAGCATGTATTTAAAGTTTTAGACACGCTTTGTTTACAGTTTGTTTATTAGCTTTATGTTATACAATTTTAAATAGAGTTACATCTGTGTAGATATATAAAAATATGTGTTTTCAAAAGATGTTTATAAAATTGTTTCTATATTACCTTATTTTTTAAATTTAGATATGGAGGTGCAGACAGCAAGTTAAGAGATCTTTTAATGTTTTTCAGTAATAGAATGTTTATTGGGTGCACTTACACAAATGTTAAAGACCTACCGTTTTAGGCTTAATAGAATAATAAGACATTGACAAAAATTGTGAAATTTTTAGTCTTAAAATTTAACAAGATAAAATAGTAGACTATATAACAGTAAAACTAACAAGAAATACACATGTGCTTGCAAATTTCTAAATATTGACTCGTGTCTATTTGGCTAAAATCTTTTAGTAAGAAACAGTTAAAACAGTTACTAAATTAGTCACTAAATTTGACTTCTAACATTATTTCAATTTCCATATTAAATTCAAATAATGAGAGATGTCTCTTGTCAATGGCAAGTGAAATAACTCTTTTACAAATCTACATTGGTCTACATAATTAATATTGTCTACGTATTTTATATATAGTATCTAAACATAGTCTACATTTGATCTATATGCTACACAAACACAGTCTACCCTGTACCCAGCCAGTATATCAGTCTTGTGCTCCACTAGGGCAGTCATTCGCTGGCTAGATCTAACCTATGGAGACTCCTCTCTCACAGACTCCTCTAAACTTGACAAATGAAGTTGTCCAGCCGTTAAACGATGCTCTAGGATTTCCCAAACAAAGAGATTTAGTTTGCTGTCGATGGCTACGTACTTTGGTTTATTTATGTTTACTTCTTCGCAGTGTTTAATGATGGTTGGATTGTAATTTACATTCACATTTCTGAAGTAGATATTAATTGATCTAAAAAGTAAGGCTAAATTGAAACAATGATATTGGGGTTTATAAGTAGGACTATTATATATAAGCTATACAATAGGGACAATGATATGGGATATTTTTACTTACACATGAATATTTCCAGTGCTGCTAATACTTTGATTTTCAAATGTTTTAGTCACTTCGGTATTTAGAGCACACCGAATTACATCAAGAAAATAATCACTTGCATCTGAAGTAGTGGTAGAAGTTGTTGGTGTTGTATCCATAGATGGTGCAGTATCAGTATCAGTACTTGGGGTAGTATCATCATTTGCATCTAGAGTAAATGTAGAAGCTGTTAGTGTTGTATTCATAGATTGTTCAGTATGAGTACTTGGGTTAGTATCATCACTTGCATGTAGAGTAGTGGTAGAAATAGTATGTGTTGTATCCAAAGATGGTTCAGTATGAATACTTGGGTTAGTATCATCACTTGCATGTAGAGTAGTGGTAGAAGTAGTTGGTGTTGTATCCTTAGATGGTGCATTATCATTACTTGGGGTAGTATCATTACCTTCATCTGGTGTAGTTGTAGAAGCCGTTGGTGTTGTATCCATAGACGGTGTATTTGTAGAAGCTGGTGGCGTTGTCATACATGGCGATGAAGTTGTTTCTAAATTATGTATATATATATATATATATATATATATATATATATATACATATATATATATATATATATATATATATATATATATATATATATATATATATATATATATATAGGTAATTATTTAAAGTTTGTGATTTATAGTTTGCATGAGATTATGTGCTATTTTTGAAAGGTCTTAAAATAATAGCCCACCATGGGATTGTCGGCTTATTAAATATCTAGAAAAACTAAACTGATTGAATAATCAGCATAACACACGTTAACTGATGATTACGCCTTAAAATTAAACTTACGATGATAAAAATTCAAATATTTTACACTTTGATTTATTACAGTTTTTAAACGCATTATAGATCTGCTTTTCCAAGATCGATTTGAAAATCTATTTAGTTTCTGTTGTTTTTTCTAATTCTTTATTGTGATGTTTTTTTAAAAATATTTACATATTGTTCATACTGTATTTATTCTTTTTAGTTTAACCAGTGTTTCTTCCAGGCCTCTCTTGGGGTTATGAATTTATATAGAAAATATATACGTTTAACCGTGTCTGCCATCTCCCCCCCCCCGGAAAGTTTTGTCCACCCTCCCGAAAATTTCAAGCGCCCCCAGGAGAAAAAGTGTGGAAGAAACACTGGCAAATACCGATATAAATTGTGCAGTATCAGTACTTGGGGTAGTCTCTTCTTCTTTTTCTTCGTTCTTAATTATTAGTGTTGAAGGGGATCGAGATTTATCTGCCAGTGGGTTTGAACTCGAGACTGTTCGAATTAATCAACCATGAGCTTTTTGCCGACTCGACCACGAATCCAACACAATTAAGCGTTACGTGTCAACTGGTTATGCGCCGTTGAGGCCATTGACTCCGATTTCAGCCTGCTTTTCTTTTTAAAACGTTTTTCTTAACTCAGCTTCGCGTTTGTTTGTTTGGATGTTTGTTGTTAAAATTGACATCGAAAATTAGCCCACTTCTGATTGCTCTACAGACCTGAAATTTGGCATGCATGCTACTTTCGCCTAACAATTTCAGATGCAATCATAAAAACTAGCAATTAGTGACCGTAATTAGCTTAATTTAATTACGCCCCAAGGACCATAAAATTGAGGACATGATTTCTAAAGATACCGACAAGACTTGAAGCCTATTGACACAGTTACTTCGGCCCCAATAGATGTGAGCGCGCTGGCCGTGATCGTATAGTGGTTAGTACTTCGCGTTGTGGCCGCGACAACCCAGGTTCGAATCCTGGTCGCTCAAGATTTTTAGTCCGTGTATTTATAAACACTTTTTTAAAAACCACGTTTTTCATGTGTAGCAACGGACTAAAAAGGAGAACGGACACGGTAACACATTGTTAACGGTGACACGGTTGGTACGCTGGGCATGCTAAAATACACATAAACACGTTTTTCCTTAACTCAGCTTCGCGTTTATTTGTTTGTTTATGGGAGATTTGATCACGTGATTCGTGAGTAGATCTCCACGCCAGCAACGTAAATTACACCCTTTCTCTGTTTAAAGCGTATCGGTCGCTCAAGATTTTTTTAGTCCGTGTATTTAAAAACACTTAGTCAAGTTATACTTAATCAAGTGATTAGATAAAGTAGAAAATAAACTATATAAAAAACTTTTTAAAAACCACGTTTTTCATGTGTAGCAACGGACTAAAAAGGAGAAAATAAAATACTTAAAAAAAAGCTTTTTAAAAAACCACGTTTTTCTTGTGGACTAAAAAGTAGAAAATAACTATTTACATACATTTGATGACAAAAAACGTGGGTCGGGCAGATGGGTCGGGAAATTTGATGGTGAACGTACCCACGTTTTTTGTCATCAAATGTATGTAAATAGTTATTTTCTACTTTTTAGTCCACAAGAAAAACGTGGTTTTTTAAAAAGTTTTTTTTAAGTATTTTATTAAAACGTTTTTCTTAACTCAGCTTCGCGTTTGTTTGTTTGGATGTTTGTTGTTAAAATTGACATCGAAAATTAGCCCACTTCTGATTGCTCTAGAGACCTGAAATTTGGCATGCATGCTACTTTCGCCTAACAATTTCAGATGCAATCATAAAAACTAGCAATTAGTGACCGTAATTAGCTTAATTTAATTACGCCCCAAGGACCATAAAATTGAGGACATGATTTCTAAAGATACCGACAAGACTGCAGTCCTATTGACACAGTTACTTCGGCCCCAATCGATGTGAGCGCGCTGGCCGTGATCGTATAGTGGTTAGTACTTCGCGTTGTGGCCGCGACAACCCAGGTTCGAATCCTGGTCGCTCAAGATTTTTAGTCCGTGTATTTATAAACACTTTTTTAAAAACCACGTTTTTCATGTGTAGCAACGGACTAAAAAAGAGAAAATAAAATACTTACAAATAACTTTTTAAAAAACCACGTTTTTTATGTGTAGCAACGGACTAAAAAGGAGAACGGACACGGTAACACATTGTTAACGGTGACACGGTTGGTACGCTGGGCATGCTAAAATACACATAAACACGTTTTTCCTTAACTCAGCTTCGCGTTTATTTGTTTGCTTATGGGAGATTTGATCACGTGATTCGTGAGTAGATCTCCACGCCAGCAACGTAAATGACACCCTTTCTCTGTTTAAAGCGTATCGGTCGCTCAAGATTTTTTTAGTCCGTGTATTTAAAAACACTTAGTCAAGTCATACTTAATCAAGTGATTAGATAAAGTAGAAAATAAACTATATAAAAAACTTTTTAAAAACCACGTTTTTCATGTGTAGCAACGGACTAAAAAGGAGAAAATAAAATACTTAAAAAAAACTTTTTAAAAAACCACGTTTTTCTTGTGGACTAAAAAGTAGAAAATAACTATTTACATACATTTGATGACAAAAAACGTGGGTCGGGCAGATGGGTCGGGAAATTTGATGGTGAACGTACCCACGTTTTTTGTCATCAAATGTATGTAAATAGTTATTTTCTACTTTTTAGTCCACAAGAAAAACGTGGTTTTTTAAAAAGTTTTTTTTAAGTATTTTATTGGATTTGCTTCCATAGCCTTTGTCCAACCAAGAGCAAACTACAAGGCAGCAGTTGTTTAATTTTGAAGTTGTCTCTCCTAGAAGAGTGGCTGTCCCCAGCTAACGAGCCTCATCTGCCCGAGGGTTCGAACTCGAGACTTTTCGGTTTAACAACCATGAGCTTTACCGACTCGACCACGCCGACCCCTAGTGGTAGTGTCATCACTTGTATCTGGTCCAGTGGTAGAAGCTTTTGGTGTTGTATTCATAGATGGTGTATTATCAGTACTTGCGGTAGTATCATCACTTGCATTTGATCTAGTGGTAGAAACTGTTGGTGTTGTACTAATAGCTGATGGTGCAGTATCAGTACTTGGAATAGTATCATCAATTGCATATGGAGTAGTGTTAGAAGCTGTTGGTCTTATATTCATAGATGGTGTAGTTTTCTTTCTAGCATCTGGAGTAATGGTAAAAATATAATGTTAGTCTACTATACTTTGACCTATTATGTAGGACTAGTCATTACCTAGTAGGGTAGTAATCTTAGTAAACACTAATGTAATGGTAATAAACACTTACATGTCACTGGTCTAAATCTCTTTCTGCGCCTTGAACAGTCCAAAATTTCGTCCATTTTCTCTTTGTTTTCTATTGAAAACTTAGCGCCATGTTGTTTTAGAGCAGCAACTGCTTCATCATTTGACACCATAATGGCAATATCCAAGGCTGTCTTTCCTAAAGTATCTTCAATGTCAAGGTTAGCACCTTGTTGGATTAGTACTTTCACCAGAGAAACCGTTTGAAACCATGCAGCGTAGTACAATGGGGTTTTCCCGTACTTATCTCTGACGTCAACATCAGCTCCGGCTTCCAGTAACGCAAGGACAACCTCCGTAAGACCGCACCAGCAGCTGTAGTGTAAAGCTGTTAATCCCTCATCGTCTGCGGCGTTAGGATTATCAACTAACTTCACCAGAGTTAAAGCTGTTTCTGTATGCCCGTTAAGGGCAGCATCATGTAAAGCTGTTTGACCACCATTGTCTCTGATGTTTGCCGAGGCTCCAGCTTTAAGTAAAACATCGAGAATGTTGTTTTTACCCATCTGTGCTGCGTGATGCAAAGCTGTTTTACCAAGATGGTCGATGCTATTAATTACCGCACCTTTTTCTAACAGAGACCTAACGAGTTTCTCACTTCCTTTCGCAGCAGCAAAATGTAAAGCTGTGTGACCCCGACAGTCAACTAGATTTACATCAGCACCTGCAGCCAACAACATATCACCTATTTTTTCATATCCATTTTGAGCACACAAATGTAAAGCTGTTTTATGGTCAAAAACATTCAATTCATTAACATTTGCTTTCCATTTCAAAAGTAACTCAACAAAATCTGTGTGACCTAGGTAGGTGCTGATAAATAAAGGGGTTCTCCCTCGATGGTTCTCTTTTGTTTTGACGTTAACATCCGCGCCTCCTTTTAATAAAAGTTCCGCAAAACATAAATTGCTCTGCGCTGCGTAGTGATGTAAAGGGGCTTTCCCTCTTGTATCCGTTCTGTTCATATCAACGTCTAATGTTAAAAATATGTTGTTAAACACACAGCTACTGTCATTCTCGACACACTTAATTTGTGCCGTGAGGGTCTGTTGACTCATTACTGGAAACATCTTTTTTTTTTCAGGCTCGTTTAGACTTGACCTATTGAAAATAATAGAAATCAACCGACCGCAATTACAAATAGACTTCTTTTAATATCGACACTGACGAAGTGTGCGCCTTAAATGAGATTAACAATATTTTTTTTTAGATCTAGCATCTACGTTTACAATAATTTGTGGTTAAAAAGTTTACCGAGAAAAAAAAAACGTGTAGTTTGATGTGTAGTAGACTTCGATTAGCACCCTGGTTTGTTACTAGCACCCTGGTATATTACTAGCACCTTTAGGTATTTTAATAGCACACTAGTGTGCTTCTAGCATTCTGGTATGATAGTGGGACTCTAAACTGCCTGACAGTGGAAGTATTTAATGTTAGGGAGCAAAATAAAAGGAACCACCGGTATCTGTGAGATAGAGATCTTTTAAACTGCAATAGGTTTTAGTCATCGTGTGTCAGAAGAAACGTATTATGATGAATTTGAACTTCATACGTGAATCAATTAGGTAAAATATATAGTGTTCTTACTCAATCAAAAATATGGGTCCACGGCCGTTTTAACTGTTAATTCGTCTGTTAATGCGACCCCTTTTTTCCTGAAAGACATTTTACATAAGTCCGTTTAAAGTCAATGATTCTTTTTAACTTTTAAGATTTAAAAAGTAACAGCGTTTGCTTGTATGTATGGAACAGGTTTTGAATATATTGAAACTAAATTAATGATTGAGATAATTTTTATGTTTTGAAGATATCTCACTGCTTTTGATAAGAAGACCGAATAACGTCTCTTTAAATCGATAAAATGAAAGCTAAACATATCCCTCTTATCTTAGTGTTTTGAATAACTTTAAATTCACCTTAAATAGAAATGTTGCTTGTATTTTAATGGATATCCTAAAAACTTTTTAAAAAATACACAGTATTAGTTTAACTAATTGTTGCACAGTTTCACACGCAATAAATTTAAATTTAACAAAAATATTAACAGTTGATATTATTATATTGCAGATTAAATAAATCAATTAAAAAAATCAATCCTACTTTCTAAAATATTAGGCCTATTTAATTATTCGAATATTTAAATGGGAACAATATAATAAATATATATTATCACCTCACGATTCCACAATACAATTCACATAATTAACCGCCTTACTTACAATTTAGTACGTCACTTTTGAAGTCACTGCCACAGCAACAACGTAGAACAGGAAGGTTGGGCGTCCTGTCACTGAGGCAAGTTGTCACACATTTCTTGAAGTCTAAGGTCTAAGTTTGTACATTGATTCCAAATATGGGCCATGGTTCGAAACCTTAGCCAATATAGTTTAATTTAAAGGGAAGCTACTCACAATTTTAGCCTCTTACAGATAAAGAAAGAGTGGATTTGTTTCATAGTATGAGTTATGTTTTCCAAAATTTACTACACTTAGTTTTGTGTGCTTATGTCATTCTTAAAATCATTTGTCGTCGAAAATGTGAAGTGAAATTTCGACCCATTTCGAACGGACCGATTTCTTTCTTGAGAACTCAGATCGTCTTCGTAGTATGTTAACAGTTAAGAATCCATATTGTGTTTAACAATATTTAAGTATTATATATTATGTTTAGTTTTTTTATATAAATCTCTATTTCTCATTTCTCAAGAGGACAATCTTTGTTGTCATACAATTTATAGCAGTCTACAATGCGTTTAACAATATTTTAGTGTCAGTCTGTACATATCGTTATGAAATGCCCCTATATAGATCTATATTTTTTATTGCTTAAGCAAAGCCAAAAGAAAGAATTGTGATTTAATTTAAATTTTAAAAGTTTTATTAATAGTTATAATACAGCACAAGTACATGAAACATGTTTTTAAAACCACATTTATTTCACTTGTAGTGTACCTGTACAGATTACAAGATATCCCCTCCCCCCGTCCATCCCAAAAAAAACCCTAGTAACATATCCCATCTAAATTTTATTTATCGTATTGGGAGCTCTTTTCTTTATTTCTCAAAGTATAAACCCAGGGGCGTTTAACTCTTACAAATTAATTTATTGTATACAAACACGCATTCAGCTTCAGTCCTTACAACAATAACGATAAATAATCACATATTACTTTTATCTATATGTAGGCCTATTTATTTTGAATAGAAGTTCTGATATTTCCATTGATGGCCAGACAGTCGACATTGTTGATGTTTATTTGGTTAATGTGGTAAGAAATCGATCGATTAAGTCTGACATGATTTCTGAAATTGAAATATTTTTGTTGTTATTTTTTTTATAAGACAATCACAGAATGTATAAAAAAATTAACAAACTCTTACTCTTTATCTTCAGCCAATTGAAAGACCTTTACTGCAGTTTACAATGAAAAAAACCCAACTAATTAAAGTAAATACAATCTATAAAAGTTACGACACGTTATTGACTCTTTAAACTGTCTTCCCATCTATAAACTCTTTCTATAATTTAAAAACCACGTTGCACTAAAGTTATAAGGTAGAAAATAAAATACATTCATAAAATACTTTAAAATTTCAAATTAAAAATAAATATTATATCCTGCTTGCTTGTTTTGTTAAGTATTAATATAAACACGTTAGTCACTAGCACGCACTAAAAAGACTTTAAAAAATAAAATAGCTTTTGACGTTTTCTTATTTTAATGCATTTTATGTTATTGAAATTATCAAGCTTTTTAAAATTACTTATAATTACGTCTATGCCAGAATGGTCAAGAAGGAAAACTAAAGAGTAAATGAAGCAACAAGAATACCAAATAGCACTGGAATATATTATGTTTGTCTGATCTAATAACTAGATAGCAAGGGGGAAAATAAAAACTTACATAGTTGTGGACTTTCTGTTCCCTATTTTGACTACAGTCTTGATGCTATTCTTTGCTTGTCTGACCATTGTGTCTTGCTTATCTAAACGGAAATATGCTTTTATTACTTATCAAACAACACTCTGTTTTGTTTATGACAACAAAAGCATGCTTTTATCAAAACAGGAGTTTATGAGTTTATGTTCTTAATATTAAATTTATATAATGTAAATTTAGTAATAGAAATTGGTGTTATACTATCCGTACTTGGGGTAGTAATAACTGTTGTAGTCGTGATACAGTCTTTTGGTGTTGTATTTATAGTTGGTGCAGTATCAGCACTTGCAGTATCATAACTTAAATCCCGTGTAGTGGTAGAAGCTATTGGTGTTGTATCCTTAGATAGAGCAGTATCATTACTTGGGGTAGTATCATCACGTGCTTTTGTAGTTAAAGAAGCTATAGATGTTGTATCCATAGATGGTGCAGTATCAGTACTTGGGTTAGTATCAGTACTTCCATCTGGAGTAGTGGTAGAAGCTGTTGGTGTTGTATCCATAGATTGTCCATAACTTGGAGTAGTATCATCACTCAAAGTTGGAGTATAAGTAGAAGCTGGTGGCGTTGTAATACTTGGAGATGAAGTTGTTTCTGCATTTTAATATAATAATTTAGACAATTTTTTGTGATTTAAATTTTGCACGAAGTTATGAGATATTTTTGAAAGGTCATAAAATAATAGCCAACACAGGAAATACTATCGGATTGTTGGCTTACTAAATATCTAGACAAATTATGTTGAAATAATAATCAGCTTAACACACGTTTATTAGTGATTACACTTTAACATTAAAATTAAATGAGAAAAATTCATATATAGCTGTATAGCTGTTTTTAAACTCAATTATAGATATACTTTTTCAATAAAGTTAGAATTATAGTTAGAATTAAATAATAAAAATTTGTCATGCAAAAGATAGTAGTTAGCAGTGAATTTTCCTTATTTTATGCAGATAAAATAAACTTATACAAGCTCACCTTTTGTTGATTTTACTTCAGTTAACGTTGAACAGTCTACAACAGCGCTTGTGTTTTTATCCTTAATCTCTGATGATGACTTAGCTCCGTGTTGTCTTAGAAGAGCAATTGCTTCATTGTTTGCATGTATAGTGGCCGCATCCAAAGCTGTTTGACCATTGTTGGCTGTGATGTCAAGATTAGCGCCACGTTGGATAAGCAGTCTCATGGTGTCAATCTTCCCTCACCATAGACTGTGGTGCAATGGGGTGCTCCCTAACTGGCCTCTGCTGTCAACATCAGCTCCAGCGTCCAGTAACGCCTCCACAACTTCTTTAAGATCGCCCCGACAGCTGTAGTATAAGGCTGTGTTGCCACTCATGTCTGCGATGTCAAAAACACTTGTCTTTTTTAACAGTGTTAAGGCTGTTTCAGGATTTCGCGCGTACACAACAGCACAGTGTAAAGCTGTTTCACCACAGTTGTCTGTGATATTTGCTGAGGCTCCAGCTTCAAGTAAAAAATCGACAATTTCATTGGAACCGCCGTATGATGCGTAATGTAAAGCCGTTTGTCCTAAATTGTCAATGCTATTAATAGCCGCGCCTTTATCTAAAAGTAACTGGATGCGTTTCTTACTGTCTTCTATAGCAGCATTATATAAAGCTGTCCAATCTTTCATGTCAGGCTTTTCACCCAATACTCTAGAGCAATAATTATTTGTACGCTTTTCTAGCAGCTGGACACGTTTCAAACTTTCGTACGTTGCAGCATAATGTAAAGCTGTCTTACCGTTCCCGTCAGCCAGATTTACATCAGCACCTGCATCCAACAGAGTATCCGCAATGTCTACATATCCGCGTGCAAAACACACATGTAAAGCTGATTTTTTTTCACTACGACCACTCATTTCATTGACATTTGCTTTCCATTTCACCAAAAGTTGTGCAAAGTCTTTGTGATTTCTTTCCGCGCTAATAAACAATGGACTCTTTCCTGAGTCATAACCTTTAGTTTTGACATTAACATCTGCGCCACCATTTAATAACAACTCCCCAAAACATACGTTGTTCTTCTCTGCGTAAAGATGTAAAGGAGCCTTTCCATCTGAGTCCGTAAGGTTTAAGTCAATGTCAATCATCGAAAGTACATTGTTTATCACTTTGCTGCTGCATTTCTTGGCTAAGTAGGAAATAGTTCCATTTTTAAAACAAATATTACTCCTTGATTTTCTAAGTAATACAAGTATAATGAACACAGTTTGAAGAATAAACAGAAAACAATACAATGAGTTCACACTTTGAAACTGCAAAACGTGGTGTAACAAGCTAATAAACCATGTCTGGGAACTCTTGTATGTTTTTATTTCTTCTTCTCCTGTGTAGGAGTTGCTGATTTGATCCTCAGAAAATATTTTTGTAGCAGTGGTTTGTTGATCGAGAAATGACATCTTCTGTTTATTTTATTTTATTCACTCCACCTATGGTAAAGAATAAAATAAGAAGTCGAGAAATATGTATTGAAACTTACCTGGACAGTTATGCTAACAACTTTATTAACAAAATTTAAATTTAAACGTTTTTAAAGGGGCTGTATCACCCTGTTGGGTTCTTCTATGTCTATGTCTAGAGTATATATTAACAGACGTTTACAACAGTAGATAACACTAACACTCTATAATAAAAATAATAAGAGATTCAATATATATATATATATATATATATATTTATATATATATATATATATTTATTTATATATATATATATATATATATATATATATATATATATATATATATATATATATATATATATGAATAAACAATATGAAAAATATAAAAGGTACAATATTCACTAACAGAAATGAATCGCCAAAAAACAAACCCCCCCCCCCCCAAAAAAAAAACAAACAACTATTAGGCATATTTTTACAGTAGTAATAATGATTAATTAGTGATATTGGCGAATTGTTTCGTCAATTATCCGTTGTCAGGTTGATACTTTTGCCAACCGCCCCCCCCCCCCCCAAACGAAATGGAAGTGATATAGAAAATATATACTTTTAACAGTGTCCGCCCCCACCCCCCTGAAATTTTAGTCCGTCCTTCCGAGAATTTTAAGTGCCCCCCCCCCCTCCCCCCGAAAAAAAGTGTGGAAGAAACACTGTTTAAATCTTATAATAGTGTTACGAATTTATGGAAAATTACGCCAATGAAATACTTTAAAAAAGATTTTTACAACATGTGTAAAATATATGAATTTATGATTTATTAAAGCGTAACACGAGTTGTTAGTTAAACTGAATTTAAGAGATTAATAGATTGTGTTAAATGTATTGGTACACTAGTTATTAATAAATGAAAAAAACATCAAAATTACTATCCAAATTAGCTTTTGTACTATTTAATTAAGTACTTCGTTAAATATGGTACATTGGATTTAAAATTCAACCAACCTTTTGGATGTAAACACAATGACCATGTAGAAGAAAGGAAGATGGCGCTTCAAGTCACAGGGTCAAGTAATCACGAATGAATTATAACGTCTAAGTCTATAAAAGCAATGTTTGATAATAAAAGTAGGCTAAAATACTAAACTGTTTCTGTAAGGTATATTTATAGTTTCCATGGGCTGCTACTTAATATTTTTTTGTTGCAAAACAAGCGATAACAGGTTAAAACCAGACTTATTTTTATAACAATTTGACGAGTTCACACATTATCATGTTTAAAAAAATCGGACTAAAACTAATGTTAAAAAATGTTTATTGGTAACATATCAGGGATGGTCGTTTTCTTCATTCACTTTAGAATAAAATTTAACATCAACTTTTGTGAAACACGATGTCACAGTGAGTGCGTTACAAAGTCACAGTTGTAATCGAATGCCCAAACATATTTAAGAAACATTACATATATTGCTATAGCTGTATACAATTACACTATTTCTACATTTATTTTTTGACAAACGTAAGACATTTGATATATACATATATATATATATATATATATATATATATATATATATATATATATATATATATATATATATATATATATATATATATATATATATATACTAGCCGTCCCGGCCAGGCCCTGCTCTGGCTTCTGTGAAAAACCTTTCTGTTAAAGACCATCACCTGTGTGTTTAGTAATCATCATAAACCCGGCATTGCCCACCCAAACCACAACCAACCAAAACCAAAACAACAAAACGCAAACATAACGCTAACACAATTACAAATACAAACGAAAACAAAAATCTAACAACAAACCCAACCACAACCACAAACACCAATACAAACACAAAGAAAAACAAACAAAAAAGCAAACGAAAACAAAAACCTAACAACAAACCCAACCACAACCACAAATACCAATACCAACCAATAACAACACAATAAAAAACGAAAAAGCAAACGAAAACAAACCAAATCCAAACGCAAAAACCAACCAAAAACACAAATACAAACCCAAAGAAAAAAACACAAACAAAAACGAAAAAAGAAAGAACAAAAACGAACCAAATCAAACCGCAACCACTAACGCAAACCCAACCTAAACACAAAGAAATCACTAACGCGAACATAAACGCAAAGTGCTCACAGTCTAGCCCGGGGCGGAATCGCCTGTTTTAGCTTAATAAACGACTCTAGTACCCCAAATTATTCATAGTCTTTTGCACTCACTTAAACGAACGCGACTGTTTCAATTTAATGAACAATTATAATACTCCAAGCTTATCCGTAAAATACCTACAACATTAGCAGTTTTCATTTCTATTGCGGTGAAGTGGTTTCATGTATCAGGTTTATTATTTTTTTTATATATTAGAGTCTAGTTCGTTTAATTGCAGTTCAGTTCTTTGAATTGCAATTTTTGGCGATGATCAAAAGCTCTGACTCTTTTTTACAGAGATTGTGCTTAATTAAGTGTGTCTCATTACTTAATGTACCGCGCATTATTAAAAAGCGCCCATTGATAACTAAGACGCTCTTAGAACTAAGCAAGCTGTGTGTTTCAATTAGCACTTAGACGGCAAATAGGTGCTGCAACTAATCGTAAACTGTGTTTTAATCTGACTGTGTCGTTAATATCTAATAAATACCACAAAACATATATAGAGATTTAGATATTTTTATCTAGCTGTGTTGGTGTGTAAATCTTATCTTTAGACATAGTTTGTATGTAGTGATAAAACAAAATGTCATTCTCTGTAGGTACACTTTTACTCCTGATATTACTAAAGAAACCTCATATCTACATCTTTTATCAGATTTAGAGTGCAAATTAAGGTATTAATAAGGTGCTATTAATTTTATAACAGTCAGATTTTTGAAATTTTGTCTGTTCTACTTTTAGCACATAATCTAAATCTTGATTTCAAGGTAACACTATAGAAATACTTTGAAAATACATCTGAAGCTTTTTCTCTTCACATAAACAACTATAAAAAAACATCATGCATCGGTATTTGAACGAGTGGTATAAGCGGTGAAGAGCTCTGATGCTATACAGAAAGTCTCGGTTCAAATACCGGTCCAACTCATTAGAACTTCCCTGAGTCCACCAAGCTCTGATTAGTACCTAACTCATGTTAGGTATAGTACGGGCGGTTGGTAAAAATGCTGACCGCACCTTCTCTTCATATGCCGAGGTCAAGTAACATATGAACTCTACTTCATTGCCCAATGGATCGTTAGGTCAAAAGAGGATTCTTTACTTTTTTTTAAAGAAAAAAAAATACATTTTTATTGCTTTCTTTTCTGTGTAAGAAGTGTAAGAATATTATACATTTTTATACTGTTTATTAGCTTTAGAGTATACGTTAAGACATTTATAAATCATAACTTGTTATTAATTTTATAACAGTGCAGTTTATTGAAATTTAGTGTGTTCTACTTTTAGAAGATAATCTAATTCTAGGTTGGAATCGTGAGTAGCACATTTAAATGCTTTACAGTAACCAGGACGTTATTTCTATATTAAAAAAAAAAACTATTAACAAAAACAGAAATTATTAGTCTTTGGAAGTGCTTTAAAAGTTTCAATTTCAATTTCATTATAGAAATAAAATAGTTTCAAGTATAAAACTTCATATAGATATAAAAATGTTTAAAAAAAATTATAATTAAAACTTTTCTAATTGAGGTCCAATCTAACATAGGTGGGTTCTATCACACTCCTTTTGAGACTTGTTCCCCTTTTCTGTCGTCACCGATGATGCTGTTTATCAAAACCTATTCTCCATTCTCTATATTTACCTCGTTGCAGTCTCGTATAAAATTTAGGAAGACATTTCTGAAAAAAAAATGTACACCTACTAAAAATAGACGAATCTATAAATAAAGATATTGCAATTTTATTGTCAATCGGTAGGCTATTGTAGCGCAATATTTATGTAAAAATGTTCAGCATCGTTAAGCCAATAAATACATCATTGTTCAAACTTACATTGGTGGCTTTCTCTCTCTGCCAACATTTTGTTTTCTTAACTTTCTTATCTTTCCTGTATTTAGAGCGTAGTTTAGTGCTCGCTTCACGTCAAGTTTAGAAAAAGACCCGTCCTCCCGATTCGCTGCTTTAGTTTGAGCCCTGCTCGTTACTGTACCAACCCCGATGTAGCTCTCATCAAATGTGTTGATTTTTGTAAAACTGTTCACTTCAAGGTTCATATCAAAATTGTATTTTTCTTTTATCCTCTTTTTAGCATTTGATTTGTATTTCCAGAAATACTTTCTTATGTAATAGAAACAAATGGTTTTCATGCGATTTTGATGTTGAAATTGATAATTGCTTGTTCGCTTCCGTTTTCTGTTATTTTTTCTGCGACATTTTAAAGCATCGGCTGAACCACTTGATATACGTTTATATCCGCCGGGCTTAGTTTTCATAATAGAATATTTGTTTTTCAGACGCTTTATTTTATTATTTATGTCTTCAGTAGAGCGGGGTGTAATCATTTTACCAACACTGAAATTAAAGATACATTGTGTAAACGGTTTGAGAATTTGTATCTGAAACTTTACGTTTCGTAGAGGGTTTAATACATATTTATTCATTAGTAAGCAATCATTACACATCATGCATGATTATTTTCCCCAACACATTCTACTTAAAAAAATAAATAAACAAAAACAAACAAAAACAACTGGTTAGGCTGCTTAATAAAAAAATAATAAAAATTAATGCAAATAAAGAGTAAAATAAAAAAAAAACATCACCGAAATTACAACTATATTCCTTGTATGTTTTGTTTTGGTTAAAATTTGTTCAATCCTAATTAAACATACTAAATAGATTTATATTCTTATAAATTCAACATACATTTTCTTTTTGTTCTTTTTCCTTCTGTTTTTGGTGGTGCTTTCGATGCTGGTCTTTTCTTGTTCGATCATCAAATCTTACGTAAAGAAGTAGAATTGTAATAACAATCTGCATATTAAAGCCTACGGCTAAAGAACATTTTAGATTCGAAGATCAGAATGTCAACCATACCTTTTGTTTGACTAAGTCGGAGTGAATCAGTTTGACCATAGTTCGAGTAATCCAACATCTTCTCATGTTTTTCAGGGAATGTCTGACGATTCTTTTCAAACTTGTCAAGTTTTGTTTGTTTTAAGGTGTGTTTTTGATGTATTTGTTTTAAGTTGTGTGTTTGAAGGCTTTTATACATTTTATTTGTTGACTTACGGTACTTCTTTAATTGTGTAGTTTCGGTAAGGGTTGTTGTTGTAGTTGTGGAGGTGGTGATTAGCTGTGTGGTTTTAGTAGTAGCAACTGCTGTTGTTGTGGTACACATTGTTGGTGTTGTATACAAATATGGTGAAGTTTCAGTAGTTGTGGTAGAATTAACACTTTGAACATTATTTAATGTAGCTTCAACACTTGAAACTGGTGTAATAAAACAAGCTGTTGGTATTGTATCCATACATTGTGCAGTTTCACTACTTGGGGTAGTATCATCACTTGCATGTGGAGTAGTGGAAGAAGCTTTTGGTGTTGTATTCATAGATGGTGCAGTATCAATGCTTTGGGTAGTATTACCACTTGCAAATGATGTACCAGCTAGAGCTACAAAACAAAATAAAATAAGAGATAATTTTAAAATCATCTATAATTGCATGCAATTAAGAAATTCGGAAGGAAACGTGTTACGAGTATAGCCCTAGTGTATTGTTTATGTAATTATTATTTACACCAGCCATTGTACAACTAGAGTGCTAAAACTATGTTATAATTAAATAAAAAAGTAAAATGATATGCCTAAATCCCTAGACCAAACAGTAAGCAGAAGTTTAGAAGGGGGTTGTCTTTATAGTAATTGAACATAAACAGATGAAACGCACCGTTAATAATCGTAATAGTTGCTCACCTATCACGTTTTCAAACTCCATTTTACTTTTCGAAGAGTCCAAAGCTGCCTCCATTTTCACTTTATTTTCTTCTGAAGACTTAGCGCCATGTTGTCTTAGAACTGCAATAGCTTCATCTTTTGAATACATAATGGCTTCATCCAAGACTGTATGACCTGAATCGTCTTCAATGCCAAGGTTAGCGCCATGTTGGATAAGCTCTTTCATGACGTCGATAATTTTACTCAATACACTGCAGAACAATGGGGTTCTTCCGAACCTGCTCCTCGAGTCAACATTAGCTCCGGCTTCCAGTAACGTCTTCACGACTTCTGTAAGTCCATGCTGGGAGCTGTAGTGTAAAGCTGTATTGTTATTCTCGTCACCAGCGTCAAGATCGTCTGTAAATTTTAGTAGCGTCATAATTTTTTCTGTACACCCGTACATGGTAGCATTTAGTAAAGCTGTTCGACCACCATTGTCTCTGATGTTTGCCGAGGCACCAGCTTCCAGTAATAACATGATAATGTTGTTTTCAGCACAACCTGCCGAGCAATGTAACGCCGTTTTACCAAGATGGTCAGTGTTATTGATATCCGCACCTCTTTCTAAAAGCAACTTGACGAGTTTCTCACTTCCATTCCTAGCAGCAATATGTAAAGCTGTCTCACCACTCCCGTCTCTCAGATTTATATCAGCGCCAGCATCCAACAAAATATGAGCTATTTCTACATGTTCAAAATTAACACAGAAATGTAAAGCTGTTTTATGTCGAAAATTATCCTGCACATTGATATTTGCTTTATATTTCAACAAAAGTTCAACAAAATGTTTATGGCCTCCTATAGCGCTTAAATGTAGTGGTGCCATTCCTGAGTTAATAGGCCCTGTTGTTTTGACATTAATATCTACTCCTTCACTTATCAAAAGTGCCCCTAAAGGTATGTTGTTCGTCTCTGCATAAACATGTAAAGGGGCCATCCCATCTGAGTTTCTACAGTTTATATCAATGTCTAATCTTGAAAGTAAATCTTTAATATTAAAGCTACTTTCTTTCTTGACTAAGTCAGAACGTTTTCTCTTTACAAAATCCATCAGCTTATTTTTGTTCATCTTGGTTTTCATTTGCTTTAGCATCGTTTTACTTGACCTATTATACGAAAAAATAATAGAGGATGGAAATGTATATTTGAGCTTATATGAACTGTAAACCAAATTACAAAATACAATTGTCGACTTTCTATTGAATCCGTGATTAACTTTAAAGTGAAAGTATATTTTTTTTGGTACATTATAATGGATTTTAAAATAAAAGAATATTAACACTTTCAATTTAACAAAATATTTTTCCACAAATTTTTTTTTAAATGTTTAAATTCTACATTAAAGCAGATATTCTTATTTGATAATTGCGAAAATATTTTTTTATTTATTAATATTTATGTTTTGCTAAACACATTTTGTGAAAACGATGATACAGCTAAATTCATTAAATGGCACCAAAGTCTAAAGATTAGATCATTGCGCCTTGGAAATCAAAGCGCAAGGCCTAGGTAGCAAGTTGCGTAGAGCCTGATGCTGCTCTCCCTCTCTCCACACAGCTGATGGGCTTAAAGAAGAAGTTACCAATAAACAGCTAGCAGCGATCTATATATCTATCTAGATTTTTTAATCTAGAATCTAGGCAAATAGTGAGTTTTTATCCTCAACTATTTCAGACCTCAATTATTTTAAATAAATCTGTGTTTGTTTAGCAATGGCATGGGTTAAATTAGGATATAGTTTATTATAATATAATATTCGCTTAATTTAACTTTATTATATGATGGCTCTAAGTAAATTATCCCAATTAACAAGCACCTAATTGTATGATAGTGTTATAGTTACCATGCGGATGGTATGGGTTCGAGAAACATCATGTCAATGTTAATTCCTTTTTGTTTTAATTTTTCTTTTTTAATTTTAATGCACAGTGGTAAATCACAACGCACTAGATTGGTTTTAATTCTTTATTATTAGTTTGACGCTAATTTTAATAATTTATTTATTTACTACTCAAATGTGGTTCCAGGTCAGAAAATGGTATAGAAAGAAATCGATGTTTTTAAAAGATAAAAACATGTAAGATGAGGTGTGACTTCTTTTTAGATGTGAATGATAAAGTTGTCTATCGGAACTTAGCGGGACACGGCACAGGTGAAGTAGAGTTCACCTGTTTTTATGACCTCGGCGTATGAAGCAAAAGATTGGCTGTTTGTGACGATATGTGATAATTTGGAGGGGGGGGGGGGAGATAAAAATCTTTAAATAAAATCTTTAAATCTTTTATTTCAACGCTGGACTAGACCCTCGTCTATTTTACATATCCTTTATCTTTAAGCGGTTTTAGGTACTTATTCAACATGTGCTTTGATAATAATGGCTTATAATAATAATAATAATAATAAACTGTTGTTTAGATTAAATTCTTGATAAAATTTAATACAGTTTTTATGACAAGGTTCACTTGAGTTGCCATAAATAGAAATGTACCTGTACTAAAATGTCAATAACAGTTATTTTAGTCCACTTAAAGGCTGATGGTAGGCCTACTAAATTTATTAATAAACATTATTTGAATACAAGTTATGCTTATACTTATGCCCAGTTAAATGTTAACACGTGTTTAAATTTGTGATTAACTAAAGTAACGTATTAAGAAAAAACGAATTGTATTGTACACTTATTTAATATCAACATCTTTTTAAAGACAATTTTGTTTATTAAACTACCGCGTAGTTATTGGAGAGACTAATATAACGTCTCGCTAAGGTAAATCGATTTAAACAAATCCATAACCAGTCTCTTAGCGACGCGTATGGGGTCATCCATAAATGACGTCACGCTTTTTTGACGATTTTTACCTCCCCTCCTCCCCTCCGTCACACGTCGTCACAAAAAGCCCCTCAAAATTGCAGTTGATTTTTTTAAAAACATCGATATTTTTCCAAAATCTTGTCTAAACTATAACAATTTATTAAAACAGTTATCTAAAACGCGAAATAACGTCTAAAATTCGTTTTCTAACATTGTTTTTTTATAATGCAAAAATGTGACGTCGCAACATCTGACCCCCCCTCCCCATCATCACACATCGTCACAAAATTACGGACCCCCCCTCCCCCCTACGAGTGTGACGTCATTTATGGATGACCCCTATCCTATCAATGAAACACATGCATAGAAAATGAATGATGTGTGTGTGGGGATTAACGAAAAAAGATCCATAGGTATTAATTTTTTAAAACTATCACCTAAACTGTAAAAAGCAGAATTTTAAATATAATTTTTATTGTTAAATTGATTTTTCATAACAAACTTGATAGCCTGTTTGATTTTATTTGTGAGGTTGAAATAATCTGAACGTTTGAAGTAGATATCTTTCATTTGAAAAAAAAAATCCCAACTTCTAAAGCCGGATTATTTAAAATGTCATTTAAGCATAATGTAGACTACACAATACTTAACAAAAATGAATTACATACATCTTGTACTCTACCTGTTTTAAGTAGAACCAGCAGCCAGACAACCAGCCTATGGAAGTGACACAAAGCAGCTTACTTTGGTACTATATATAGCAAACATCGACCGGTTAATTTAAAATCAATACAGCATCCGAGTGATTTCCCGATCGGTTTTTGTGGTTTTTTCTTGTGGTTTTAATTTGGCTGCTTGCTCATTATATATATATATATATATATATATATATATATATATATATATATATATATATATATATATATATATATATATATATATATATACATATATATATATATATATATATATATATATATATATATATATATATATATATATATATATATGTATATATATATATATATATATATATATATATATATATATGTGTGTGTGTGTGTGTGTGTGTGTGTGTGTGTGTGTGTGTGATTTGTGCTGCACCGCAACTATCGGAATCTAAATTTAACCCACACCCATTGTCCAATGGAGTTGCAATTTGGCAGTGGTAGATCCAGTGTTTTTTACAGGCGTTTTTCTCCGGGGAAGGGGGGGGGGGGGAGACCTAAAATTTTAGGGGGAGGGGTGGGGGGCGGACGCTGTAAAACTTTATATTTTCTATGTAAATTTCATTTGAGTTCTTGGATGGGGGAGGGGGTGCGAGCGGTAGACTTGTATATTTATTGGCACGTGCTTTTTTAAGGAACATCGACCATCGTAACATGTCATAGATGTAAAGAAATGTAGAATTTATTCATACAGCATTCGATGGCTAATAAGTTTTAAAAATGCATAACTATTAAATATAGTTTACTGCTTCAAGATTTAACAAAACTGTTTCAAAATAAATTATTAGTATTTTTGTATATAGGGGTGAGGGAGTAATGGAATTTCTGACAAACGAAATTTCAATTATTTTTTGTTCGATAAAATAAACAACTCATTTTGATAGTGTCCCTTGCACCTACTATTAAATAATAATTTACTACTACAAGCGAAATGTATTCAAATTAAGGTACAATATATTTAACATAAATGAGTCACATATAATTTACCTTTTTGACGAAATCAACACATCAACAACGTAGATAGAAGATCTCTAACCAGTCTCTGAGGCGATTGAAAGAACACACCAACTCTTATCTGTACAGTGGCAGTTTAAACATCGATCAGTTAAAAAATAAACCGGGAGTGATCTCCCCTAAACTTTCTCGAATATTCTAATATAAAATTACGAGGGATGGCAACTCAGGACATAGACAATATTTGTTATCCATTTTTAATTACTTAAACTTTTTATAATAGAATAGAATCTTGTAAAAAAAGTGAAAAGTTTCCCTTTCAAACCTGACGGTCTATGGGGCAAGTGAAGTAGAGTTCACTTGTTTCTGTGATCTCGGCATATGAAGAGAGTTAGGTACCCATCAGAGTTGGGTGGACTCAGGGACGGTCTACTGTCTTGAACTCGGATTCGAACTCGGGACTAACGGGTTAGCAGTCCAGCTCTCTACCGCTAGACCACTCCGTCCCACACCAAGTGAACGCCAAATAAAATGTGTATAAAAGTGCGGGATATTATTAGTACTTTATTAATTTACATGCTTTTTTGAGAAATCGGAAATAGCGTAAATTAGTACTTCCGATCAACGGAAATTACTCAAAATTTGACAGAAGGTAGAGAATTAGATCTTTTATTTACGTGTGAAATGCATCTATCTAAAATAGTACGCAACTTATAGGCTTTTGAAAAATTCAAAGAAAAAAAGTACCACTTCCGGTTATCGGAAATCGCTCAAAAGTTGACATGGATCTACGATTTTGATAAAATACTTTTATATTAAATTTCTTCAACCTAGCTGTAACGGTACTCAAGTTATCGTGTTTACAGACACACAGACACACAGACACACACATACACACAGACATAAGGAGAAGATTGCAAAATTATGTTTTTCCGTATCAGTGACGTGTAAAACGTCGAGATTTGCAAAAAAAAAAACAACATATGATTTATTAAAAAGTAACACGGCGTTTTTTAGATCCAAAATAAAAGAGTTGTTAGCTAAACTGCATTTAAGAGATTAATAGATTATATTATATGTATGGGTACTTGAATTTATAACGCACGTGTCACATAGACGCCAGTTATTAAAAACACAGCAAAATAATAATGAATGGAGATAGTTTAATTTGGTTTAGGTACCACACACAACACTGTGCGTGCGTGGTGTGTCGCCTGACCGTCTGAAAGGAGATTGTTTATATTATTCTTTTGAGATTATATTTAACTCAATGCATCAGGCCCGCCGGTTGGTCGAGGCTAGGTCAGGGGTTCGTTGTGCCAGGGATACAAAGGTCGACTCGAAATATCGTCCCATTAATGATTCAAAGATAATTCGTTGTTACTAATAATATGTATAACATGTATGCACAATATACAATGTAGTTGACATACATAAGTCACATAGAATCTACCCTTTTGAAGCAAACAACACAGCAACAAAGTGGAATGAAGATCACTAGCGGGACTACCAGGATAAAACACCTGCGCTTATCTGTTTAGCGACACGTTGCACACAGATCAGATAAAAGTAACTCAAAGTATTGCTGGGGATTCCCCATTTATGTATTGGATAGACCCGAGACTGTGTATAACTTTTGTCTGCATAATATGTTGGTTGAGATAATGTTTTATGTAACTAGACTCTAGGCATTATATAATTTGAAAGAAATTTCTGATTTAAGGTAATCGACAATTTGATGCTCATCTCCCTGATATGGTAAGAGGACAAATCTATAATTTGGAACAAACTTTCTGAAATCGAAATTATTTTGTTTATTTCGTAACAAGTCTGTTTGTATTAAAAATATTCTAATATATTTTTATTAACTATTTACAAGTCATTTTTATGACAATCGTGCAGCTTCAGATTATTTTTTAAATTCACAAAAACGACCTTAGCTGCAAATTCCTCCTACAAGTGTTTGATTTTGCAATCTTTCCTTATGTCTCAATGCCTGAATGTCCAGGTGTCTCTTAGCGCTATAGTTTTTAAATTTATTTTGATCAAATTATTATGGAGTAATATATTTTAATAAAAAAAATAAATTCAAAGATTACTATCGTATAACAGAAAGGTAGTTTAAAACACATTATAATAGTCGAGAAGATTGTGTTCTTAATTAACATCAATTATAACGTTAAGAATAAAATTGATTGAATTAAGTTTTAATATATTGTTTTCACTTCAGTGTATTATCGTTCAATCATGTTTTACTGTCTTGTAGTTTAATTTTTTTTTGCAGAGTAACAACGTTGATGTTGTGGGACTTATTTTGTTGTTTATATCTTTTAGTTTGGTTGTTGACTTGCTCTATTGGTATATGGAGTAATGGAATACATCCAAATTATGACAATGGATGTATAATCTGAACAAAGACATTACATCCATAGTGTTTTTGTGGTCTGAATCGACACATCTAGCTGCTGAGGCGTGGGCTTGGTTTATTTACAACAGAAGGAGAATTATATTTGTTGTCATCAAAATTCAAATTGTCATCCTAGGCAGACAGTTTCGTATGTTCCATCATGCTTACGTCGCTCCCACTTCGATGTTTACGTTTATGGCTTCTAAAACAGTAAAAAAATAAAACAGAGGGAGCATGTATTTAACGTTTTAGACACACTAAGTTTACAGTTTGTTTATTAGCTTTAAATTATACAATTTTAAATAGATTTACAAATGTGTAGATATATAGAAATATGTGTTTAAAAAAGATGTTTATAAGATTGTTTTCTATATTACCTATTTTTTAAAATTTAGATATAGAGGCGCAGACAGCAAGTTTAGAGACCTTTAATTTTCTTTACAGTAATAGAATGTTTATTGGGTGCACTTACACAAATGGAAAATAGCTACCGTCATTAGGTGTAATACAATAAGAAGACATTGACAAAATTGGAAATTTTTTGTTTTAAAATTTAGAAGTTAAAAAAGTAGAATGAATAACAGTAAAAATAACGAGTAATACACGTGTGCTTGCAAAATTCTTTCTTAAATATTGACTCGTGTCTATTTGGCTAAACACTTTTAGTAAGAAAAAGTTAAAACAGTTACTAAATTAGTCAATAAGTTTGACTTCTAACATTATTTCAATTTCCTTACTAAATTCAGATACTGAGAGATGTCTCTTGTCAAAGTCAAGTGAAATAACACTTTTTCAAATCTACATTGGTCTACATAATTAATATTGTCTACGTATTTTATATATATTGTCTAAACGTAGTCTACATTTGATCTATATGCTACACAAACACAGTCTTCCCTATACCCAAGTAAGATGCCAGTAGAGCAGTCTTGTGCCCCACTAAAGGAGTCATTCGCTGGCTAGATTTAACCTATGGAGACTCCTCTCTCACAGACTTCTCTACACTTGTCAAATGAAGTTGTCCATCCGTTAAACGATGCTCTAGGATTTCTCAGCAAAGAGATTTAGTTTGCTGTCGATGGCTACGTACTTTGGTTTATTTATGTTTACTTCTTCGCAGTGTTTAATGATGGTTGGATTGTAATTTACATTCGCATTTCTGAAATAGATATTATTGATCTAAAAAATAAGGCTAAATTGAAAACAATGATATTGGGGTTTATAAGTAGGACAATTATATATACGCTATAAAATACGGACAATGGCATGGGATATTTTTACTCACACATGAATATTTCCAGTGCTGCAAGTACTTTGATTTTCAAAATTATTAGTCACTTCGGTATTTAGAGCACACCGAATTACATTAAGGAAATCATCACTTGCATCTGAAGTAGTGGTAGAAGTTGTTGGTGTTGTATCCACAGATGTTGCAGTATCAGTACTTGGGGTAGTATCATCACTTGCATTTAGAGTAACTGTAGAAGCTGTTGGTGTTGTATTCATAGATGGTTTAGTATGAGTACTTGGGTTAGTAGAATCACTTGCATGTAGAGTAGTGGTAGAATTTGTTGGTGTTGTATCCACAGATGGTGCGGTATCAGTACTTTGGGAAGTATTATCACTTGCAAAGGGTGTCACGTTACTAACTAGTGCTACAAAATAAGATAAATGACTATGTTCAAATCTTCTAAGAATGCATGAAATTAAGAAATGTTGAGCGAAACGTGTTAGGCGAACATCCCTAGTGTATTGTTAATGCAATTAGAACTTACACCAGCCATTGTATTACTAGAGTGCTAAAATGCTCTCATTAAATAGTCAAATTAAAATGGTGTGCCTCAAGCACTAGACCAAATCGTAGAAAATTTTTATAGCAATTATAACTAAAAAGATAAAGCGGATAGTTAAAAATGTTAATAAATGCTCACCTATCTCTTTTTTAAACTCCATTTCACTTTTTGAAGAGTCCAAAACAACCTCTATTTTTACTTTGTTTTCTTTTGAAGATTTAGCGCCATATTGTCTTAGAACTGCTACTGCTTCGTCATTTAAGTACATAATTGCGATATCCAATGCTGTCTGACCGAAATCGTCGTCAATGTCAAGGTTAGCGCCGTGTTGGATAATCTCTTTCATCTCGTCAATGTTTTTACTCAATACACTGCAGAACAACGGGGTTCGCCCTAACTGGCTCCTCGAGTCAACAATAGTTCCGGATTCCAGTAACGTCTTCACGACTTCTGTTAGTCCACTGTGGGAGCTGTAGTGTAAAGCTGTATTGTTGTATTGGTCACCAGCGTCAAGATCGCTTGTAAATTTCTGTAGCGTTAAAGTTGTTTTCATACATCCGAACAAGGCAGCATCAAATAACGCTGTTCCACCACCCCTGTCTTTGATGTCTGCTGAGGCTCCAGCTTCAAGTAACAACACGACAATATCGTTGCTCCCATATCCTGTTGAGTAATGTAACGCACCTCTTTCTAAAAGCGACTTGACGAGTTTCTTCATTCCAAACCAAGCTGCATAATGAAAAGCTGTTTCACCTCTCTTGTAAGCCAGATTTACATCAACACCCGCAACCAATAGAATGTACGAAATGTATTCATATCCACGTTGAATGAACAAATGTGAAGCTGTTTTATTATGAAAACCGTTTAGTTCATTGACATTGGTTTTCCATTTGAGCAGAATGTGCATAAAATATGTGTGACCTAGTTTTGTGCTTACAAATAAAGTTTCTCTTTCCGAGTTCAACCCTATTGTTTTGACATTAACATCCGTTCCTGAGTTCAACAAAAGTTCCCCAGAGTTATTGCTCTTCTCTTTTGAAAGAAGTACTAGTGCCTTGTCCTCCGAATCCTTACAGTTGATGTCAATGTTTAATCTTGAATCTGTGCTCTTTTTCATTGACTGACTACCTCCCCCATAAGCATTAATTCTCTTTTTGAAAGGACAATAGAATGACCAACTGATCATTGGTATTTTCCCAAATCCATATGTATACACAATGAGAAAATATATGAGTAAATAGAACCAACAGACTATTCTATAATTTGGAAAACATAAGTTCAACACGTTTGAAAGAAATATTTGAAAAAGTTTGTTTTCTTCTCTGATTAGATCCTCAAAGTTTATTCGTTCATAGCAGCATGAAAACATCTTTGTTTTTTAAAACTCGACAGCGCTTTGACTGGACCTATTTTAACAAAAAATAAATAAAATAAAAACAAGCTGAACACATGATTTACAAACTATAAGGACTGTAATCACTATAAAAATGAACCAAATGCAAAATTCTATAATAGTAACTTTAAACGTAGAATAGCAAAGTAGCAACAAACAAAACGTTTTTGTATCTTGTGATAGTTGTGTGAAATTAGTGTAATGATGAATAGGAAGCTCTGGTAGCTTTAGCGTCTGTCCTCGGGGCCTAGTTTGGGGTTTGTCTATCTGTTCTAATCACGAGAAAAATTTAATCACAATGAATCGCAATGAGGATATGCACTTATCATAACAGAATGATAAGTAGTAAGTGTGTATTGTTGTCTATTGTTAAGCCGGGGAAGCATCTTTCTATAATTGCTCAATCAATTATTTTACAATAATCACAATTAGAAAAATGAATTTATTTTTATTTAATCAACTTAATTAATTTAAATTCGATCATGGGTTTAAAAATTACGTAAACATTATATTACACACTTATGTGTTTGAAATCGAGAAACATTTACTTGAACATTAAATAAAATATTTAGTTTGCCTAACTAATTGTTAACTAAAAATTTGTTTTACTTCACTATGTTCAATTACAATGTTTTTTGTTTACTTTTGCGTATACACAAATCTCGACGTTTTACACCTCCCTGAGTCGGAAATAATTAGTGTTGCAATTTTGTCTGTATGGCTCTGTGTGTGTGTATGTGTTTGTCTGTGAACACAATAACTTGAGTACCGTTTCAGTTAAGTTGACGAAATTTCATGAAAAGGTATCATATTAAATTTGGGTTCTGTTTTAATTTTTGAACGATTGACGGTAACCGAAGTGTTACGTACTCAACTTTCCTATTTCTGAAAATCTAATAACTTGAGTATCGTTTAAGTTAGGTGGAAGAAATTTCAAATATAAGTAATTTATTGTTTGAGCATGCTTTTTTTCAAATTTGAACAATTTCTGATAGACTTAGTGGCACGTTACTCTATTTCATTTTGAAGACTATAACTTGAGCACTGTTCTAGACAGATGCAATTTCGTATATTAGTACAAAATCTTATGCTTAGATTAAATTCAATTTTATAATGACCTCAAATGACTGGAAGTGTTACTTTAGTCTCAGTTAGGTAGACGAAATTCTAAACATAGGTATAAAATCTGATCTTATTCTCTTGAGTCTATCGACTTTCGAGTGATTTTCGGTGTATTACTTTACGCTATTTCAAATTTCTGAAAAAAATATTACTTCTACAAGACCGATTTCTCCAAAACTTTTCACTTAGGTCTTGGCTTAATGACAATGCATTGTGACTTTTAAATTGACTGAATTAGAATCTGCATTAACTTTTTATCAACTAATTAATGTTTCCTTTATAACTCATAAATTTTCCGCTCTATTATATGCACTTTGTTTGCGTTCATTAGATTTTTTAAAATACGCGATTCTGTTCTATTTAAAAAATAAATTGGTAAAATACGAGAAAGTTTTTAGGGGAAGATCACTCCCTCTTTATTTTAACGAGAATGATCGCACAGTTTTTGGTAAGTGAAACGTCTAAGAAGAAGAAATCGATAAACCAACTGTAAGCTCACCGATTTGACCTCGACCAATGCAACACGTTGATATTGCGATTTTTTAAAAGCTGTGTAACTACTATTTTTAAATTACGAGATTTTATATTAAGGAAAATACAACTTTAGCAGCTATATTACTTCTAATTTGTCGCACAATACATTGCGAGAAGGTTTCAAAATAAAATTTACACATAAACTAATCATGTGTGTGAGTGTGTGGGGTGGGGGTGGGGGTAGAGATTTTGAACAATGAGAAAATATAATTGTAATTAAATAAAGTAACGTTAAAAATGAAAAAAAAAAAACAATCTTCGAATATTATTGAAGGTCCTGGCTTTTCTAGAACTTAAATCATAATGGGTAACACGGTTGACTTTCCTGTGCTATTTTTCGTTTGGAAATAACTTTTAAAGTTGAATGCAACTAGTTTACAAAAATTCATGATTAAAAATCATGTATAATTTCCAAAATAACAGGTAGTCAGAAAATATCCATATTTTGACATAAAATACTTAAATACAATCTAGAAATACACCTTTTTGATGTAACAACCTTAGGAACAGTGTTGAGTGTAACAGCAGACAACCAGCCCAATCGAAGAACACACAAAGTTTCTTTTCTTAACAACAACCTTGACACACGTAAACCCAGGTAAAACATCGATCAAAGCAGTGCTGGGAATTGCCCATTTTCGTATTTAATAAACATGTTGAAATGACGCAGCTATGTAGGTCAAGACTGTGTAGGAATTATACATGTGTGTGGGCAAGATTGGAAGTTGTATGTATAAATGTGTAACACCTTTTATATGCCCGCCTAGTGCAAGTGTGTAAGTCATGTCTTTTCGTGCCTATTTTATTATTCCACCATTTGTAAATTAAATGTAAAAGTGCAGGCGAGAGTTTAGAATACAAAACTGCTGACAATGCGAGTAAGGTACACTAGATATTTATTTTGACATGTAAATTGACAATATAAATTGGTAACTTTAAAAAAACAAATAGATAATAGAATACATCTTCTCTACCTGAACTTATATATATCTAAAAGTAAAGAGACTGGTCTTGTAATAACCTGTCTGACGTTAGATGATGGGTCTCTTACTAATTTGTGTCTTCGCTTGATGCATGTGATAAGACAGTATAAAAACGTGTCTTGTGAATCTCAATGGTAATTAGCATTGCATTCCATTATGTCACAAGAATTTCTCAGACAACCTGATACTGATGTAATCTTTCCAAATGCATCTTCTGGTAACGCATTTGTTTTGCTACCAACTCACTTTTCTAGTCTTTTACTCGGTTTCATGATAAAAAGAGAGAGAGAGAGAGAGATACATAGAGGGAGAGAGAAAGAGAGGGTACTCTGTATTGGAGAGCTTTCAATGAACCCAGCCAAAAATGTGCTTTATAATTTGCCTCCCTAATCTTATTTATGAATAACATACCCCTCTCAAGCCCACGGAGACAATGTTTACATTTTAAATTACTAAAGCACTTAAACTATATCATAGCGGCAAAATATATTTAAAAAGTAAAATACTAAATGGTTAAGTATTATCATTCTAGGGGTCATCCATAAATGACGTCACGCTTTTTTTGACGATTTTTACCTCCCCCCCTCCCCTCCGTCACACTTCGTCACAAAAAGCCAGACCCCCCCCCCTAAAATGACGTCACACCTCAACCTACAACCCCCCTCAAAATTGCAGTTGAATTTTTTTAAAACATTGATATTTTTCCAAAATCTTGTCTAAACTATTACAATTTATTAAAACAGTTATCTAAAACGCGAAATAACGTCTAAAATTCGTTTTCTAACATTGCTTTTTTATAATGCAAAAATGTGACGTCGCAACATCTGACCCCCCCTCCCCCTCATCACACATCGTCACAAAATTACGGACCCCCCCTCCCCCCTACGAGTGTGACGTCATTTATGGATGACCCCCTACTAGGCATGCTGCCCAGCTTCACTTAGGCTTTCGAAAACATTGAGAATTTGAATGCTTAATTAATTCGCCCATATAAGGTCAGTTTTTACCCCCTCATCATAGACTCTTCGGCCAACCGGCCCCCGTGTTCTGTCGCCCCAAGGCAAGATCCTGCCAAATTTGAAGCGCCTGCGGCGCCGGGAAGTGCCCTATCTGGCACCCGACAACTTAGCTTTATAGATAATCTAGATCTAGAATATCTGGATCTATATGATCTAGAATCTATAGATCTAGATGATCTAGAATATCTAGATCTAGATCAATATCTAGATCTAGAATCTCTAGATCTAGAATCCAAATAGATAAAATAATTTTTTTTAAGTTTAGGCCGAGAAAATCGTATTGTTTACATTTCATAGCGTACATAGCTCTAAATCATATTTGAATGAAATAGTTCATTTCTTTTTATTCTAAACTCGGAAGATGACGTCATCAGTTTCGTGCTCTTTTTTTAGTGTAAACAATAAGCGACGTCATTGTTAAATGCGTTCTTGTCTCAAGTTTATACACTTTTCCGGTTGCATAAATAATACTGTTTCTCTACATTCGAATACGCCTTTATTTTTTATTTTTCTTCTTTAAATAAAATTGTGGTTATACATTTAAAACATCTAACATATTATTTTCAACAAAAGTCCGTATAAAGGTATCCATATATCGCTGCCGATTCTGACGTGAAGTCCGGCGAAAATATTTTGCGGACAGACAGAGAGAGAGAGAGAGAGAGAGAGAGAGAGGTAGAGAGAAGAACGCACATGGCCTTTTATATATTAGGATTAGCTTTAAAATATAAATAAAAACACTTATAAATCAATGGTGCAATTAATGTTAATGAGGATTGTTGAAATCTAGTCTTTGTTCTACTTTTATCATATAATCTAAATCTAGACTGAAACTTGAATCAGTGGAAAGCAATTTCTATACACAAAAAAAACCAATTTAAAAAAATTGCAATAGGCTTTGAATGTGGTGCTTTAAAATTATTGACATATGTGTTTTAATTTCAGGTTTAATTTTATTAAAGAGAAATAGTTTAGCTTACATAGATTAAAAATGATTAAAACAACTATAATACATCGTAATCTAAATCTGATTTAAGAACACGAGTGCCCAGATGTATCCAATTTTTTCTATATATTTTTCTTGCGGGTACTTGGCTGACATCTATTACTTTTATGCAGTGGATCCCGTGTCAGGGCCTGTCTTGTTATGCCGGATACAGGCTTCCTGAGTAAAGATTACATAACCCAGAATTAACACCTGGTAACAATACTCATATAATTATTATATATTTTATTAGAAAAAACTTTTCTTCTCAACAGGCGCGATTAGGTTTTACATATTAGTTCACTGGAAACAAACGCGCATTCAGCTCCAGCCCGTAACGACCATAACGATACAAAAATCACATATTTCTATCTAATATATGTAGGCCTACTTATTTTGATTATAAATTATGATATTTCCATTGAGGGCCAGATTGCCGACATTGTCGATGTTCATTTGGTTGAAGTTGAAGTGGAAAATACAGTTCTTGACATTATTTCTGAAAATGAAATAATTGTGTTATTTTATTTCAACAGAGAGTATTAAAAAGGCTTTAACAATGCTCTCTTTAAACTGGTTAAAATTAATTAAAAAATTTAGAAAAAAAGGGAAAAAAAGGACTACACAAAATTGGCTCTTGCTATTTTATTACCATCTATAAAGGCTTTTTACAAATTTAAGAACAAAATTACAAAATTGCATCGAAGTTATAAAGTAGAAAATATATTACATCCAAAAATGCTTTTAGCTTCAATATCACCAAGTTTTTAAAAGATACATTTAATAGACTACTTGTTTGTTTCCTCAGATATATTTTAAAGTAAAGACAAATACACTAGCATGTATTTAAAATACTTTATAAGTTTCAAAAGCGACCAACCATTTGACTCTTTTATATGAAAATACTTTTTTGCGGTTTTCATATTTATGGGCATTTATATTAATAAAATTGTAAAGCTTTTATAAATATTAATAAATACGTCTAATGCCAGCATGGGCAAAATGTAAAACTAAACGATAAATGCAAGCAACAAGAATACTAGATAACACTGTCATAAATTACGTTTGTCTGATCAAAGAAATAGTTAGCATGGGGGGGGGGGGGCATGCAGGGAATAAAAACTTACATAATTGGCGATTTGCTGTTCCTAGTCTTTGCTTTTCTGGCCATTGTGTCTTGCTTATCTAAACGAAAATATGCTTTCATTATTTATCAAACAACACTCTGTCTTGTTTAACAAAGCTAAAACATGCTTGCATCAAATCAGCAGTTTATGACTTTATGTTCTTAATTTTAAATTTATATAATGTAAATTAGTAATAGAAATTGGTGTTATAGTATCCGTACTTGGGGTAGTAATAACTGTGTTAGTCGTGATACAGTCTTTTGGTACTGTATTTATAGTTGGTGCAGTATGAGTAATTGTAGGGGTAGAATCTATTGGTGTTGTATCCTTAGATAGTGCAGTATCAGTACTTGGGGTATAATCATCACTTGTAACTAGAGTAGTTGGATTGGCTGATGGTGTTGTATCCATAATTGGTGTAGTGTCATTACTTGGAGTAGTATAATTTCTTGCTTTTGGAGTAGTTGCAGGAGCTGTTGGTGTTGTATCCTTATATAGTGCATTATCATGACTTGGGTTAGTATCATCACTTTCATTTGGAGTAGTTGTAGAAGCTTTAGGTGTTGTATCTTTTGTTGGTGTAGTATCATTACTTGGGGTAATATCCTCGCTTGCATCTGGTGTATTTGTATGAGCTGTTGGTGTTGTATCCATATATGGTGCAGTATCATTACTTGGGTTAGTATCATCACTTGTATCTAGTGTAGTTGGATAAGCTGATGGTGTTGTACCCATAGCTGGTGTAGTATCGTTACTTGGGGTAGTATCATCACTTCTAACCAAATTAGTTGTAGAAGCTATTGGTGTCATAACCAAAGATGTTGCATTATCAGAATTTGGGATGGTATCACCACTTTCAATTGGAGCATCTGAAGAAGCTGATGGTGTTGCATCCATAGATGGTGTAGTGTAATTACTTGGGGTAGTATCATCTCTTAAAAATGGAGTATAAGCAGAAGGTGGTGGCGTTGTGATACTTGGTGATGAAGTTGTTTCTGAATTACAATATAAATATTTATTGAACGTTTTATGATTTAAAGCTTACATGAAATTATGAAATATTTTTGAAAGGTCTTAGAATAATAATAGGATGTGTGATGGGACTGTATGCTGATTAAATATCCAGACAAAAAATGTTGATTTAATAATCAGCATAAGAGACGTTGATTTATGATTACGCTTTAACATTTTACAAAAATGAGAAAAATTTAAATATAGTGCAACATATTTATAGCTGTTAAACTCAATATAGATCAACTTTTCTAATAAAGGTGAAATTATAGATATAATAAAATGATAAACTTTGTCATGCAAAAAATTGTAATTAGAAGTGAGTTATCCTTATTTTATGCAACTGAAATCAGACATATCAAATAAATTCAAACAAGCTCACCTGTCATTGATTTAACTTCTGTAAACGTTGAAGAGTCCACAACAGTGCTGGTGTTTTTCTCTTTAATCTCTGCTGATGATTTAGCTCCGTGTTGTCTTAGAACAGCAACTGCTTCATTGTTTGATTTCTTAGTGGCCATATCCAAAGCAGTCTGACCGTTATTGTCTGTGATGTCAAGATTAGCGCCACGTTGGATAAGCAGTCTCATGGTCTCAATCTTCTTCCCTATTACACTGTAGTGTAATGGGGTACTTCCCAACAGGCCTCTGCGCTCAACATCAGCTCCAGCTTCCAGTAATGCCTCCACAACTTCTTTAAGATCGTTCTTACAGCTGTAGTGTAAAGCTGTGTTGTCACAGCTATCTGCGATGTCAAAAACGCTTGTCTTTTTTAACAGTGTTAAGGCTGTTTCAGAATTTACCCCTACCTGAACAGCACAGTGTAAAGCTGTTTGACCACAGTTGTCTATGATATCTGCTGAGGCTCCAGCTTGAAGTAAAAAATCGACAATTTCATTTGAGCCCTCTTGTGATGCGATATGTAAAGCTGTTGTACCAAAGTTATCAGTGCTATTAACATCCGCGCCTTTATCTAAAAGCAACTGTATAAGACTCTTACTTTCTTTAACAGCAGCAGTATATAAAGCTGTCCAATGCGTCAAGTCAGCCGGTTTTTTACTAAATCTAGCTCGATCGATAATATTACGTGTTTCTTTAAGCAACTTAGCGAGTTTCGAACTTTCACACCTAGCAGCGTAATATAAAGCTGTCTCGCCGCTCCCGTCAACCAGATTTACATCAGCGCCTGCATCCAACAGAATATCCGCAATTTCCTTGCATCCCGATTGACAACACGCATGTAAAGCTGACATTTTATGACGACCGTTCAGTTGATTGACATTGACTTTCCATTTCACCAGAAGTTGAACAAAATCTTTACGACGCAATACAGCGCTTATATACAATGGGCTATCTCCGTAACTTGTTTTGACATTAACATCCGCCCCATCCTTTAATAAAAGTTCCCCATAATATAAATCGCTTTTTTCTGCAGCAAGATGTAAAGGCGCTTTGCCATCAGAATTCTTACTGTTTATGAACATGTTTGACCTTAAAACTGTATCTTGTAGCATTGAGTTATTATCATTATCGGCTAAATAGGAGATATATCTCTTATTTAAAAGAGAACGAATTATACCACTGATGATTTGTATTCCCCTATATAAAAGTTTAATAAAAATAACTAAACAGCACAAAAAGATTAAACTATAATTTGGAAAACAGTAGTTCAACACTACCCAAATTACGTTTTTAAAAAACGTATAGACGCTCATGTTTTCTTCTCTGATTTCATCCTCGAAGCTTATATATTGATTGCTGGAAGACATCTTCGTTTGATTATTTTGATTCAGTAGCCATTTGACATAACCTATTTTAACGAATGAAATAAGCAGGCTGAAAACATGTATTACAATTTACATGAAATATAACTCTATAAAAATGAACCAAACGAAATATTCGACATCGGTAAACCAACACTTCTGATAGCTAGGAAAGTGCAAAGTATGTACAGATAGTGTATCACTCATTGTGTTTGTTGTGTATATAAAACGTATTACAACGGGATGTTGAATTGTATGTATGAATAGCTGTTTTTTGTTAAGCTGTGGCAAAGCGTGTTATTATTGCTCAATCAATTTTGTTAAAATAATCAACATTAAAAGCATCAATTGCTTTTTATTTAATCTCCCAAGATTTCATTTAGATCATGAGTGTCCCAAATTATTTATATTATATTTTATAGGTATGGTGTTCTACTGCTAGCCCGAAGGTATCGAGTTCGGATCTTGGTCCAGATTGCAAGACGTCAGTGAATCTACCCAGCTCTGATGGGTACCTGACCTGCATAGTGCTGACCACATCATCCCTTCATATACAAAGAACAAGAAACACCTAAACTCTGATTCACCTGTCCTGTGTATCGTTAGGTTTTAAAGGGGAGCTATAATTTACATATGATGATGAGTTTAAAGTTAATTAACGATGTTATTGTTCCGAAACTTATTGTTAACCAAACAGTTGTTTTATTGCACTTTAATGTTTTGTACATTTTTTTTTCATACTAATTAAAGAACTGTGTTTTAAATAACATCTAGCTGTAAATGGCTTATCCACAACAGGTAATTAAATAAAGCGGGAGAGATCCTCCCTAAACTTTCTCGAATATTTTTATATAACACTAAGGAGTTGGCAACTCGTGATATAGGCACGATTTTAAATCAGTTTTTACATACTTAAACTTTAAAAAATGAACATTATCTTGTAGAAAAAAGAATTCCGCAAAAGTGAACGGTAAACAATATGTGCGGAATAGTAGTACTTTATAAATTCATATACGTTTTTCGAGAAATCGGAAATAGCGTAAAATATTACTTCCGGTCAACAGGAACTACTCAAACTTCGTCAGAAGGCTGATAACTAGATCTTTTACTTATTTGTGAAATTTCGTATATCTGTATGAAATAGTGCTCAAGTTATGAGCTTTTGAAAAACCAAAAGTAGAATAAGTTCCATTTCAGATTACTATAAATCGCTGAAAAGTTGATACAGAACTAAAAATTTGATATAATAATTATATATGAGATTTCATCAACGTAACTGTAACTGTACTCAAGTTATGGTGATCACAAACATACACACAAACACACACACACACACACACATACATACAAACATACATACATACATACATACATACGCACAGACATACGGACAAAAGTGCAAAACTATGTTTTTCTGAGTCAGGGAAGTGTGAAACGTCGAAAAAGTAAAAAAGGCCGAGAAGAAAAAAAATCAATAAATGAAATGTAAGTAGAAGTTAAACGACATGAAATTAATAATCAATGTATCAAGTTAAGAGAGCACTTTAAAAAATGTACGCGTTACCATTATTTTTCAAGTATGAGATTTTGTATTCATAAAAACGAAACTCTAGTCGCTCTGTTACTCCTAATCTATTGCACAATAATTACTGCTGTAAGATATTGCGATAATTAAGCAAAATAAAGTAAACATATGACGTCATGTATGAGTGTGACAGTGCACACACCTGTGAGTGTGTATGTGTGTGTGTGTGGGGGGATTTTCAACATTGAGAATATATACTTGTTATTAAATGAGCTAAAGTTAAAAATGCAAAGAAAATTCAAATTCAAAGCCTTTTCTACGCCTTTTCTTGAACTGAAATGGATGTTCGATAAGAAAGTTTAGTTTCTGTTCTATTTTATTTTGCAAATAACTTCTGAAGTTGAATTTACATACCTTTATAAAATACACAACCCAATATTAAAAATTATATGTATGATTTACAAATAGGTCATGAACGGAGAAAAGATAATTATTTTGACATGAACGACTTACCTACAATCTAGAAACCCTTCGACCTAAGCACCACTGGAGCAACATAGAGTTTAAAATGTAGGCATACAACCGGACAAGCAGCCAATAGAAGTTACAACCCTGTTGTTTACTGTGTTACTTAGCTACAACATGGTATATTTAGACCGGGTTCAAACCGGGTTCAAATATCGACCAAGCACTGCTGGGGATTCCCCATTTTCGTATTCGCTAACCTTGTTAGCTTTGAGCTTAGTACGGGAATATCGTGCTGCAGTTTGTCTATATAAAAGTGTGTTGTGTTACTGTGTGATAGCTTGTCTGTATGAATGTGTGGAGCACGACTGGCAGTTGTCTGTATAAATGTGTGCGTCAAGACTGGTAGTTTTGTGTATAAAAGTGTGGGCCAAGAAATGCCACATGCTTTATCTGAGTATAATACCTTAGCCACCCCTACACAACCCGGTGTAGTCCCCAGATCAATTACGTCCTCTCAATCACCAGCCTGTGTAATTACCCCACAATACAATACATGTTATACCAATACCAAATCCTTTCTTTCAGCATAGCCATCTCCAAATCCCTAACCCTGTTGCTAATGCAAAAACTATATGCTTATCCTTAACTTTCACTCAGTCTATATGCATATTATATCCTTTCATTACCGTTACCGTTATCTTAGTTTTTCGGTCGGAATAATGTCCTGGTAGGTGGGGTTATTAAAAACAGCTTATTGAACAGGGGGGGGGGTAATGATGTTGTTAATAAACGGGAGGGAAGTAATGTCAAGATCCTTTTTAGGCACACCCTACACCTGTAACGTTACGTAACGTCGTCTTAATTAGGCCATAACACCTCATTATAATTTTTTGGCTTTGCACACCCCTTATACAGCTAAATCTTTCCCAAATGTAATGAGACAAAATAGTATTTTAAAAAATCATTGCTGCAAAATAACAATGTACACTAATTAAAGATTTAGGTATAGTATTTAATGGGAGCCGGACGTTTTCCCGAAAGACACTTGCCCGAATGCCGTTTGCCCGAAGGCCGATTTCCCGAATGGACACTTGCCCGAATGCGACAAATGCCCGAATGGACACTTGCCCGAATGCGACAAACGCCCGAATGGACACTTGCCCGAATGCGACAAATGCCCGAATGGACACTAGCCCGAATGGGACAAATGCCCGAATGGACACTTTCCCGAATGCGACAAATGCCCGAATGCCACTTGCCCGAAGGCCGTTTGCCCGAAAAATGTTAATATTAGATAATAAATAGTATTTCCAAATAGACATTCTTTAATCAATTTAAGTTTTAAATTTTGATAATAAACACAATTTTAAGCATAAAACAAAATTGTTTATATTTTTAAATTTAGCTTTTATTTTTTTTTTCAAAAATGGGAAAGTGCAGTAAGAAAAACTTTATCCTAATATATAAATCCCCACGTTCGCACATCTCTCTCTCTCTCTCTTTCTCTGTCCGCAAAAATTTTTCGCCGGACATCACGTCAGAATAGGGAGCGATATATGAAGAACTTTTTACGGACTTTTGTTGAAAATAATATGTTAGATGTTTTAAATGTATAACCACAATTTTAGTTAAAGAAGAAAAATAAAAATTAAAGGCGTATTCGAATGTAGAGAAACAGTATTATTTATGCAACCGGAAAAGGATTAATACATGTGAAAAAGAACGCATAAAACTGTGACGTCACTATTGCTTATACATTAACTAATGACGTCATCTGCCGTGTTTTGAATAAAAAGAAATGAACTATTTCATTCAAATTTGATTTAGATCTACGTACACTATGAAATGTATACAATACAATTTTTCCGGCCTAAACTCATAAAATTTATTTTATGTATTTGGATTCTAGATCTAGAGATTCTAGATCTAGACTAAATCTAAATCTAAATCTACTTTAACTAGATCTAGACGTAGACGCTAAGATCTAGATTTAGACTCTTAACTTCTCTAAAATCAATTCCAAAAATAAATTTCTATATTAGGACTAAACTATTTCAAGACTTATTTATTTTATACAAAATCTTTGTTATGAACTGGCTAATTTGGGATAAAAAATTAATTTGAAAGAATAGGCATATTCGCGTAAGTTAAGATTTTAAAATACGTGTTTCATTCTCCGTATTTTATAAGGTGCCTAAATAGCGGAGTTATTGTTAGTGTACATTAATCCACGCAGGTGGTGCGGGTTCGAGACACAGCAAGTCAACTTGGTTAATGTATTCTTTTTTATTATGCTCGGGCTAAACTTAAAAAAAAATTCTTTTAGGAATCTAGATCTAGATTGTCGGGTGTCCGATAGGGCACTTCCCGGCGCCGCAGGCGCTTCAAATTTGGCATGATCTTGCCTTGGTGCGACAGAACACGGGGGCCGGTTGGCCGAAAAGTCTACGATGTGGGGGTCAAAACTGACCTCGACTGACCGGTACCTTATATGAGCTATAAATCGAAAAAAAATGTCCACGGAGGAACCTCTTCATAACTCTTGAGGTCGTAGACCGACCTTCGGGCGAATTAATTAAGCATTCAAATTCTCAATGTTTTCGAAAGCCTAAGCGAAGCTGGGCAGCATGCCTAGTTCTTTAATAAATGTAAAGTGATGTTGGCGGCGGTGTTCTAACATTCTTTTGATGGATGTTTTGAACACCTTGTTTAGCCGACGTGTTGCGGTGGTTATATAGCTTTTATGACACTGCGCAGGCGGCGTCGGGGGTCTAGGATATAGATTGTGTTTAAGGGGGTAGGCTCCAGAAAAAACCAACTTCTTAATTAAAACCTTTTATTGATTCATTTGTGTATATCTAAGTTAGGGTACTTGAAGGAAAATATTTCCATGCATCAGGGAATATTTTGAAAAAATGGTTGCCATGGCAACGGCGGCCATCTTGAAAAAAACATCCTTTTCTGGAGTTCTAAAATTTCATAAACTAACATAAATATCGGCTATATAACCATTGATCCTTCTTGTACTAACGCTAATAGAGTCAGCTGGCTAGTTTTTGTAACAGAAATCACTCTAGAAATATTTTTTTTTAATTTTCAAAATTTGGTGTGACGAAATTCCAATGAAAATAATGCTAAATTCAATGGAATTTCACCACATATTTTTTTGAAAATTTGAAAAAAAATATGTCTAGCTGTGTTTCGGTTACAAAAATTAGCCAGCTCACTCTATTGATGTTAGTACAATAAAGATCAATGATTATATGGGCGGTTTATATGTTACTTTAGGAAATTTTAGAACTCCACAAAAGGTAGTTTTTTCCAAGATGGCCGCCGTTTCCATGGCAACCATATTTTCAGAAGAGTCCCTGGTACATCCAAATATTTTTCCTTAAGTACCCTAACTTATACATACACAAATAAATGAAAAAGGCTTTTTAACTAAAAAGTTTTTTTCCCTGTTTTTTTCGGGAGCCTATCCCCTTAATTTATCTTGTTATGCTTAGCTTGTGTGGTAATTATTTAACAAAAGAATGAGGCGAGGTCTAGGTGGCGAATTTTAAAAATTAAACGTAGTCAAATATGTTTGATCTCCATTTAATGCACCTTGTTAAGACAATGTGTTGAAGCGATTACTTAATAAAGAAAGCAAATTTCATTTTACAATCCGGAGATGAATGAAAATTGTATTTTTGTCTAATTTCATATATGGAAGAGAAAGTATGTTTCTACACTTATTAAATATCAAATACAAATTAATTTAAAATGTCTGTGTGGTAATATATAATATTTTTTTTTTCACTTTCTTTTTGCGTAGATGTGTTTTGTTTACCAACCTTTTAAATTTAAATTGATTACGAATGATTATTAAGTAATATATAATGTTAACAGTTTTCGGGCAAACGGCCTTCGGCCGAGTGGCATTCGGGCATTTGTCCCATTCGGGCAAGTGTCCATTCGGGCATTTGTCGCATTCGGGCAAGTGTCCATTCGGGCATTTGTCGCATTCGGGCAAGTGTCCATTCGGGCGTTTGTCGTATTCGGGCAAGTGTCCATTCGGGCATTTGTCGCATTCGGGCAAGTGTCCATTCGGGAAATCGGCCTTCGGGCAAACGGCATTCGGGCAAGTGTCTTTCGGGAATATGTCACATAAATAAATCACAGAAAATCTAGTAGGGTTGTCGTTTTTGACGTAAAACTGCACACGAAAACCGTAGAATGAAGATCTCTTGGTAGTCTTCTAGCCAAAAAATTAAATACACACTTTCTATGCTGTACACTGTACACATCGAGAAGGTTAAAAAGAGTCTAAGTATTGCCGGGAATTCCCCATTTACGAATTGGATAAACACGAGACTGTGTATAGCATAATGTATCGTTCAAAATATTTTGTCATGTACCTAGACTCTACACGAAAGCCTCACATAATTTGAAAATAATTCTGATTTATTAAAATAATTGACATTTTAATGTTCACCACATGACTAGAAGCAGGTCTATAATTTGGGACACATTGGCTCAAAGTGAAATTATTTTGATTATTTAGATTTTTAAAAAGTTCAACTTAAATCTTATCTACAAAATGATAACACATTGTTGGCTCGCCATTTTGTATCCCATCTTTACAGGAACTTTAGGATAGAAAACAGTGCACCATTTGTAAAAGGAAATTAAGTCACATGAGTTATCACACTACCGCACTATGATTATAATCGACCTTAGCTTCAAATTCCTCATATAAGTAGGCCTATTTGATTTTGCAATCTTTCTTTAGATCTAAATGCCTCACTGTCCAGGTGCCTCTTAATGCTATAGTTTTTAAATTTATTTTGATCACCTTATTATGGAGATATATCTTTCTATCAATAAAAATGAATTCAAAGATTGCTATAGTTAACAACAGAAAGGGAGTTTACTAGAAATTAAATTATCAATCTTGTAAGCTGTAAATGTTGTGTTCAGATCTCAGACAAGAAAAAGGGCACTTTTAAATGGCAGGTCATTATTGCACAGAATTAAATATTTTGCAATGTGCTGACTGTTTAAAACTAATTATTGTAATCATCTTAATAAACAGCTATTAAAACGTTAAGATAAAATTGATTGCTATCAGTTGTATATCTATTAGCTATTCCATTTTCACATTTATAAAATAGAAATTTGTCAGCTTTTCTTGGCTTAGCTGTATTTCTGGTAACAAATCTCGAAGTGTTAATACTTTATGTAGTATCGACACTTGCTGCTGGTGTTGTTGTGGTAAAGTGGGTGTAAATAAATAGTTGGTGATGTAATTTGTGTTGTCTTGTTTTAACTTAAGTCTGTTATCGTTGATTCAGGTATTTATTGAAGTTAACTATCTTGTAGTTTAATTTTTTGCGGGTTCCAAGGCTGATGTTTTGGACATTTAGTTTTGTATATTTTTAAAATTATGGTTATTGACATGCTCTATTCGGTGTATGGGAATAAGGGAATGCAGCCAAATTATGACAATGGGTGTATAGTCTGAACAAAGACAATATATGCATTGTGTTTTTGTGATCTGAATAGGCACATGAACCTGCTGATGCGTGGGCTTGGTTTATTTACAACAGAAGTAGATTTATAGTTACGGTTAACAAATTTCAAATTGTCATCACTGGCAGTTTCCTCTCTTCCATATTGCTTCGATCGCTCCAACTACAATGTTTATATTTATAGCATCTTAAACAGCAAAACAACACAGTAGGAGCATGTATTTAAAGTTTTAGACACGTTATGTTTACAGTTTGTTTATTAGCTATACAGTATACAATTTTAAATAGAGTTACAACTGTGTACATATATAAAAATATGTGTTTACAAAAGATGTTTATAATATTGTTTTCTACATTACCTATTTTTAAATTTAGATATAACGACGCTGACATATAGCTGATGAAGCTTTAAATGTTATATAGTAATAGAATGTTTATTAACTGCACTTACACATATGGGAAAAAAAGCCACAGCCTTTAGGAAATAATCCAATAAGAAAACATGGACCAAAATTATGAAAATTTCAGTCTTAAAATTTTACAAGATAAATTAGTAGAATTAATAACAGTAAAAATAATGAGTAATACACGTGTGCTTGTAAAATACTTAAATAGTGACTTGTGTCTATGTGGCCTAACACTTTTTGTAAGAAAAAGTTAAAACAGTTACTAAATTAGCCACTAAGTTTGACTTCTAACAATATTTATATATCCATACTATATTCAGATACAGAGAGATGTCTCTTGCTAAGTCAAGTCAAATAACGCTTTCAACAAATCTACACTGGTCCACTTAATGAACATTGTCTACGTATTTTATAGGTATTGTCTAAACATTGTCTACATATAGTCTATATACTACACAAACACATTTTGTCCTTTACCAACGTAGGATGCCAATAGAGCAGTCTTGTGCCCCACTAAAGGAGTCATTCGCTGGCTAGATCTATCCTACGCAGACTCCTCTCTCACAGACTTCTCTAAACTTGACAAATGAAGTTGTCAAGCCGTTAAACGATGCTCTAGGATTTCCCAACAAATAGATTTAGTTTGCTGTCGATTGCTACGTACTTTGGTTTCTTTATGTTTAATTCTTCGCAGTGATTAATGATGGTTGGTTTGTATTTTACATTCCAATTTCTGAAATAGATATTATTTCATCTAAACAAATAAGAAGGCTTACTTTAAAAAAATGATATTGTGACTAATAAGTAGGACTAATACATATTACCGAAAAAGTGTAAAAACCGACATTCTATAGAATACCTAGTCAATGTATACAATGACTGAAATAAGTGGTAAAAGTATGAAATATTTCATACATGTTCTAGCAATTCTATAGAATACCAAGTAACCAACAGTCACAGCTTAGAATACGCTTCTGGCCGGAACATTTGTTAGGTTTAGGGTTATTGTTAGGAATGGGGTTAGGGTTAGGGTTAGGGATTGGGTTAACAATTGGGTTAAGGTTTGGTTTATTGTTAGGTCTAGGGTTAGGATTAGAGTTAGGGTTAGGATTAGGACAAGTGTTAGTTTTAGGGTTAGGCTTAGAAAGAAAATTAACTTTAATTCAAAATGCCAATGCCATTCTAGCCTTCCATGTTGTAACAAAAAATAAATGATAGCACTTCTGTTCTCTCAAAAAAGCTTTCCTTTTTTATTTTGTATTTTTTTCTTTCACTTTTTGACTCTTTGTTATTTAAAACTTTTGCAATCGGGGCATTTTACATATTGCCTGAGCAGTTTTTATCACTTTGTATAAAGCCTAGTTATATTATGTAATGCCTAAGAAGGGTATACAACAACACTTATATGTCTCTCCTTAATTCTATGTATATATATATGTATATATATATATATATATATATATATATATATATATATATATATATATATATATATATATATATATTCAAATATAATTAATGCCGACAATACAATGGAATATTTTAACTCACACATTCATATTTCCAATGCTGCAATTGCTCTGATTTTCTATAATTGTAGTAATTTCGGTTTTTAGAACACACCGCATTACATCAAGGAAATCCAAACATGGAAAGTTAGCGTCCGTCTGTTTTATTCGGGCTTGTTTCGTGTCTTCGAAATTCTCAATGCAGCCCTCATTCACAGTGTTTAGTTTGGTAGTATTCGTATTTATATTCTCCTTGTTTTTGGTGGAATCAAAGACACAACTAGTTTCTTGTATATCCATCGCATCTAGTTTATCTAAATGAAAACAGAGTGTATCATTTATCAATACCAATTTATGGATTTTAAGATTAAAGGTAATTTAATATCATATAAGCATAATTTTTTTACATACATGCATTTTCTAGACCAAGTCCGGCTGCATGATCATGATCAGTAACAGATTGGTCCAACACATTCATACGATTCTCCAGGAATGTCTGATGATTCTCATTTAACATTTGCTGTTTTGGTGCAGTATCAGTATTGGGGGTAGTATCATTACTTGCATCTGGTGTAGTGGTAGAAGATGTTGGTGTTGTGTTCATAGATGGTGCAGTATCAGTACTTGGGGTTATATCATCACTTGCTTTTGTATTAATTGTAGAAGCTATTGATGTTGTATCCAAAGGTGGTGCATTATCATTACTTGGGTTAATATCTTTACTTTCGTTCGGAGTAGTTATAAAAGCTTTTGGTGTTGTGTCCATAGATGGTGCAGTATCATTACTTGGGGTAGTGTCATCACTTGCATCTGGTGTAGTTGTAGAAGCTGTTGGTGCTGTATCCATATATGTCGAATTATCATTACTTCCGGCAGTATCATCACTTAAAGATGGAGTATTTGTCGAAGCTGGTGGCGTTGTAATATTTGGTGATGAAGCTGTTTCTACATTACAATATAAGAATTTAGACAGTGTTTTATGAGTCTAGATTTTACTAGAAATTTTAGATATTTTTTAAAGGTCTAATAATAATAGCCCACATGGGATAACTTGCTTATTAAATATCTAGACACATCATGCTGATTGGATAACTGGCATAACATGTTAATTAATGACTATGCTTTAACATTAAAAGTAGGCATGAAATGTCTATGCAATCATACTAAAATTTTGAAAAAAATCTTAAAATTTTTTTTTTTGTAGTTACATTTGCAAAAAAATTAATTTTATAAAAATGTTTTAATAACAAGCTTTTATTTAATAATTCACTAAAAAGTAGAAAATGAATTATAGACTACTATTTATATAACTATAAAGAAAAGTGTGGGTCACTATATTATTTTTAAATTATTTAAAGGGCCTCTGGAATATTTTCTCGCTCGCCTCCATTATGATTGAAAAATACGCTTTCTGGCATTAAACATTTGGATCCAGCTTTTCAATCTTTTTATTTGAAATCTATTTTGTTTATTCTATTTCTTTATTGTGATGTTTTTTTTTAATTTAAATATTTGCATATTGTTAATCCTGTATTATTTTATTTTTGCCAGTTGAGAAAATACCGAAACATTTTTTAATTACTCATGTACAGAGTGTAGGGGAAGTAATGTAATCGTGCGAAATCGAGACTTTAACAAATCTCGAAGTTTTTCATAGAATATCAGAATCGTTAATGTTTCAATATATTCTTATAAAATGGAGATTTTTTTTTGTATCTTTGTTTCTTACTTACCCAATACTAATATGACCCGATTACTCTAGCAATGTCATCCTAACCTTTATGAATTTATAAGAATATTTGAGAAAGATTAGTGGGTGGGGGGGGGGGGGGGAGAGAAAAGTCAAGTGCCGCTTTATTAATTTAAAGTCTCTAAATATTAGTTATCTTATTGTTGATTAACCCGGTTTATTTAATATTTTTTAAAAGGCTAAAGTCCATTCAGAAGACTAGATTTACTCATACAATTTTTTGTTAATGTGAAGAGTAATAAAAGTATCACTTTGAACTAGCAATTGATGTCATCAGTAGTATAAAAGCTAAGATAATTTTCTAATTAAATAAAGCTGGAGCTATAGTTAAAATCTAATAAGAAAAATGTCTAATACAACAGATTGTAATTACTTGAGTTTTCCAAAATTCAGGCAATTGTATGTAAACAGATAAACTCATACAAGCTCACCTGTCGTTGATTTTACTTCAGTAAACGTTGAACAGTCCACAACAGTGCTGGTGTTCTTCTCTTTAATCTCTGTTGATGACTTAGCTCCATGTTGTCTTAGAACAGCAACTGCTTCATCGTTTAAACACATAGTGGCCATATCCAAAACTGTCTGATCATCGATGTCTGTGATGTCAAGAGTAGCGCCACGTTGGATAAGTAGTCTCATGGTCTCAACCTTCTTCCCTGTTACACTGTAGTGCAATGGGGTCCTCCCCCAGAGCTGGTGTCTGCGGTCAACATCAGCTCCAGCTACCAGTAACGCTTCCACAACTTCTTTAAGATCGCCCCGACAGCTGTAGTGCAAAGCAGTGTTGCCATTTCTGTCTGCGATGTCAAAAACGTTTGTCTTTTTTAACAGTGTTAAGGCTGTTTCAGGATTTCGCGCGTACGCAACAGCACAGTGTAAAGCTGTTTCACCACGGGTGTCTATGATATCTGCTGAGGCTCCAGCTTCAAGTAAAAAATCGACTATTTCACTTAAACCGCTGTATGATGCGTAATGTAAAGCCGTTTGTCCAAAATTGTCAATGATATTAATAGCCGCGCCTTTATCTAAAAGTAACTGGATGCGTTTCTTACTGTCTTCTATAGCAGCATTATATAAAGCTGTCCAATCTTTCATGTCAGGCTTTTCACTAGAGCAATAATTATTTGTACGCTTTTCTAGCAGCTGGGCAAGTTTCAAACTTTCGTACCTAGCAGCATAATGTAAAGCTGTCTTACCTTTTCCGTCAGCCAGATTTACATCAGCACCTGCATCCAACAGAGTATCCGCAATGTCTACATATCCGCGTTCAAAACACACATGTAAAGCTGATTGTTTTTCACTACGACCACTCATTTCATTGACATTTGCTTTCCATTTCACCAAAAGTTGTGCAAAGTCTTTGTGATTTCTTGCCGCGCTAATAAACAATGGACTCTTTCCTGAGTCATAACCTTTAGTTTTGACATTAACATCTGCGCCACCATTTAATAACAACTCCCCAAAACATACGTTTTTCTTCTCTGCGTAAAGATGTAAAGGAGCCATTCCATCTGAGTCCGTAAGGTTTAAGTCAATGTCTATCATCGAAAGTACATTGTTTATCACTTTGCTGCTGCATTTCTTGGCTAAGTAGGAAATAGTTCCATTTTTAAAACAAATATTACTCCTTGATTTTCTAAGTAATACAAGTATAATGAACACAGTTTGAAGAATAAACAGAAAACAATACAAATAGTTCACACTTTGAAACTGCAAAACGTGGTGTAACAAGCTAATAAACCATGTCTGGGGACTCTTGTATGTTTTTATTTCTTCTTCTCCTGTGTAGGAGTTGCTGATTTGATCCTCAGAAAATATTTTTGTAGCAGTGGTTTGTTGATCGAGAAATGACATCTTCTGTTTATTTTATTTTATTCACTCCACCTATGGTAAAGAATAAAATAAGAAGTCGAGAAATATGTATTGAAAATTACCTGGACAGTTATGCTAACAACTTTATTAACAAAATTTAAATTTAAACGTTTTTAAAGGGGCTGTATCACCCTGTTGGGTTCTTCTATGTCTATGTCTAGAGTATATATTAACAGACGTTTACAACAGTAGATAACACTAACACTCTATAATAAAAATAATAAGAGATTCAATATATATATATATATATATATATATATATATATATATATATATATATATATATATATATATATTTATATTTATATTTATATATATATATTTATATATATTTATATATATATATATATATATATATATATATATATATATATATATATATATATATATATATATATATATATATATATATGAAGAGTTGATTTTCAAAACGCGATAAGCGCCATTTTTGAAAAAAATGAGATAAGGTGCCCATATTGTAAAGCTACTCAGTTACTATTAGGAAAACTTAATTTTAATCTTCACGGCGCAAAATTTTCATTTTATTTCTATTTTTGAAAAAAACGTTTGGTTTCAAAACGCGGCATTGTTGATTTTATTTAGCGTCAAAATGCGGTATCGATTCGGACCAATCCGTGTAAATATTACTATTTATCTGCGCATGCGCATTAAGCATCTCTAAGCGAAACAATTGTTAAAATGGCGAACTTTGATGGTCACGACGAAAGTGTTGTACTGACAATTAAGTCCAGAAAAAAGAAGAGGTCATGCACAGAAAGAGAAAAAGAAAAGATCTTTCGTCATTCAGGAGGAGGAATGATCCCGTCCATTTCGTGTAATCATATTAAAGGATTCTGCAAGGTAAGTTGTAGATAAAACTGTAACTTATCTTCTAACACACACTAGGCAGGCCTGAGTTTACTTTTTTTTAAACAAGATAGTATTACTAGAATTTAGATATCTAGCTTGTTCTTTTATTTGTTGAGTGAAGTTTTGAATGTAAATGTATGCATACCAGTAGGTCTAGGCTACTGTCAGCTCTAGCTTAACATTCCAAAAGTAGGGAGAGATTCTAGATCTAATTCTAGTCTAGATTATCTACTAGTCTACTACATACATATTCTAGATCTAGTATCTAGGCCTACTATTTTTTCTAGCTAGACGAAAGTTTTAACAATTCTAGTCAATATTATATCTAAACTTTGATTTATCATCTAGGTTGTATGTCCTCGTTTGTCTAGTCTAGCAATAACTTTAAGCCAAGGCAAGGGGTTAGTCCTAGCTACTAGATCTAACTAGTAGTATAATTTTTAATATAAAATTAAATCTTCTATTGTAGCAAAACATACATTTGTATTATTTATTTCAGGCTCAAGATATAACACCTGATGACCTGGTGAAATGCCATGCAGAGTTTTACAGCAAACTGGACAAAGAGTCACAAGATGCTGCTATAGTAGCTTTGCTTGATGCGGACACCACGAAAAGAGTGAATGATCAGAGGAAAAAAACAAGACACATGATGATCAAATACTTTCTTTGTAGTGATGGAAACAAGCTGCAAGTTTGCCAGTCTTCTTTTTGTTCAGCATTGTGTACGTAAATAGCTTTACCTTCAGTTTGCTATATTGGATTTGCTCGTACTGCAGTTATTGTCAATAAAAAACTGACTATTGTCCAGAGGTTTATCCGATTATGGAAATTCTCTTTTTTCAATGTTACAGTGGAATTATCTTAATAATACATGGTTAATATATCCACTTTTTTAGGGAAAAACTGGGATTCATTCAACACAAAGGAGCCTGGAAAAAAGAACTGTGTAAAGGTGGCTAAAAAGACAGATGTTCTTTGTGTTCTCGAAGCCGTAGGAGTGGAGGAGAGAATAAAGATTTCTTATGAGGCACTGCTATGTGATGCTACTGAGGATGTTGCTCATTCTAGCTCTGATGTAGATAGTGCCTAGTTTGTCTGAATTATTTATTTTTTCTTGCTTCACTCATTTTTGTTTTCAACCTTTTTTTTTTTCATTTCATGCTATTTCTTTTACATTTTATGATTGTAGTATAAACTAATAAACTTTTTTCTTCTTTTAAAACTATTTTATGTTGACTTTTTTAGTTCTTTAGACTTTGTTAACACAGTTCAACAGTAGAAAAGACAAGCTGTGCTCTTCAAATTAAAGTCTCTCGTTAGAGACTTGCATCATTTTGAAAATGGTTCAAATAACTGAAATTACTCAATAAAAATACTTTATAGTAACAGAAAAACATGGTACAATTGTAGTAAGATGGTATCACTGGGAATATAAGTGGGTTTTAATAAAATAATAAACTAAAATATTGGACATTAGATGTATTATCAGAAAAAAAATGGATATACAGCGTTTTGTAGCTTAACAAAAGCTGGATATACCTCATTTTGCAACTAAACGCAAATTTTGGGACCAAAAAAAAGCATCTTTTTATGCAGGTACATTTCAAAAACCATTCTAGTCCTATTTATATGAGGGTTATGAACCTAAATTGACAAACAGTTTTAGCAAATTGTACAATGGCTTCGTGTAGGAGAAAAGTGCGATTTTCTCGAAACCCAAATTTTGGATATATTGCATTTTGAAAATCAACTCTTCATATATATATATATATATATATATATATATATATATATATATATATATATATATATATATATATATATATATATGAATAAACAATATGAAAAATATAAAAGGTACAATATTCACTAACAGAAATGTATCGCCAAAAAACCAAAAAAAACCCCCAAAAAACAAACAACTATTAGGCATATTTTTACAGTAGTAATAATGATTAATTAGTGATATTGGCGAATTGTTTCGTCAATCATCCGTTGTCAGGTTGATACTTTTGCCAACCGCCCCCCCCCCCCAAACGAAACGGAAGTGATATAGAAAATATATACTTTTAACAGTGTCCGCCCCCACCCCCCTGAAATTTTAGTCCGTCCTTCCGAGAATTTTAAGTGCCCCCCCCCTCCCCCCGAAAAAAAGTGTGGAAGAAACACTGTTTAAATCTTATAATAGTGTTACGAATTTATGGAAAATTACGCCAATGAAATACTTTAAAAAAGAGTTTTACAACATGTGTAAAATATATGAATCTATGATTTATTAAAGCGTAACACGAGTTGTTAGTTAAACTGAATTCAAGAGATTAATAGATTGTGTTAAATGTATTGGTACACTAGTTATTAATAAATGAAAAAAAACATCAAAATTACTATCCAAATTAGTTTTTGTACTATTTAATTAAGTACTTAGTTAAATATGGTACATTCGATTTAAAATTCAACCAACCTTTTGGATGTAAACACAATGACCATGTAGAAGAAGGGAAGATGGCGCTTCAAGTCACAGGGTCAAGTTATCACGAATGAATTATAACGCCTAAGTCTATAAAAGCAATGTTTGATAATAAAAGTAGGCTAAAATACTAAACTGTTTCTGTAAGGTATATTTATAGTTTCAAAGGGCTGCTACTTAATATTTTTTTGTTGCAAAACAAGCGATAACAGGTTAAAACCAGACTTATTTTTATAAATTTTTATTCCAAACAATTTGACGAGTTCACACATTATCATGTTTAAAAAAATCGGACTAAAACTAATGTTAAAAAATGTTTATTGGTAACATATCAGGGATGGTCGTTTTCTTCATTCACTTTAGAATAAAATTTAACATCAACTTTTGTGAAACACGATGTCACAATGAGTGCGTTACAAAGTCACAGTTGTAATCGAATGCCCAAACATATTTAAGAAACATTACATATATTGCTATAGCTGTATACAATTACAATATTTCTACATTTATTTTTTGACAAACGTAAGACATTTGGTATATATATATATATATATATATATATATATATATATATATATATATATATATATATATATATATATATATATATATATATATATATATATATATATATATATATATATATATATATATATATACTAGCCGTCCCGGCCAGGCCCTGCTCTGGCTTCTGTGAAAAACCTTTCTGTTAAAGACCATCACCTGTGTGTTTAGTAATCATCATAAACCCGGCATTGCCCATCCAAACCACAACCAACCAAAACCAAAACAACAAAACGCAAACATAACGCTAACACAATTACAAATACAAACGAAAACAAAAATCTAACAACAAACCCAACCACAACCACAAACACCAATACAAACACAAAGAAAAACAAACAAAAAAGCAAACGAAAACAAAAACCTAACAACAAACCCAACCACAACCACAAATACCAATACCAACCAATAACAACACACAAAAAAACGAAAAAGCAAACGAAAACAAACCAAATCCAAATGCAAAACCAACCAAAAACACAAATACAAACCCAAAGAAAAAAACACAAACAAAAACGAAAAAAGAAAAAACAAAAACGAACCAAATCAAACCGCAACCACTAACGCAAACCCAACCTAAACACAAAGAAATCACTAACGCGAACATAAACGCAAAGTGCTCACAGTCTAGCCCGGGGCGGAATCGCCTGTTTTAGCTTAATAAACGACTCTAGTACCCCAACTTATTCATAGTCTTTTGCACTCACTTAAACGAACGCGACTGTTTCAATTTAATGAACAATTATAATACTCCAAGCTTATCCGTAAAATACCTACAACATTAGCAGTTTTCATTTCTATTGCGGTGAAGTGGTTTCATGTATCAGGTTTATTATTTTTTTATATATTAGAGTCTAGTTCGTTTAATTGCAGTTCAGTTCTTTGAATTGCAATTTATGGGGATGATAAAAAGCTCTGACTCTTTTTTACAGAGATTGTGCTTAATTAAGTGTGTCTCATTACTTAATGTACCACGCATTATTAAAAAGCGCCCATTGATAACTAAGACGCTCTTAGAACTAAGCAAGCAGTGTGTTTCAATTAGAACTTAGACGGCAAATAGGTGCTGCAACTAATCGTAAACTGTGTTTTAATCTGACTGTGTCGTTAATATCTAATAAATACCACAAAACATATATAGAGATATAGATATTTTTATCTAGCTGTGTTGGTGTGTAAATCTTATCTTTAGACATAGTTTGTATGTAGTGATAAAACAAAATGTCATTCTCTGTAGGTACACTTTTACTCCTGATATTACTAAAGAAACCTCATATCTACATCTTTTATCAGATTTAGAGTGCAAATTAAGGTATTAATAAGGTGCTATTAATTTTATAACAGTCAGATTTTTGAAATTTTGTCTGTTCTACGTTTAGCACATAATCTAAATCTTGATTTCAAGGTAACACTATAGAAATACTTTGACAATACATCTGAAGCTTTTTCTCTTCACATAAACAACTATAAAAAAAACATCATGCATCGGTATTTGAACGAGTGGTATAAGCGGTGAAGAGCTCTGATGCTATACAGAAAGTCTCGGTTCAAATACCGGTCCAACTCATTAGAACTTCCCTGAGTCCACCAAGCTCTGATTAGTACCTAACTCATGTTAGGTATAGTACGGGCGGTTGGTAAAAATGCTGACCGCACCTTCTCTTCATATGCCGAGGTCAAGTAACATATGAACTCTACTTCATTGCCCAATGGATCGTTAGGTCAAAAGAGGATTCTTTACTTTTTTTTTAAAGAAAAAAAATACATTTTTATTGCTTTCTTTTCTGTGTAAGAAGTGTAAGAATATTATACATTTTTAAACTGTTTATTAGCTTTAGAGTATACGTTAAGACATTTATAAATCATAACTTGTTATTAATTTTATAACAGTGCAGTTTATTGAAATTTAGTGTGTTCTACTTTTAGAAGATAATCTAATTCTAGGTTGGAATCGTGAGTAGCACATTTAAATGCTTTACAGTAACCAGGACGTTATTTCTATATTAAAAAACAACTATTAACAAAAACAGAAATTATTAGTCTTTGGAAGTGCTTTAAAAGTTTCAATTTCAATTTCATTATAGAAATAGAATAGTTTCAAGTATAAAACTTCATATAGATATAAAAATGTTTAAAAAAAATTATAATTAAAACTTTTCTAATTGAGGTCCAATCTAACATAGGTGGGTTCTATCAAACGCCTTTTGAGACTTGTTCCTCTTTTCTGTCGTCACCGATGATGCTGTTTATCAAAACGTATTCTCCATTCTCTATATTTACCTCGTTGCAGTCTCGTATAAAATTTAGGAAGACATTTCTGAAAAAAAATGTACACCTACTAAAAATAGACGAATCTATAAATAAAGATATTGCAATTGTCAATCGGTAGGCTAGTGTAGCGCAATATTTATGTAAAAATGTTCAGCATCGTTAAGCCAATAAATACATCATTGTTCAAACTTACATTGGTGGCTTTCTCTCTCTTCCAACATTTTGTTTTCTTAACTTTCTTATCTTTCCTGTATTTAGAGCGTAGTTTAGTGCTCGCTTCACGTCAAGTTTAGAAAAAGACCCGTCCTCCCGATTCGCTGCTTTAGTTTGAGCCCTGCTCGTTACTGTACCAACCCCGATGTAGCTCTCATCAAATGTGTTGATTTTTGTAAAACTGTTCACTTCAAGGTTCATATCAAAATTGTATTTTTCTTTTATCCTCTTCTTAGCATTTGATTTGTATTTCCAGAAATACTTTCTTATGTAATAGAAACAAATGGTTTTCATGCGATTTTGATGTTGAAATTGATAATTGCTTGTTCGCTTCCGTTTTCTGTTATTTTTTCTGCGACATTTTAAAGCATCGGCTGAACCACTTGATATACATTTATATCCGCCGGGCTTAGTTTTCATAATAGAATATTTGTTTTTCAGACGCTTTATTTTATTATTTATGTCTTCAGTAGAGCGGGGTGTAATCATTTTACCAACACTGAAATTAAAGATACATTGTGTAAACGGTTTGAGAATTTGTATCTGAAACTTTACGTTTCGTAGAGGGTTTAATACATATTTATTCATTAGTAAGCAATCATTACACATCATGCATGATTATTTTCCCCAACACATTTTACTTAAAAAAATAAACAAACAAAAACAAACAAAAACAAATGGTTAGGCTGCTTAATAAAAAAATAATAAAAATTAATGCAAATAAAGAGTAAAATAAAAAAAAAAACATCACCGAAATTACAACTATATTCCTTGTATGTTTTGTTTTGGTTAAAATTTGTTCAATCCTAATTAAACATACTAAATAGATTTACATTCTTATAAATTCAACATACATTTTCTTTTTGTTCTTTTTCCTTCTGTTTTTGGTGGTGCTTTCGATGCTGGTCTTTTCTTGTTCGATCATCAAATCTTACGTAAAGAAGTAGAATTGTAATAACAATCTGCATATTAAAGCCTACGGCTAAAGAACATTTTAGATTCGAAGATCAGAATGTCAACCATACCTTTTGTTTGACTAAGTCGGAGTGAATCAGTTTGACCATAGTTCGAGTAATCCAACATCTTCTCATGTTTTTCAGGGAATGTCTGACGATTCTTTTCAAACTTGTCAAGTTTTGTTTGTTTTAAGGTGTGTTTTCGATGTATTTGTTTTAAGTTGTGTGTTTGAAGGCTTTTATACATTTTATTTGTTGACTTACGGTACTTCTTTAATTGTGTAGTTTCGGTAAGGGTTGTTGTTGTAGTTGTGGAGGTGGTGATTAGCTGTGTGGTTTTAGTAGTAGCAACTGCTGTTGTTGTGGTACACATTGTTGGTGTTGTATACAAATATGGTGAAGTTTCAGTAGTTGTGGTAGAATTAACACTTTGAACATTATTTAATGTAGCTTCAACACTTGAAACTGGTGTAATAAAACAAGCTGTTGGTATTGTATCCATAGTATTATCACTTGCATGTGGAGTAGTGGAAGAAGCTTTTGGTGTTGTATTCATAGATGGTGCAGTATCAATGCTTTGGGTAGTATTACCACTTGCAAATGATGTACCAGCTAGAGCTACAAAATAAAATAAAGGATAATTTTAAAATAATCTATAATTGCATGCAATTAAGAAATTTTGAAGGAAACGTGTTACGAGTATAGCCCTAGTGTATTGTTTATGTAATTATTATTTACACCAGCCATTGTACAACTAGAGTGCTAAAACTATGTTATAATTAAATAAAAAAGTAAAATGAGATGCCTAAATCCCTAGACCAAACAGTAAGCAGAAGTTTAGAAGGGGGTTGTCTTTATAGTAATTGAACATAAACAGATGAAACGCACCGTTAATAATCGTAATAGTTGCTCACCTATCACGTTTTCAAACTCCATTTTACTTTTCGAAGAGTCCAAAGCTGCCTCCATTTTTACTTTATTTTCTTTTGAAGACTTAGCGCCATGTTGTCTTAGAACTGCAATCGCTTCATCTTTTGAATACATAATGGCTTCATCCAAGGCTGTATGACCTGAATCGTCTTCAATGCCAAGGTTAGCGCCATGTTCGATAAGCTCTTTCATGACGTCAATGTTTTTACTCAATAGACTGCACCACAATGGGGTTGTCCCGAACCTGCTCCTCGAGTCAACATTGGCCCCGGCTTCCAGTAACGCCTTCACGACTTCTGTAAGTCCATGCTGGGAGCTGTAGTGTAAAGCTGTAATGTTATTCTCGTCACCAGCGTCAAGATCGTCTGTAAATTTTAGTAGCGTCATAATTTTTTCTGTAAACCCGTACATGGTAGCATTTAGTAAAGCTGTTCGACCACCATTGTCTCTGATGTTTGCCGAGGCACCAGCTTCCAGTAATAACATGATCATGTTGTTTTCAGCACAACCTGCCGAGCAATGTAACGCCGTTTTACCAAGATGGTCAGTGTTATTGATATCCGCACCTCTTTCTAAAAGCAACTTGACGAGTTTCTCACTTCCATTCCTAGCAGCAATATGTAAAGCTGTCTCACCTTTCCCGTCTCGCAGGTTAACATCAGCGCCTGCATCCAACAAAATATGAGCTATTTCTACATGTTCAAAATTAACACAGAAATGTAAAGCTGTTTTATGTCGAAAATTATCCTGCACATTGATATTTGCTTTATATTTCAACAAAAGTTGAACAAAATGTTTATGGCCTCTTATAGCGCTTAAATGTAGTGGTGCCATTCCTGAGTTAATAGGCCCTGTTGCTATGACATTAATATCTACTCCTTCACTTATCAAAAGTGCCCCTAAAGGTATGTTGTTCGTCTCTGCATAAACATGTAAAGGGGCCATCCCATCTGAGTTTCTACAGTTTATATCAATGTCTAATGTTGAAAATAGATGTTTAATATTAACGCTACTTTCTTTCTTGACTAAGTCAGAACGTTTTCTCTTTACAAAATCCTTCAGCTTATTTTTGTTCATCTTGGTTTTCATTTGCTTTAGCATCGTTTTACTTGACCTATTATACGAAAAAATAATAGAGGATGGAAATGTATATTTGAGCTTATATGAACTGTAAACCAAATTAAAAAATACAATTGTCGACTTTCTATTGAATCCGTGATTAACTTTAAAGTGAAAGTATATTTTTTTTGGTACATTATAATGGATTTTAAAATAAAAGAATATTAACACTTTCAATTTAACAAAATATTTCTCCACAAATTTTTTTTTTTTAATTTTTAAATTCTACATTAAAGCAGATATTCTTATTTGATAATTGCGACAATATTTTTTATTTATATATATTTATATGTTGCTAAAATTTTTGTGTGAAAACGATGATACAGCTACATTCATTACATTGCTCCAAGATTAGATCATTGCGCCTTGGAAATCAAAGCGCAAGGCCTAGGTAACAAGTTGCGAAGAGCCTGATGCTGCTCTCCCTCTCTCTACACAGCTGATGGCCTTAAAGAAGAAGTTACCAATAAACAGCTAGCAGCGATCTATCTATCTATCTAGATTTTTTAATCTAGAATCTAGTCAAATAGTGAGTTTTTATCCTCAACTATTTCAGACCTCAACTATTTTAAATAAATCTATGTTTGTTTAGCAATTAAATTAGGATATAGTTTAATATAATATAATATTCGCTTAATTTAACTTTATTATATGATGGCTCTAAGTAAATTAGCCCAATTAACCTGCACCTAATTGTATGATAGTGTTATAGTTACCATGCGGATGGTATGGGTTCGAGAAACATCATGTCAATGTTAATTCCTTTTTGTTTTAATTTTTCTTTTTTAATTTTAATGCACAGTGGTAAATCACAACGCACTCGATTGGTTTTAATTCTTTATTATTAGTTTTACGCTAATTTTAATAATTTATTTATTTATTACTCAAATGTGGTTCCAGGTCAGAAAATGGTATAGAAAGAAATCGATGTTTTTAAAAGATAAAAATATGTAAGATGAGGTGTGACTTCTTTTTAGATGTGAATGATAAAGTTGTCTATCGGAAATTAGCGGGACACGGCACAGGTGAAGTAGAGTTCACCTGTTTTTATGACCTCGGCGTATGAAGGAAAAGATTGGCTGTTTGTGACGATATGTTATAATTTGGAGGGGGGGGGGGAAGATAAAAATCTTTAAATAAAATCTTTAAATCTTTTATTTCAACGCTGGACTAGACCCTCGTCTATTTTACATATCCTTTATCTTTAAGCGGTTTTAGGTACTTATTCAACAGGTGCTTTGATAATAAGGGCGTATAATAATAATAATAATAATAATAATAATAATAATAATAATAATAATAATAATAATAATAATAATAATAATAATAATAATAATAAACTGTTGTTTTGATTAAATTCTTGATAAAATTTAATACAGTTTTTATGACAAGGTTCACTTGAGTTGCCATAAATAGAAATGTACCTGTACTAGAATGTCAATAACAGTTATTTTAGTCCACTTAAAGGCTGATGGTAGGCCTACTAAATTTATTAATAAACATTATTTGAATACAAGTTATGCTTATACTTATGCCCAGTTAAATGTTATCACGTTTTTAAATTTGTGATTAACTAAAGTAACGTATTAAGAAAAAACGAATTGTATTGTACACTTATTTAATATCAACATCTTTTAAAAGACAATTTTGTTTATTAAACTACCGCGTAGTTATTGGAGAGACTAATATAACGTCTCGCTAAGGTAAATCGATTTAAACAAATCCATAACCAGTCTCTTAGCGACGCGTCCGATCAATGAAACACATGCATAGAAAATGAATGATGTGTGTGTGGGGATTAACGAAAAAAGATCCATAGGTATTAATTTTTTAAAACTATCACCTAAAATGTAAAAAGCAGAATTTTAAATATAATTTTTATAGTTAAATTGATTTTTCATAACAAACTTGATAGCCTGTTTGATTTTATTTGTGATGTTGAAATAATCTGAACGTTTGAAGTAGATATATTTCATTTGAAAAAAAAATCCCAACTTCTAAAGCCGGATTATTTAAAATGTCATTTAAGCATAATGTAGACTACACAATACTTAACAAAAATGAATTACATAAATCTTGTACTCTACCTGTTTTAAGTAGAACCAGCAGCCAGACAACCAGCCTATGGAGGTGATACAAACCAGCGTTCTCTGGTACTATATATAGCAAACATCGACCGGTTAATTTAAAAATCAATACAGCATCCGAGTAATTTCCCGAGCGGTTTTTGTGGGTTTTTCTTTTGGTTTTAATTTGGCTGCTTGCTCATTATATATATATATATATATATATATATATATATATATATATATATATATATATAGGGTGGCTGGAAAGAATCGCAACGGAAAAAAAGCGCAACGGAAAAAAGTGCCTGCCTGCCTGCCTACCTGCCTACCCACCTACCTAATTACCTCATGTATATATATAGCTTTGATGTTTGTTTAAACAAGGATTGGTGTGAACGAATATAAGTGCGAAAGTTAATGACGCATTGGATAGTTACGCGGTTCGCAAGAATGTGACGTTTTAGTGTAGGTTCGTTGTTGTCGGGGAAAGAAGTTAAAAAGTATACTTGTTCTTGTTGTGTTAGAGCAGAGGTCTCCAAACTTTTCAGTCCGAGGGCCGCATTAACTATCAAATTCAGTTCGGGGGCCAGTTTCTTCCAGGCATGTCTTTGATTTTTCTGGGCAAACTTCCTCAGCCATCACCAACAAACGATTTTTCCTTGGACAAAAAGATCTCTGCGGGCCGGATGAGAGGACTTCGCGGGCCGCATCCGGCCCGCGGGCCGTAGTTTGGAGACCCCTGTGTTAGAGTGATGTCGTAATGTAGTCCAGTCTTAGTATTGTTCGTTCAAGTCGTCCTTTGTAATGCAATAATTAGTAAAATTAATATCATCCTGTCGAATTTGTATACCTTGATGTAGTCGTGCTTTGGGATGAACTACTGAATGGCTAGACAGAATATAATGGTAGTGTAGACCCTCTCACTTCATAGTTGCGGGACACAATGAAAGAGAGTGAAGTTTTGCCATAGGAACGGGTTGTTATGGTATGCAAGCTAGGTAGTTCGGACTACGGAGAATGTGAAAGATACTTCGTGTAATGTCGATAGTTTTATGTTTATACGAGAATAGTAGTTGAATAATTATTGACCAAGTAAATAATAGGCATTGTGTAAAGTGATTATCGCCTGTATCGTGGTGATGGGAATGCACATGGTAGTGGCACGCTTTAAATGGTAGTAGATCACGTGATCAAACACGACACTCTCACAGCAGCCCTAACAGTCATGTAGAAATGTGTCATCTAGCCCATATGGTCTTTGTGCTAAATTTCTCTTTTGCACATTTTTCGTTGTGTTTTTTCTGTTTGCGCTTTTTTCCGTTTGCGCTTTTTTCCTTGTGCGCTTTTTTCTGTTTGCTCTTTTTTCCGTTTGCGCTTTTTTCTCTTTGCGCTTTTTTCCGTTTGCGCTTTTTTCTGTTTACGCTTTTTTCTGTGTGCGCTTTTTTCTCTTTGCGCTTATTTCCGTTTGCGCTTTTTTCTCTTTGCGCTTTTTTCCGTGTGCGCATTTTTCTCTTTGCGCTTTTTTCCGTGTGCGCTTTTTTCTCTTTGCGCTTTTTTCCGTGTGCGCTTTTTTTCTCTTTGCGCTTTTTTCCGTTTGCGCTTTTTTCAGTTTGCGCTTTTTTCTGTGTGCGCTTTTTCTGTGTGCGCTTTTTTCTCTTTGCGCTTTTTTCCGTGTGCGCATTTTTCTCTTTGCGCTTATTTCCGTGTGCGCTTTTTTCTCTTTGCGCTTTTTTCCGTGTGCGCTTTTTTCTCTTTGCGCTTTTTTCCGTTTGCGCTTTTTTCTGTTTGCGCTTTTTTCTGTGTGCGCTTTTTTCTGTGTGCGCTTTTTTCTCTTTCGGCTTTTTTCTCTTTGCGCTTTTTCCCGTTGCGCTTTTTCCCGTTGCGGTTCTTTCCGGGAACCATCTATATATATATATATATATATATATATATATATATATATATATATATATATATATATATATATATATATATATATATATATGTGTGTATGTATATATATATATATATATTTATTTATATATATGTGTGTGTGTGTGTGTGATTTGTGCTGCACCGCAACTATCGGAATCTAAATTTAACCCACACCCATTGTTCGATGGAGTTGCAATTTGGCAGTGGTAGATCCAGTGTTTTTTACCGGCGTTTTTCCCCGGGGAAGGGGGGGAGACTTAAAATTTTAGGGGGAGGGGTGAGGGGGGGCGGACGCTATTAAAACTTTATATTTTCTATGTAAATTTCATTTGAGTTCTTGGAGGGGGGAGGGGGTGCGAGCGGTAGACTTGTATAATTATTGGCACGTGCTTTTTTTAAGGAACATCGACCATCGTAACATGCCATAAATGTAAAGAAATGTAGAATTTATTCTTACAGCATTCGATGGCTAATTAGTTTTAAAAATGCATAACTATTAAATATAGTTTACTGCTTCAAGATTTAACAAGACTGTTTCAAAATAAATTATTAGTATTTTTGTATATAGGGGTGAGGGAGTATTGGAATTTCTGACAAACGAAATAAAAATCAAATGTCGAATCTTTTATTCAACGCTAGACTAAAATTTTTCTAAAGCATAGATGGATATTTTCTTTTAAAAGTAGACTTCTATTTCAATTATTTTTTGTTCGATAAAATAAACAACTCATTTTGATAGTGTCCCTTGCACCTACTATTAAATAATAATTTACTACTACAAGCGAAATGTATTCAAATTAAGGTACAATATATTTAACATAAATGAGTCACATATAATCTACCTTTTTGACGAAATCAACACATCAACAACGTAGATCGAAGATCTCTAACCAGTCTATGAGGCGATTGAAAGAACACACCAACTCTTATCTGTACAGTGGCAGTTAAAACATCGATCAGTTAAAAAATAAACCGGGAGTGATCTCCCCTAAACTTTCTCGAATATTCTAATATAAAATTACGAGGGATGGCAACTCAGGACATAGACAATATTTGTTATCCATTTTTAATTACTTAAACTTTTTGTAAAAAAAGTGAAAAGTTTCCCTTTCAAACCTGACGGTCTACGGGGCAAGTGAAGTAGAGTTCACTTGTTTCTGTGACCTCGGCATATGAAGAGAGTTAGGTACCCATCAGAGTTGGGTGGACTCAGGGACGGTCTACTGACTTGAACTCGGATTCGAACTCGAGACTAACGGGTTAGCAGTCCAGCTCTCTACCGCTAGACCACTCCGTCCCACACCAAGTGAACGCCTAATAAAATGTGTATAAAAGTGCGGGATATTATTAGTACTTTATTAATTTACATGCTTTTTTTGAGAAATCGGAAATAGCGTAAATTAGTACTTCCGGTCAACGGAAATTACTCAAAATTTGACAGAATGTAGAGAATTAGATCTTTTACTAACGTGTGAAATTTCATGCATCTATCTAAAATAGTACGCAACTTATAGGCTTTTGAAAAATTCAAAGAAAAAAAGTACCACTTCCGGTTATCGGAAATCGCTCAAAAGTTGACACGGATCTACGATTTTGATAAAATACTTTTATATTAAATTTCATCAACCTAGCTGTAACGGTACTCAAGTTATCGTGTTTACAGACACACAGACACACAGACATAAGGAGAAGATTGCAAAATTATGTTTTTCCGTATCAGTGACGTGTAAAACGTCGAGATTTGCAAAAAAAAAAAATACATATGATTTATTAAAAAGTAACACGACGTTTTTTAGATCCAAAATAAAAGAGTTGTTAGCTAAACTGCATTTAAGAGATTAATAGATTATATTAGATGTATGGGTACTTGAATCTATAACGCACGTGTCACATAGACGCCAGTTATTAAAAACACAGCAAAATAATTATGAATGGAGATAGTTTAATTTGGTTTAGGCACCACACACAACACTGTGCGTGCGTGGTATGTCGCCTGACCGTCTGAAAGGAGATTGTTTATATTATTCTTTTGAGATTATATTTAACTCAATGCATCAGGCCCGCCGGTTGGTCGAGGCTAGGTCAGGGGTTCGTTCTGCCAGGGATACAAAGGTCGACTCGAAATATCGTCCCATTAATGATTCAAAGATAATTCGTTGTTACTAATAATATGTATAACATGTATGCACAATATACAATGTAGTTGACATACATAAGTCACATATAATCTACCTTTTTGAAGCAAACAACACAGCAACAAAGTGGAATGAAGATCACTAGCGGGACTACCAGGATAACCCACCTGCGCCTATCTGTTTAGCGACACGTTACACACAGATCAGATAAAAGTAGCTCAAAGTATTGCTGGGGATTCCCCATTTATGTATTGGATAGACCCGAGACTGTGTATAACTTTTGTCTGCATAATATGTTGGTTGAGATAATGTTTTATGTAACTAGACTCTAGGCATTATATAATTTGAAAGAAATTTCTGATTTAAGATAATCGACTTTTTGATGCTCATCTCCCTGATATGATAAGTGGAAAAATCTATAATTTGGAACAAACTTTCTGAAATCGAAATTATTTTGTTTATTTCGTAACAAGTATGTTAGAGTGTATTAAAAATATTCTAATATATTTTTATTAACTATTTACAAGTCATTTTTATGACAATCGTGCATCTTCAGATTATTTTTAAATTCACAAAAACGACCTTAGCTGTAAATTCCTCCTACAAGTGTTTGATTTTGCAATCTTTCCTTATGTCTCAATGCCTGAATGTCCAGGTGTCTCTTAGCGCTATAGTTTTTAAATTTATTTTGATCAAATTATTATGGAGTAATATATCAATAAAAACAAATTCAAAGATTACTACCGTACAACAGAAAGGGAGTTTAAAACACATTATAATAGTCGAGAAGATTGTGGTCTTAATTAACAGCAATTAAAACTTTAACAATAAAATTGATTGAATTAAGTTTTAATATTATGTTTTCTCTTAAGTCTATTATCGTTCAATCAGGTTTTACTGTCTTTTAGTTTAATTATTTTTTGAAGAGTAACATAGTTGATGTTGTGGGACTTATTTTGTTGTTTATATATTTTAGTCTGGTTGTTGACGTGCTCTATCGGTATATGGGAGTAATGGAATACAGCCAAATTATGACAATGGATGAATAATCTGAACAGAGACAATAGATCCATTTTGTTTTTGTGGTCTGAATCGGCACACCAAAATCCTAAGGCGTGGGCTTGGTTTATTTACAACAGAAATAGAATTATATTTGCTGTCAAGAAAATTCAAATTGTCATCCTAGGCAGACAGTTTCGTATGTTCCATCATGCTTACATCGCTCCCACTTCGATGGTTACGTTTATGGCTTCTAAAACAGTAAAACAATAACACAGAAGGAGCACGTATTTAAAGTTTTAGACACGCTTTGTTTACAGTTTGTTTATTAGCTTTATAGTATACAATTTTAAATAGAGTTACAACTGTGTAGATATATAAAAATATGTGTTTTCAAAAGATGTTTATAAAATTGTTTCTATATTACGTCTTTTTAAAATTTAGATATGGAGGTGCAGACAGCAAGTTGAGAGATCTTTTAATGTTTTACAGTAATAGAATGTTTATTGGGTGCACTTACACAAATGTAAAAGAACTACCGTCTTTAGGCTTAATACAATAAGAAGACATTGACAAAAAATGTGAAATTTTTAGTCTTAAAATTTAGAAGATAAAATAGAATAATGAATAACAGTAAAAATAACGAATAATACACGTGTGCTTGTAAAATACTAAAATATTGACTCGTGTCTATATGGCTTAACATATTTGTAAGAAATAGTTAAAACAGCTACTAAATTAGTCACTAAGTTTGACTTCTAACATTATTTCAGTATTCATAATATATTCAGATACAGAGAGATGTCTCTTGTCTAAGTCAAGTCAAATAACACTTTTAACAAATCTTCATTGGTCTACATAACTAATATTGTATACTTATTGTATAGCTATTGTCTAAACGTAGTCTACATTTGATCTATATACTACACAAACACAGTCTGCTCTGTACTCAAGTAAGATGCCAGTAGAGCAGTGTTGTGCTCCACTAAAGGAGTCATTCGCTGGCTAGATCTAACCTATGGAGAGTCCTCTCTCACAGAATTCTCTAAACTTGTCGAATGAAGTTGTCCAGCCGTTAAACGATGCTCTAGGATTTCTCAGCAAAGAGATTTATTTTGCTGTCGAAGGCTACGTACTTTGGATTCTTTATGTTTAATTCTTCGCAGTGTTTAATGATGGTTGGATTGTAATTTACATTCATATTTCTGAAATAGATATTCTTGATCTAAGAAATAAGGTTAAATTGAAAACAATGATATTGGGGTTTATAAGTAGGACTATTATATATACGCTATAAAATACGGACAATGGCATGGGATATTTTTACTTACACATGAATATTTCCAGTGCTGCTAGTACTTTGATTTTCAAAATTTTTAGTCACTTCGGTATTTAGAGCACACCGAATTACGTCAAGGAAATCATCACTTGCATCTGAAGTAGTGGTAGAAGTTGTTGGTGTTATTTCCACAGATGGTGCAGTATCAGTACTTGGGGTAGTATCATCACTTGCATCTAGAGTAACTGTAGAAGCTGTTGGTGTTGTATTCATAGATGGTTCAGTATGAGTACTTGGGTTAGTATAATCACTTGCATGTAGAGTAGTGGTAGAAATTGTTGGTGTTGTATCCACAGATGGTACGGTATCAGTACTTTGGGAAGTATTATCACTTGCAAAGGGTGTCACGTTACTAACTAGTGCTACAAAATAAGATAAATGACTATGTTCAAATCTTCTAAGAATGCATGAAATTAAGAAATGTTGCGTGAAACGTGTTAGGCGAACATCCCTAGTGTATTGTTAATGCAATTAGAACTTACACCAGCCATTGTATTACTAGAGTGCTAAAATGCTCTCATTAAATAGTCAAATTAAAATGGTGTGCCTCAAGCCCTAGACCAAATCGTAGAAAATTTTTATAGCAATTATAACTAAAAAGATAAAAGATAGTTAAAAATGTTAATAAATGCTCACCTATCATTTTTTCAAACTCCATTTCACTTTTTGAAAAATCCATAACTACCTCCATTTTCACTTTGTTTTCTTTTGAAGATTTAGCGCCATATTGTCTTAGAACTGCTACTGCTTCGTCATTTAAGTACATAATTGCGATATCCAATGCTAACTGACCGAAATCGTCGTCAATGTCAAGGTTAGCGCCGTGTTGAATAATCTCTTTCATGACGTCAATGTTTTTACTCAATACACTGCAGAACAACGGGGTTCGCCCTAACTGGCTCCTCGAGTCAACATTAGCTCCGGCTTCAAGTAACGTCTTCACGACTTCTGTTAGTCCACTCTGGGAGCTGTAGTGTAAAGCTGTATTGTTGTATTGGTCACCGGCGTCAAGATCGTTAGTAAATTTCTGTAGCGTTAAAGTTGTTTCCATACACCCGAACAAGGCAGCATCAAATAACGCTGTTCCACCACCCCTGTCTTTGATGTCTGCTGAGGCTCCAGCTTCAAGTAACAACACGACAATATCGTTGCTCCCATATCCTGTTGAGTAATGTAACGCACCTCTTTCTAAAAGCGACTTGACGAGTTTCTTCATTCCAAACCAAGCAGCATAATGAAAAGCTGTTTCACCTCTCTTGTAAGCCAGATTTACATCAGCACCCGCAACCAATAGAATGTACGAAATGTATTCATATCCACGTTGAATGAACAAATGTGAAGCTGTTTTATTATGAAAACCGTTTAGTTCATTGACATTGGTTTTCCATTTGAGCAGAATGTGCATAAAATATGTGTGACCTAGTTTTGTGCTTACAAATAAAGTTTTTCTTTCCGAGTTCAATCCTATTGTTTTGACATTAACATCCGTTCCTGAGTTCAACAAAAGTTCCCCAGAGTTATTGCTCTTCTCTTCTGAAAGAAGTACTAGTGCCTTGTCCTCCGAATCCTTACAGTTGATGTCAATGTCTAATCTTGAATTTATGCTCTTTTTCATTGACTGACTACCTCCCCCATAAGCATTCATTCTCTTTTTGAAAGGACAATAGAATGACCAACTGATCATTGGTATTTTCCCAAATCCATATGTATACACAATGAGAAAATATATGAGTAAATAGAACCAAAAGACTATTCTATAATTTGGAAAACATAAGTTCAACACGTTTGAAAGAAATATTTGAAAAATTTTGTTTTCTTCTCTGATTAGATCCTCAAAGTTTATTCGTTCAGAGCAGCATGTTAACATCTTTGTTTTTTTTAAATTCGATAGCGCTTTGACTGGGCCTATTTTAACGAAAGAAAAATAAAAACAGGCTGAACACATGATTTACAAACTATAAGGACTGTAATCACTATAAAAATGAACCAAATGCAAAATTCTATAATAGTAACTTTAAACGTAGAATAGCAAAGTAGCAACAAACAAAACGTTTTTGTATCTTGTGATAGTTGTGTGAAATTAGTGTAATGATGAATAGGAAGCTCTGGAAGCTTAAGCGTCTGTCCTCGGGGCCTAGTTTGTGGTTTGTTTATGTGTTCTAATCACGAGAAAAATTTAATCACAATGAATCGCAATGAGGATATGCGCCTTATCATAGTGGAATGATAAGTAGTATGTGTATATTGTTGTTTCTTGTTAAGCCGGGGAAGCATCTTTCTATAATTGCTCAATCAGTTATTTTACAATAATCACAATTAGAAAAATGAATTTATTTTTATTTAATCAACTTAATTAATTTAAATTCGATCATGGGTTTAAAAAATTACTTAAACATTATATTACACACTTATGTGTTTGAAATCTATAAACATTTACTTGAACATTAAATAAAATATTTAGTTTGCCTAACTAATTGTTAACTAAAAATTTGTTTTACTTCACTACGTTCAATTACAATGTTTTTTTACTTTTGCGTATACACAAATATCGACGTTTTACACCTCCCTGAGTCGGAAATATTTAGTGTTGCAATTTTGTCTGTATGTCTCTGTGTGTGTGTATGTGTTTGTCTGTGAACACAATAACTTGAGTACCGTTTCAGTTAAGTTGACGAAATTTCATGAAAAGGTATCATATTAAATTTGAGTTCTGTTTTAATTTTTGAACGATTGACAGTAACCGGGAGTGTTACGTACTCAACTTTCCTATTTCTGAAAATCCGATAACTTGAGTATCGTTTAAGTTAGGTGGAAGAAATTTCAAATATAAGTAATTTATTGTTTAGCATACTTTTTTCAAATTTGAACCATTTCTGATAGACTTAGTGGCACGTTACTCTATTTCATTTTGAAGACTATAACTTGAGCACTGTTCTAGACAGTTAGATGCAATTTCGTATATTAGTACAAAATCTTATGCTTAGATTAAATTCAATTTTATAATGACCTCAAATGACTGGAAGTGTTACTTTAGTCTCAGTTAGGTAGACGAAATTCTAAACATAGGTATAAAATCTGATCTTATTCTCTTGAGGGGATATGCTATGTTTTTTTTTCTATTTTTTACAATTTAAGATCGAAACCCTTTTGAATACTATTACCATGTTTGGCACATGAAAGTAAGTATTAAACGGCAAAAAAAGGGTTGAAAACAATTTTGGTTGTCATGGAAACCCCAAAAAACCTCAGCCATGTTGAGTTTTTCGGCACTTTTAAAAATGCTAAGGCTTTTTTTTATTTATGCACTTATAGCAATCAAATTTAAACTGCTTATATTTCAGTATATTTTGAAACTTTTGTCGCGACAACTTTATGAAATTGCTACTAGTAAAAATTTTACAAGGTCTAAAAAATCGTACACTTTTTAGTATCCACAATTTTTAAAATGTGCATACTAATTACCAAATACTTTTTTCTATGAAAGCCATCACAATTCCCCCGTGACAAAAGTTTTATTTTGGCATGAAGAACAATTACTGAAAATATGGTTGGTATTGTTTAATAAATAAAAAAGTAGTAGTCATTTTAGTGTTAAAAACTTACGAACTGAGAAAAACAGCAAAAAGTGACGAAAAGTAGGTCACAAAAATACCATATCTGTGTAAACTGCAAAGCGGATTGTAAGCTTTGGGTGTTTCCGAGAAGATGGAAATTAGGATTATGAAACACATAAGAAGTCCAGCTTTCCAACGATGTCAAATATAATATGATGACGGATATAAAACTTTTGTTAGAGTGCTTATTAGATCGGAAAAAATGTATTATTTTTTACTTAATATGGTCATAAAAATGGTAATTTAAACACATAAATAATTTTTTTTTCATTGAAGTAATTAATTTCTTAATACTAAAATGGACAAAGTGCAAGAAACCCATCATGATGAAAAACAAGAAATTTTGTGATTTTTTGCTTAGCATATCCCCTTGAGTCTATCGACTTGCGAGTGATTTTCGGTGTACGGAAGTATCACTTTATCACTTTACGCTATATCAGATTTCTGAAAAAAGTTTACTTCCACAACACCGATTTCTCCAAAACTTTTCGCTTAGGTATTGGCTTAGTGACAATGCATTGTGACTTTTAATTTGACTGAATTAGAATCTGCATTAACTTTTTATCAATTAATTAATGTTTCCTTTATAACTCATACATTTTCCGCTCTAGTATACGCACTTTGTTTGCGTTCATTAGTTGCACGATTTTTTTACTTTCTCGTATATACGAAGTATAGAGAAAGTCTTGTAATCGTGCAAAAAAAAAAAAATCGAGATTTTTACAAATCTCGACGTTTCACACCTCACTGATACGGAAAAACATAATTTTGCAATCTTGTCCGTATGTCTGTGTGTCTGTCTGTGTGTCTGTGTGTCTGTGTGTCTGTCTGTCCGTGTGTAAACACGATAACTTGAGTACCGTTACAGCTAGGTTGATGAAATTTCATATATAAGTATTTAATCAAAATCGTAGATCCGTATCAACTTTTGAGCGATTTCCGATAACCGGAAGTGGTACTTTTCCTACTTTGAATTTTTCAAAAGCCTATAACTTGAGTACTATTTCAGATAGATAAATGAAATTTCATATGTAAGTAAAAGATCTAATTCTCTACCTGCTATTAAATTTTGAGCCATTTCCGTTGACTGGAAGTAGTACTTTACGCTACTTCCGATTTCTCAAAAAACTAATGTAAATTTTAAAAGTAATAATAATATTGCGCACCATTATGCGCTTTTTTATTTGGCGTTCACTTGGTGTGCAATTAATTTGTCTACGAGATTTTATTCTATTTTTAAAACTTTAAGTATTTAAAATGGATTAAAAATCATGTCTGTAGCCCGAGTTCCCATCCCCTGTTATTTTATATAAGAATATTCGAGAAAGTTTAGGGGAGATCACTCCCGGTTTGTTTAAAATACGCGTTTCTGTTCTATTTTAAAAATTGGTAAAATGCGAGAAAGTTTAGGGGGAGATCACTCGCGCTTTATTTTAATGAAAATGATCGCGCAGTTTTTGGTAGGTGAAAAGTCTAAGAAGAAGAAATCAATAAACCAAATGTAAGTATAAGCTGAACGATTTGACCTCGACCAATGGAACACGTTTATATTGCGATTTTTTAAAAACTGTGTAACTACTATTTTTAAATTACGAGATTTTATATTAAGGAAAATACAACTTTAACAGCTATATTACTTCTAATTTGTTGCACAATAAATTTCGAGAATGTTTCAAAATAAAATTTACACGTGAACTAATCATGTGTGTGAGTGTGTGGGGTGGGGTGGGGGTGGGGGTAGAGATTTTGAACAGTGAGAAAATATAATTGTAATTAAATAAAGTAACGTTAAAAATGAAAAAAAAAAAAAACAATCTTCGAATATTTTTGAAGGTCCTGCCTTTTCTAGAACTAAAATCATAATGGGGAACATGGTTGACTTTCCTGTGCTATTTTTCGTTTGGAAATAACTTTTAAAGTTGAATGCAACAAGTTTACAAAAATTCATGATTAAAAATCATGTATAATTTCCTAAATTAACAGGTAGTCAGAAAATATCCATATTTTGACATAAAATACTTAAATACAATCTAGAAATATACCTTTTTGATGTAACGACCTTAGGAACAGTGTTGAGTGTAACAGCAGACAACCAGCCCAATCGAAGAACACACAAAGTTTCTTTTATTAGCAACAACCTTGACACACGTAAACCCAGGTAAAACATCGATCAAAGCAGTGCTGGGAATTGCCCATTTTCGTTTTTAATAAACATGTTGAAATCACGCAGCTATGTAGGTCAAGACTGTGTAGGAATTATACATGTGTGTGGGCAAGATTGGATGTTGTCTGTATAAATGTGTAACGCCTTTTATGTGTCCGCTGAGTGCGAGTGTGTAAATCATGTATTTTCGTGCCTATTTTTTGATTCCCCCATTTGTAAATTAAATGTAAAAGTGCAGGCGAGAGTTTAGAATACAAAACTGCTGACAATGCGAGTAAGGTACACTAGATATTTATTTTGACATGTAAATTGACAATATAAATTGGTAACTTTAAAAAAACAAATAGATAATATAATACATCTTCTCTACCTGAACTATATATCTAAAAATAAAGAGACTGGTCTTGTAATAACCTGTCTGACGTTAGATGATGGGTCTCTTGCTAATTTGTGTGTCTTCGCTTGTGATAAGACAGTATAAAAATGTGTCTTGTGAATCTCAATGGTAATTAGCATGGCATTCCATTATGTTACAAGAATTTCTCAGACAACCTGATACTGATGTAATCTCTCCAAATGCATCTTCTGGTAACGCATTTGTTCTGTGCTACCAACTCACTTTTCTAGTCTTTTACTCGGTTTCATGAGAGAAAGAGAAGGAGAAAGAGAAAGAGAGAGAGTTATACATAGAGGGAGTGAGAAAGAGAGAGTACTCTGTATTGGAGAGCTTTCAATGAACCCAGCCAAGAATATGCTTTATATTTTGCCTCTTATTTATGAATAACATACCCCTCTCAAGCCCACGGAGACAATGTTTACATTTTAAATTACTAAAGCACTTAAACTATATCATAGCGGCAAAATATATTTAAAAAGTAAAATACTAAATGGTTAAGTATTATCTATTAGCTTTAAAATATAAATAAAAATACTTATAAATCATATGGTGCAATTAATGTTAATGAGGATTGTTGAAATCTAGTCTTTGTTCTACTTTTAGCATATAATCTAAATCTAGACTGAAACTTGAATCAGTGGAAAGCAATTTCTATACACAAAAAAAAACCAATTAAAAAAATTGCAATAGGCTTTGAATGTGGTGCTTTAAAATTATTGACATATGTGTTTTAATTTCACATTTAATTTTATTAAAGAGAAATAGTTTAGCTTACACAGATTAAAAAAAGGATTAAAACAACTAAATCTAAATCTGATGTAAGAACACGAGTGCCCAGATGTATCCAATCTTCTATATATTTTTCTTGCGGGTACTTGGCAGACATCTATTACTTTTATGAAGTGGTTTCCGTGTAAGGGTCTGTCTTTTTATGCGGGATACAGGCTTCCTGAGTAAAGATTACATAACCCAGAATTAACACCTGGTAAAAATACTCATATAATTATTATATATTTTATTAGGAAAACTTTTCTTCTCAACAGGCGCGATTAGGTTTTACATATTAGTTCACTGGAAACAAACGCGCATTCAGCTCCAGCCCGTCACAACCATAACGATAAAAAAAAAATCACATATTTCTATCTAATATATGTAGGCCTACTTATTTTGATTATAAGTTATGATATTTCCATTGAGGGCCAGATTGCCGACATTGTCGATGTTCATTTAGTTGAAGTGGAAAAAAATGTTCTTGACATTTCTGAAAATGAAATGATGGTGTTATTTTATTTTAACAGAGAATATTAAAAAGGCTTTAACAATGCTCTCTTTAAACTGGATAAAATTAATAAAATTACAAAATTGCATCTAAGTTATAAGGTAGAAAATATATTACATCCAAAAATGCTTTTAGCTTCAATATCACCAAATTTTTAAAAGATACATTTAATAGACTACTTGTTTGTTTCTTCAGATATTTTTTAAAGTAAAGAGAAATACACTAGCATGTATTTAAAATACTTTATAAATTTCAAAAGCGACCAACCATTTGACTCTTTTATATGAAAATAATTTTGCGGTTTTCATATTTATGGGCATTTATATTAACGAAATTGTAAAGCTTAAATATTAATAAATACGTCTAATGCCAGCATGGGCAAAATGTAAAACTAAACAATAAATGCAAGCAACAAGAATAACACTGTCATAAATTACGTTTATCTGATCAAAGAACTAGTTAGCATGGGGGGGGGGGGGGGGCTGCAGGGAATAAAAACTTACATAGTTAGGGATTTGCTGTTCTTAGTCTTTGCTTTTCTGGCCATTGTGCCTTGCTTATCTAAACGGAAATATGCTTTCATTATTTATCAAACAACACTCTGTTTTGTTTAACAAAACTAAAACATGCTTTCATCAAATCAGAAGTTTATGAGTTTATGTTCTTACTATAAAATTTATATAATGTAAATTTAGTAATAGAAATTGATGTTATAGTATCCGTACTTGGGGTAGTAATAACTGTGTTAGTCGTGAGACAGTCTTTTTGTTCTGTATTTATAGTTGGTGCAGTATAAGTAATTGTAGGGGTAGAATCTATTGGTGTTGTATCCTTAGAAAGTGCAGTATCAGTACTTGGGGTATAATCATCACTTGCAACTAGAGTAGTTGTATTGGCTAATGGTGTTGTATCCATAGTTGGTGTAGTGTCATTACTTGGAGTAGTATAATATCTTGCATTTGGAGTAGTTGTAGGAGCTGTTGTTGTTGTATCCTTATATAGTGCATTATCATGATTTGGGTTAGTATCATCACTTTCATTTGGAGTAGTTGTAGAAGCTTTTGGTGTTGTATCTTTTGATGGTGCAGTATCATTACTTGGGGTAATATCCTCGCTTGCATCTGGTGTATTTGTATGAGCTGTTGGTGTTGTATCCATATATGGTGCAGTATCACAACTTGGGGTAGTATCATCACTTCTAACCAAATTAGTTGTAGAAGCTGTTGGTGTCATAACCAAAGATGTTGCATTATCAGAATTTGGGGCAGTATCATCACTTTCATTTGGAGCATCTGAAGAAGCTGAGGGTGTTGCATCCATAGATGGTGTAGTGTCATTACTTGGGGTAGTATCATCTCTTAAAAATGGAGTATAAGCAGAAGGTGGTGGCGTTGTAATACTTGATGAAGTTGTTTCTGAATTACAATATAAATATTTATTGAACGTTTTGTTATTTAAAGCTTACATGAAATTATGAAATATTTTTCAAAGGTCTTAAAATAATAATAGGATGTCTGATGGGACTGTATGCTAATTAAATATCTAGAAAAAAAATGTTGATTTAATAATCAACACAACACACGTTGATGCAAAAAATTGTAATTAGAAGTGAGTTATCCTTATTTTATGCAACTGTAATCAGACATATCAAATAAATTCAAACAAGTTCACCTGTTATTGGTTTTACTTCTGTAAACGTTGAACATTCCACAACAGTGCTGGTGTTTTTCTCATTAATCTCTGATGATGACTTAGCTCCGTGTTGTCTTAGAACAGCAACTGCTTCATCGTTTAAACTCATAGTAGCCGCATCCAAAGCTGTCTGACCGTTGTTGTCTGTGATGTCAAGATTAGCGCCACGTTGGATAAGTAGTCTGATGGTCTCAATCTGCTTGCACATTACACTGTAGTGCAATGGGGTCCTCCCGAACTGGCCTCTGCGGTCAACATCAGCTCCAGCTTCCAGTAACGCCTCCACAACTTCTTTAAGATCGTTCTGACAGCTGTAGTGTAAAGCTGTGTTGCCATACCTGTCTCCGATGTCAAAACACTTGTCTTTTTTAACAGTGTTAAGGCTGTTACGGGATTTCGCGCGTACACAACAGCACAGTGTAAAGCTGTTTCACCACAAGTGTCTAAGATATCTGCTGAGGCTCCAGCTTCAAGTAAAAAATCGACAATTTCATTTGAACCGCTGTATGATGCGTAATGTAAAGCCGTTTGTTCAAAATTGTCAATGCTATTAATAGCCGCGCCTTTATCCAAAAGTAACTGGATGCGTTTCTTACTGTCTTCTATAGCAGCATTATATAAAGCTGTCCAATCTTTCATGTCAGGCTTTTCACCCAATACGCTAGAGCAATAACTATTTGTACGCTTATCTAGCAGCTGGACAAGTTTCAAACTTTCGTACCTAGCAGCATAATGTAAAGCTGTCTTACCGTTCCCGTCAGCCAGATTTACATCAGCACCTGCATCCAACAGAGTATCCACAATGTCTACATATCCGCGTTCAATACATAAATGTAAAGCTATTTTTTTTTCACCACGGCCATTCAATTCATTGACATTTTCTTTCCATTTCACCAAAAGTTTTGCAAAGTCTTTGTGATTTCTTTCCGCGCTGATAAACAATGGGCTCTTTCCTGAGTCATTACCTTTAGTTTTGACATTAACATCTGCGCCACCATTTAATAACAACTCCCCAAAACATACGTTGTTCTTCTCTGCGTAAAGATGTAAAGGAGCCTTTCCATCTGAGTCCGTAAGGTTTAAGTCAATGTCTAACATTGAAAGTACATTGTTTATCACTTTGCTGCTGCATTTCTTGGCTAAGTAGGAAATAGTTCCATTTTTAAAACAAATATTACTCCTTGATTTTCTGAGCAATACAAGTATAATGAAGACAGCTTGCAGAATAAACAGAAAACAATACAATGAGTTCACTCTTTGAAACTGCAAAACGTGGTGTAACAAGCTTATAAACAATGTTTGGGAACTCTTGTATGTTTTTATTTCTTCTGCTCCTGTGTAGAAGTTGCTGATTTGATCCTCAGAAAATATTTTTGTAGATGTGGTTTGTTGATCAAGGAATGACATCTTCTGTTTATTTTTTTATTGCAGATACTTTTCACTGCACCTATGTTCTAGAATAAAATAAGTCGAGAAATATGAATTGAAACTTACCTGAACAGTTATGCTAACAACTTTACTAACAAAATTTAAATTTACACGTTTTTAATGGGGCGGGGGGGGACGGGACATATGTCCCCGGGCGCCGACCTTAGGAACGCAAAAAAAAAAATCGGTTGGAAAATTAAATTGAAAGGTTGAGGGGGTTGCAAATCGAAAGTTTAAGGGGGGGGGGGGGTGCAAATCGAAATCTTGAGGGGAGGGGTGCAAATCAAAAGTTTGTTCCCGGTTGCCGGAAAGGGTCGCTACGCCTCTGCTGTATCACCCTGTTGGGTTCTTCTATGTATATGTCTAGAGTATATATTAACAGACGTTTACAACAGTAGATAACACTAACACTCTATAATAATAATAAGAAGAAGAAGAGATTCAATATATATATATATATATATATATATATATATATATATATATATATATATATATATATATATATGAAAATAATAAAAGGTACAATATTCACTAACAGAAATGAATCGCCAGAAAACCCAAAAAAAACCCAACAAGTCACAGGGTCAAGTTATTACGAATTATTTATAACGTAAGTGCTGTGTCTAAAGTCTATAAAGCAACGTTTGATAATAAAAATAGGCTAAAATACTAAACTGTTTTTGTAAGATATATTTATAGTTTCAAAGGGCGGCTACTTAATATTTTTTTTTATTGCAAAACAAGCGATAACAGGTTAAAACCAGACTTATTTTTATATTTTTTATTCCAAACAATTTGACGAGTTCACACATTATCATGTTTAAAAAAATCGGACTAAAACTAATGTTAAAATTTTTTTTTATTGTTAACATATCAGGGATGGTCGTTTTCTTCATTCACTTTAGAATAAAATGTAACATCAACTTTTGTGAAACACGATGTCACAATGAGTGCGTTACAAAGTCACAGTTGTAATCAAATGCCCAAACATATTTAAGAAACATTACATGTATTGCTATAGCTGTATAGAAATACATAACATTAAAAAAACAAAACATTTTGCATAATTTATAAATATATATATATACACACACACACACACACACATATATATATATATATATATATATATATATATATATATATATATATATATATATATATATATATATATATATATATATATATATATATATAAGGGTTTTCAGGTTTCAGGTTTATTATTTTGTTTTTGTATTAGAGTCTAGTTCATTTAATTGCAGTTTAGCTCGTTGAATTGCAATTTATGGGGATGATAAAAAGCTCTGACTCTTTTTTACAGAGATTATGCTTAATTAAGTGTGTCGCATTACGTAATGTATCGCGCATTATTAAAAAGTGCCCCTTGACAACTAAGACGCTCTGAGAACTAAGCAAGCAGTGTGTTTCAATTAGCACTTAGTCGGCAAATAGGTGCTGCAACTAATCGTAAACTGTGTTTTAATCTGACTGTGTCGTTAATATCTAATGAATACCACAAAACATACATAGAGATTTAGATATTTTTATCTAGCTGTGTTGGTGTGTAAATCTTATCTTTAGACATAGTTTGTATGTACTGACAAAACAAAATTTCATTCGCTGTAGGCACACCTTTCCTCGTCATATTACTAAAGAAACCTCATATCTACATATTTTATCAGATTTAGAGTGCAAATTAAGGTATTAATAAGGTGCTATTAATTTTATAACAGTCAGCTTTTTTTAAATTTTGTCTGTTCTACTTTTAGCACATAATCTAAATCTTGATTTGAAGGTAACACTATAGAAATACTTTGACAATACATATGAAGCTTTTTCTCTTCACATAAACAACTTAAAATTTTTTTTTCATAAAAAACGTTTTAATAACAAGCTTTTATGTAATGATGCACTAAAAAGTAGAAAATAAATTATACACTACTATTTAAATTACTATGAAGAAAAGCGTGGGTCACTTTAGTACTTTAGTACCTATTGGATACCTTTACTAATATTTGAGAAGAGACCCACGCTTTTCTTTATAGTAATTTAAATAGTAGTGTATAATTTATTTTCTACTTTTTAGTGCATCATTACATAAAAGCTTGTTATTAAAACGTTTTTTATGAAAAAATTTTTCAGTACTTTACATGTTTTATTTACAATAGTGTTACATGACTAAAAACCATTGCGCGTCTATTGAACGTGATGGCGCAGCTATTAAACCTGATGGCGCAGCTATTGAAAGTGATGACGCGTGTGGTGTGGTTGGATAGACATTCCTACTAATTCGGTCCAAATTTTAATTAATTCATAAAAAATTAATTAGGCATCCAATTAAGTCAAATTTAATTTCAGATTGCATTGTCTTCATGTCTTGACCCACGTGTCAAATGTGAATCGTATCGGTCAAGTAGAAGCGTCCGAATTTTCACTCCTGCGTTTCGGTCTAGACTGACGACTGACGACTGACGACTGACGAGGAAGTGAGTTAAATAAAAGCTTGTAAAAAAAAAACATGCATCGGTATTTGAAAGAGTGGTATAAGCGGTGAAGAGCTCGGCTGCTATACAGAAAGTCTCGAGTTCAAATCCTGGTCCAACTCATTAGAACTTCTCTGAGTCCACCAAGCTCTGATTAGTACCTAACTCATTTTAGGGAAAGTAAGGGCGGCTGGCAAAAGTGCTGAACGCAAATTCCGTTCATATGCCGAGGTCAAGTAATATATAAACTCTACTTCATCTGCCCAATGGATCGTTAAGTCAAAAGAGGATTCTTTATTTTATTTTTAAAAAGAAAAAAAAGAATAGACATTTATTTATTACTTTCGTTTCTGTCTTCCAAGAAGTGTAAGAATAGTATACATTTTATACCGTTTATTAGCTTTAGAGTATAAATTAACACATTTATAAATCATAACTTGTTATTAATTTTATAACATTGAAATTTGTTGAAATTTAGTCTGTTCTACTTTTAGAAGATAATCTAATTCTAGGTTGGAATTGTGAGTAGTACTTTTAAATGTTTTACAGTAACCAGGACGTTATTTCTATATTAAAAAACAACTATTAACAAAAACAGACATAAGTCTTTTAGAAGTAGTGCTTTAAAAGTATTTACACAAATGTTTCAATTTTACTATAGAAATAAAATAGGTTAAAGTATAACACTTAATATAGATTTAAACAATGATTTAAATAAATTATAATTAATTTTTTTTTTCTAAATGAGGTCCAATCCAACATAGGCTTGTTCAATCACACGCCCTTTGAGAGTTGTTTCTCTTTTCTGTCCTCAACGATGGTGCTGTTTATAAAAATGTTATCTCCATTCTCTATATTTACCTCGTTGCAGTCTCGTATAAAGTACAGGAAAACTTTTCTGAAAAAAGTTGTACACATAATAATTATGAACGAAATTATAAATAAAGATATTGCAACTGTCTATTGGAAGGCCATTGAAGCGGAATATTTATGTAAAAATGTGCAGTCTCGTTATGCAAATAAATACGGTGAGGGGTGGAAGCAGTCGTTGTAACTGAAATAGCATTGCTATGCCAATAAATACAGAATTTTCAAACTTACATTGTCGCCTTTCTCTCTCTGCCAACATTTTGTTTTCTAAACTTTTTTAACTTTAGTGTATTTATAGCGTAGTTGAATGCCCTCTTCAATTCCAGTTTAGAAAAAGACCCGTCCTCCCGCGCAACAGATTTCGTGTGAGCCCTTCTCGTTACTTTACCAACACCGATGTAGTTCCCATCAAATGTTTTGGTATTTGTAAAACTTTTCACTTCAAGGTTCGTATCAATATTGTATTTTTCTTTTATCCTCTTCTTAGCATTTGATTTGTATTTCCAGAAATATTTTCTAATGTAATAGAAACAAATGGTTTTCATGCGATTTTGATGTTGAATTTGATAATTGCTTGTTCGCTTCCGTTTTCTGTTATTTTTTGTGCGACATTTTAAAGCATCGGCTGAACCACTTGATATACGTTTATATCCGCCGGGCTTAGTTTTCATAATAGAAGATTTGCTTTTCAGACGCTTTATTTTATTATTTATGTCTTCAGTAGAGCGGGGTGTAATTATTTTGCCAAAACTGAAATTACAGATACATTGCGTAAACGGTTTGAGAATTTGTGTCTGAAACTTTACGTTTCGTAGACAGTTTAATACATATTTATTCAGTAGTAAGCAATCATTACACTTGATTATTTTCCCCAACACATTTTTAATTAAAAAAAAAACTGGTTAAGCTGCTTAATGAAACAAAATAATTAAAATTAATGCAAATAAAAAGTAAAAAAAAAATCACAGAAATTACAACTATATTCCTTGTATGTTTTGTTTTGATTAAGATTTGAACAATCCTAATTAAACATACTAAGTAACTTTAGATTCTCATAAATTCAACTTACATTTTCTTTTTGTTCTTTTTCCTTCTGTTTTTGGTGGTGCTTTCGATGCTGGTCGTTTCTTGTTCGATCATCAAATCTTACGTAAAGAAGTAGAATTGTAATAATAATCTGCATATTAAAGCCTACGAATAAAGAACATTTTAGACTCAAAAATCAGAATGTCAATCGTACCTTTTTTCGACTAAGTCCGATTAAATCAGTTTGACCACAGTTCGAGTCATCCAACATCTTCTCATGTTTTTCAGGTAATGTCTGACGATTCTTTTCAAACTTGTCAAGTTTTGTTTGTTTTAAGGTGTGTTTTTGATGTGTTTGTTTTAAGTTTTGTGTTTGAAGGCTTTTATACATTTTATTTGTTGACTTACGAGATTTCTTACATTGTGTAGGGGTTGTTGATGTAGTTGTGGAGATGGAGATTAGCTGTGTGGTTTTAGAACTAGCAACTGGAGCTGTCGTTGTACAAATTGTTGGTGTTCTATACGAAGATATTGAAGTATCAGTAGTTGTCGTGGAATTAACACTCTTAACATTATTTAATGTAGCTTCAATACTTGCAACTGGTGTAATGAAACAAGCTGTTGGTGAAGTATCCATAGATTGTGCAATTTCAGTACTTGGGGTAGTATCATAACTTGCTTCGGGTGCAGTGGTAGATGCTATTGGTGTTGTATCCATAGGAAGTGCAGTATCAGTGCTTTGGGTTGTATTACCACTTGCAAATGGTGTAACGGTATGTTCTGAAATTAAGAAACATTGAACAAAACGTGTTAGGCGAATAGCCCTAGTGTATTGTGTATTCAATTAGAAGTTATACCACCCATCGTATAACTAGAGTTGAGTTAAATAAAATAGTTACATTAAAATGGCATTGTCGCATTACGTAACAGATATGAAGGGAATCATTATCATTTCAAGTAAATATACTTATTAATTAAAACTTTAAATAAATTGTCGATAAAACTCACCAATAGTTGATTTTAACTCTGGAAATATTGAACAGTCCAACACAGTGTTTATTTTCTCTTGGTTTTCTTTTGAAGACTTAACGCCGTATAGTTTTAAAACTCTAACGGCACCACAGTGATCTTCTTGAGTAGCCACATCCAGTGCTGTCCGACCGAAATAGTCAACAATGTCAAGGTTAGCGCCATGTTGGACGAGCACTTCAACGACTTCAGAAGCGTAACGACTAGGTATGTAGTGCAGTGGGGTTTTACCGTATTCGTCCTTGACGTCAACACCAGCTCCGGCTTCCAGTAACATCTTCATGATTTCCGGGTCACCCCTCTTGGAGCTGTAGTGTAAAGCTGTTTGGTTGAAGTTGTCTCCCATGTCAAGATCATCTGTATATTTCAGCAGTGTTTGCACTGTTTTTTTAAATCTAAACATTGCCGCATAATGTAAAGCCGTTCTACCTTCTTTGTCTTTAATATTTGCTGAAGCATTTGCTTTCAGCAAAGTTTCTGTCAAGACGCTATTTCTGTGTATCTGAACGCTGTAGTGTAAAGCTGTTTGTCCATTTACGTCTGTTGTGTCAAGAATATCTTTATACGTTACCAGTTTTTGAACTGTTTCATTATTCATGAATTGGACAGCATAATGTAAAGGTGTTTTGCCTTCGTTGTCTCTGATGTTTTCTGAAGCTCCAGCTTCAAGTAAAAAAACTATCATATCATTTTTCCCTTTTTGTGCGCCGTAGTGTAACGGTGTACATCCCTTAACGTCTTTTCTATTAATATCCGCGCCTCTATCTAAAAGCAGCTTGACGATTTTCACATAATCTTGATCAACAGCAAAATGTAAAGCTGTCCTACCTTCCTTGTCAGCCAGATTTATATCAGCACCTGCATCGAGCAGGCTATCAACTATCTTACCTTCTCTATTTGATTGGTCAGGAGAAAGTATAACTTTATCCGTCCAAACCCAAGGTTCACGACCAACTTCAATATTACATGTAAAGCTGTCTTACCTCTGCTGTCTGCTAGATTTACATCTGCGCCTGCAGCCAACAAAATATCAAATATGTCTTTGTTTCCATTTTCAGCACAAACATGTAAAGGTGTTTTCTGATCAATATCATCCTGTTCATTGACATTTGCTTTCATTTTCACGAGAAGCTCAACAAAGTCTTCCTGAGCGTTTGCAACGCTTATATGTAAAGGAGTTTTTCCTGGATTATTCCCTTGTGTTTTGATATTAACATCCCCTCCTCTTTTTAAGAAAAGTGTTCCCATAAATAGGTCGTTCGTTTCTGCATATTTGTGTAAAGGGGCCTTTCCACGTGAATCTCTATGGTTAACGTTAAAAATTGCAAAAATATCTTTTAATATTAATTCAATATAATTCTCCTGAGGTTGTTTGTGCAAAGCAGTTGGTTTATGACTCATGAGTGATAGCTTATTTGGTTTCTTTTGTTTCCGCATGCTTTGGACTTGATCTATTGAAAAGTAATAAAATAAACATACTATACATATATAAAGCAGCTTACATAAACAGTAACCTCCCCCTTAAAAAACCACACTAAATCTCTTTGAAGATTGACGCCATTTTATTACTAATTTAGTTAATTATTTTCAATAATAAAATGGGTCCTAGGACCTTTGACCACAGATGCTTTGACCATAGGGGGTCAAACCTCCTATGATCAAACCCCCTATGGTCAAAGCACCGCTATGGTCAAAGCCCCGCTGTGGTCAAACCCCTATGGTCAAAGCCCCTATAGTCAAAGCTCCTGTGGTCAAAGGTCCGCGCACCATAAAATGTTATTAGCTTATTTAATATAAAGATACACATTTAGGACAAGAATTTTGTGTTACTTAATCCCGCGTGGTTTTTAGTAGTAACATCGACTTATCGTCACATTAAAAAAATGCTAACAAATGTAGAAAAAAAATTCTTATTAGTAACGTGAACTTGATTTTTTGAAAAACGTAGGAAATGTTTACTAAAAAAAATACATGTCTTTGTTATTAGAGTAATAAAACAAAATTATTTGTATTCACAATTACTTCTAGCCAACAACGCAATGCATAACAGCCTTTTAAGAAATAGCGAGAGTGTCTTAAAATAAATTCATAGAATTCTGTCACTTTAAGTTATTTGTGTTAAAAGAAAAGGGTAGGAGGGGTTATAGAAAGAGTTTCTGACAACACGAAATAAAATTTCTACTATTTTATACAAGCTTAGCCTTTAACTAATTGCTGACTTCCTGTTTAATTCTGTGTTTGCTCGATTAAAAAAACACACTTCTTGTCTGACAGAGCCCAGTAAACGTCAAATAAATTAATACTTGAAAGATAATTCCCTGTTACAGACAGTATTTAGTATAATCTAAAGAACATTTATGCACAATATACAATATATTTGACATACATATAATCTACCGCTTTACGTAAACAACACAGCAACAACGTAGAATGAAGATCTCTAGCCTGACTACAAAGAAAACACACTAGATTCTAGGTCTAATCTGTTCACTGACACGTTACATATCGATCAGGTGAAAGTAGCACAAAGTATTGCTGGGGATTCCCCATTTATGTATTGGATAAACCCGAGACTGTTTATAGCAGATGTCTGCATAATATGTTGGTTGAGATAATGCTTTATGTAACTAGACTCTAAGCTGTATATAGTTCAAAACGAATTATGATTTAAGATAATCGACATTTTGATGCTCATGTCACTGATATGATAAGAGGAATGATCTATAATTTGGAACACACTTTCTGAAATTGAAATTATTTTGTTGATTTCGTAAGTAGTCAGTTAGAAAGTATTGAAACTATTACAATAATGTTTTATTAACTACTTACACGTCAGTTCAAAGACAATCTTCAGCTTCAGAACTTTTTTTATTGTAAGTCAATCTAATCTATAAAACGAAACACATTGCTGGCTCGCCATTTTGTATCCCTTCTATACAGGACTTTTTGGATAGAAATGCGTGCACAATCTGGCTAACATTTGTAAAAATAAAATTAGTCACAGGAGGTATCTCTAAACCTAACTATTGTTAAAATAGACCTTAGCTCCGAATTCCGCATTCGTGTATTCGTTTTTACAATATTTTCTTAGGCCTAAATGCCTAACTGTCAAGGTGGTCTCTCGGTGTTAAATTTTCAAAAAATTATGTTGATAAAAATTATTATGGATGAATATATTTTTATAAATAAAAATTAATTTAAAAATTGCTATGGCCAACATCAGAAGGGGAGCTAACTAGAAATTAAATTAATTATCAACTTTTGTAAGCTGCAACTGTTGTATTCAAATATTAGACAACAAAAAGTGCAATGTTAAGTGAAACGTCACACGTTTACAGAATTTGAAACACATTTTGTTCAATGTGCTCACCCTGTTTAAAATAGCATACGCCGCGGATTCACACGATTTTTTTAAAGTTTGGAACGATTGCGTTTCCAATAAATGTTGCATGAAAGCTTACAGAATAAGAACTGTGGCAGTCGGAGCTGGAGCAGACATGTACTAGGACCCTGGCTCCGAGAAAACGTTAGTATCAAAAAGAAAAATCGATCTCAAATAAAAAGAAATCACTGTGACCTGCAAAAGTGACATTAGAGGCTCATAGTAGATTGAAGCATTTTATGTGTGGATAAATGTCTTTCAATACTTGACGTAATTTATCTGTTTTGCTACTTACGCTAATTATGTTCAAATAATGAACTTTTATTTATCGTACTATATAATGTCAAGCAACAGATTTCGGACAAAAGTTGAATATCACTTATTGCAGATTGGCTTTTGGAATGAAAATTGACTTTCGGACACACTGAACTGGAGTTTTAGGTTAAAAGACTATAAATGGAAAATGGGATTTTGTTTTGTGCAGTGCAGCCTACAGACCGTTTCCGACTGGAATCTGGGTCGTCTTGTACAAATTAAATTTCCCTAACTATTATTTCTGACTTATTGCGCTATCTATTTCTGCTATAAGATTTATAGAGAGTGTCTAAAATAAATTATCAGAAATCAGTCAATCTTAAGTATTTGTAATCGACCTTGTAATATTTTATACCAGCGTTGCCTATGACTATTTTAATGTTGACTTCCTGTTTAGTTCTATTTTTGGTCGATTAAAAATACAACCCAGTAGATCTAAAATAAATTAATGATTAATGATGAATCGCTGTTAGAAATAATATGTATTATAATTTAAAGAACATGTAGGCCTAATATACAATATATTCAACATAAATAAATCACTTAAAATCGAGTACTGTACCTTGTGACGTAAACAGCACACCAACAAAGTAGAAAGAACTCTAGCCGAACTACTAGTCGACAAGGAATACACATCAGCTCTTTTCAGTACAATGTCATTCGACACATCGATCAGGTGAAAAAAGCTAAAAATATTGCTGGGGATTCCCCATTATTTTATTGGATAAACCCGAGCCTTTGGGTAGTATTTGTCTGCATATTATGTGGGCCGAGAAATTTTGTCACGTAACTACACTATATAGCCCTAAATAATTTGAAAAAAAAATTACATCACTATAATCGATGTTTTTATGCTCATCACACTGATTTGGTTAGAAGCAGATGTATATTTTGGAACACATATTAAAAAATTGAAATTATTTTGATTATTTCAATTTAACAAGTCAGAGAGTGTTGAATATATCCCAGAACAGTGTTAATAATTACTTACAAGTCACTAATAGAGTTTTATAATTAAATTAATCAACACCTGCAAAAAGTAAATAATAAGTTTATGCTCAGAGAGAAATAATGTTTAGCGTCAGATTCTCCGGGGTTTGTCAAGCTTTATTATATTGACCACTGTATGCGTCGTCCAACATCTCCTTCTGTATTTCAAAGAATGTCTGACCATTCTCCCCAAACGATTCAAGTTTTGTCTGTGTTAAATTTCCTGGAAGATATAGTGTACTGGAATTACCTGGTGCGTTGGTGTGAGTAAACTTATGATGAATGTATGCTTGTATATTTCAGACGTGAAGATATTTAGTAAGTTTTTATTGCAATCTTTGAATTTCACGAGTTGTAAGATGGAAAGCTCTAGTAGAGTTGTCAGTTTTTGTTGGCATAGTTGTATTGAAAGTAATTAGCCTCGTGGTGTTAACTTTGTGTAGTATCTACACTTGCTGCTGGTGGCGTTGTCGCAAAATGGTGATGTTTATGTATTTAGTGATATATTTGGTGTTTTAGTTCTTCTATCATTGTTAAGTCAGGTATTCACTAAGGTTTACTGTCTTGCAGTTTACATTTTTTTTGCGGTGTTCCAAGGCTGATGTTTTGGATTTATTATATTTCGTACCGTTGTAAATCTGATTTGTTGACGTGCTCTATTAGTATAATTATGGGAATAATTTTGGGGTCTACTGCTTGGTATTTAGCCAAACTGTGACATTGGTTGTATAATAAGAACACAGACAATACGTTAATCCTGTTTACCGCCCTGGTAAAAAACAGTTTAGCATAAAAAATACACATTAAAAAACGCGAAAAATGAAAACAGTTAATGGGTTGTTTAAAAAAAATAAAACTTACTAGTGATTTAATAGGAAAAAAAAGTAATTTACCCTTATGTATGTGGACGGAGTGGTCTAGCGGTAGAGAGCTGGAACGCTAACCCGTAAATCTGGAGTTCGGATCCGGGTTCAAGTCAGTAGACTGTCCTTAACTTTGATGTGTACCTAACTCACGTTAGGCGGCTGGGCATACTGCTGACCACATTATCTCTTCATATGCCGAGGTCATAGAAACAAGTGAAAACCACTTCACTTGCCCTATAGACCGTCAGGTTCGAAAGGGAACTTTACTTTACTTACCTTTTTGTGTTGAATTCTACACATCCAAGTCACATAATATTTATATTCAGACCATTGCCAGCTATTATACGGACTGCCAAAGTACAACAGATGTGACGCCGACCAATACAAATTTAACACACCTACTTTAATAGTTCTTTACTTCAGTCAAAACAGTCTTATCATTAATTTTACTACCCCCTGTTTCCGTCTATATTGCGTAAGTTTGGTAGTGCATTATTTTAGTTGCCTTTACAGGTACTAAACATAGAAATTGTTAGATCCAATAATTTTGTTGTCTTCTCACAAACGGTGACTAAGAGAGTGAGCAAACTATCAGTACAGTCATCACAGCTATTATCAATAGTAGGAGAGTAGTAGGAGTATAATTCAATTAAAATTGATCAAATCACAATGGGGATATATATGTTTAACGTTTAGTAATTTGCTGTTTGCTACAGAATACGGTAGCAGATAGATGGAAAAAGTAATTAATAAAACAATTTCAATATAGCTGGGGGGGGGTTGTGTTTTAAGAGTAACATTTATACGACAGTAGGTTATCGATAGCTAAAAAAAAAACTGCCACCGTTAATGAACGGCCTTTTTTTTTTACCTCCTTTACTGTTCTGTCAATGTTTATATAAATCTCTACAACAACATGCAAACAATTATACCAACTCAATGTTTAGACACTAAACTTTTATTAACTCTAGACTGCTTATTAGGAAATTCATAAATGATTATATAAAAGTTACACTTTAAAAGTTGGAGATGATTGTTGGAAATAGTTTGACTTTGCAAGTTTTTTACAGGAACATGTTTAGATTAAAATGTACAAGACATTCAAAAGATTTACAGTAATTAAGGAGTTTTACATTTTTTAACATATACATTAATATGAAGATGGACATTGTCATTGAAAATATAGCTTCAAAGATGCATCAATACAAATGTTTAATTTTTCTTTGAAATTTCGCATCTATAATGTAGTAAAATATAAAAGACATTAAACTCGTGGATAGATTATAATAATTATGAATATACATTTGAAAGTTGATTTATGTAAGCCAGAGTATAATACACGTACGCTTCAAACATTCTGGTGCATTCATTGAAATATGTATAATTTTTGTAAAAATGATGAAAAAACTAGACTAAGTAAATTACTCCATAGAAACTTAGATCATTACGCGTTGGAAATCAAAACGCAAGATATAGACAGTAAGCTGCGAAGAGCTTGATGTTTCCTATGTATAGGGCCCCTCTCTCTCCAAACAGTTGATGCGCTATAGGCAGAAGATTAACCAATAAACAGCTAGCAACTATTAATTTTAACATCCAAAATAACCACGGACACTGCATATATCTAACATCCAACTAGTAAAGAACAAACAGGGTCTAAATATCCTCTATACGTTTCACAACCACCACCTGCACTGTAGGGGTCGTCCATATATGACGTCACACTCGAACGAGGGAGGGGCTCCATAATTTTGTGACGGTGAGTGACGAGGAGGAGAGGGGAAGTTCTGATGATGTGACGTCACACTTTTGCGTTATAAAAACAATGTTAGAAATCGTATTTTAGCAGTTATTTCGCGTTTTAGAAAACTGGTTTAATAAGTTATAATAGAAATTGATAAAAATACTCTGTTGACTGAGTTCAGACAAGATTTCGGAAAGGTATCGATGTTTTAAGAAAAATTCAACTGCAATTTTGAGGGGAGTAGTAGGCTGAGGTGTGACGTCGGTTTAGGGGGTGTAGACCTTTTGTGACGATGTGTGACGGAGGGGGGGGGGGGAGGTAAAAATCATCAAAAAAAACCAAAACAAAACGATGACCCCTGTACCCAACCAAACCGCCATTGGAGCATGGTTCACGTAACGGCAGAAGAGTCTATAGCTGCTCTGTCACAAGCTCCTCTAGACTTGCCAATGAAGATGTTTTGATTGCTGTCCATGGCGAGGTACTTTACGTTCTCCACATTTAACTCGTTGCAATGATGTATTATCATTGGATTGTAATGGAAACTCACTTTCCTGAAAATAGTTATTTAAATTCACATGACTTAAAAAAAAATAAAAATTAAACAATAGTATTAATTTAGCTTATAAGTAGGCAAAGTGAATTTTGTAGGAATGCCAGTCGAATTACTAATAATATGTTATAAATTCTCTTAAAACCTTTTAAATATACTTTGTTTTGATAGAACGTAGTAGGTCTTTATAATTTTTAAATTTAATGTAAAAACACAACCTCTATATTTTAATACAATACGGAAATGTTCAAACTTACATAACCGTCATTCCGCTATTTCTTGCTTTGTCTTTTTCGGACATTTTCGCCATTTCTTTCTCAATGACATTAGTACCATCAAGTAATGGAAAATAGTCATCTAATTGAGTCACAGATTTTGTTTGTGTTCGTTTGGTATCTTCAACATTCTCGATGTAGCTCTCCTCCAATATGTCCACACTATTGACATTAATCTCTTCTTGTGTTTTTACAGTTGGTGCAATGTCAGTATTTTTGGTAGTTTCAACACTTGCATCTGGTGTAGTAGAAGAGGCTGTTGGTGTTGTATTCATAGATGGTGCAGTATCATTACTTGGGGTAGTATCATCTCTTGCATTTGGAGTATTTGTAGAAGGAGTTGTATCCACAGATGGTGCAGTATTATTACTCGCGGTAGTTAGAACACTTGAAACTGGCGAAATGGTACAAGCATTTGTAAGTGTAGGCGGTGCAGTATTAATATTTGGGGAGATTTTATCACTTGCAACTAATGTAGAATTACCGGCTGTCGGTTTTATATATGTCGTTACAGTATTATATTCCGTGAAAGTCTGAGAATTGTCCTCTAACGTTAAATGCTTTGTCTGCGTCCAGTAGCATTTGGAAATTTTATTCGTTGACATTGGTTTTATTTGCGTAGCTTTGGTTGCGTTTGTTGATGTGGTTTCAGCGGTGGTAAATAACTTTTTAGGGTTAGTGCTAACAATTGGTGTAATTGTAGTGCCTACTATTTGCGTTGTGTCTGTAGCTGTTGAAGTATCAACAGCTAAAGCTAGTGCTGTGGTACAAGATGTTACTGCTGTATCTGTATTTTTTTCAGTACCTACTCTCACAGCTTGTGTCGTGGTGTCAGCTGTAGAGAAAAAAATTCTTTAGGTGAACAAAAGTGTGAAATATATCATGAAAAGTTTTATAATAATATTTCATCTGATATAAGCCAATAGAATTGATTTCACGAATGGCATGATCGAACTGCTATTATTATGCTGTTATTAAAAAATGTAGTAAAAATGTAAAATCATTTCTAATCCTTGTTAGTAGGACTAAAATGTAGATAGAAAGGTACTGTATTTATAAATAAGTGTAAATAAGCGAGCACAGGTAGCAGTTAATAATGTTTAAAAAAAATGCTCACCTATCATTGATTCAAACTTCGTTTCACTTTTTGAACAGTCCAAAAGCGCGTTTATTTTCTCTGTATTTTCTTTTGATGACTTCGCACCGTGTTCTCTTAGAACAGCAACAGCTTCATCATTTGAATACATAGTGGCCACATCCAAGGCTGTTTGACCGTAAATATCTTCAATGTCAAGACTAGCGCCATTTTGGATCAGCGCTCGTATGACGTCAACCATCTTATGACTTTGGCTAAGTTGGAATGGCGTTTGACTTCTCTGACAGATGTAATGTAAAGCTGTACGGTTCTTTATGTCTTTAGCATCAACACAAGCTGTAAATTGCATTAATTCTAAAACTGTTTCCCCATTCCAGGATTTTGCAGCATAAAGTAATAATGCTGTTTGACCATCTTTGTCTCTGATGTTTGCTGAGGCTCCAGCTTTAAGCAAAATAGCGACTTTTTCTTTATTACCCCGCTCCGCTGCGTAATGTAAAGCTGTTTTTCCCAAATGGTCGATGCTATTAATAGCCGCACCTCTTTCTAAAAGCAGCTTCACGAGTTTCTCACTTTCAGCAGTATGTAAAGCTGTCATGCCTCTAGAGTCAGCCTGATTTACATCAGCTCCTACATCCAATAGAATTTGAGCTAGATCTTCTAGTCCGTATATAGCGCACATGTATAAAGCTGTCCAACCGTTATTGTCACGGATATTTACATCAGCGTTTGCAGCCAACAGAATATCTATAATTTCCATATTGTATTCACGTCTAACACACACATGTAAAGCTGTTCTTTGTCCATCATCCTGTGCATTGACGTTTGCTTTATATTCCACCAGAAGTTTAACAAAATCTTTGTGACCGTATAATGCACTAATATGCAGAGGTGTTCTTCCTGGACAATAATTTCCTACTGTTTTTACGTTTACGTCCGCTCCTCCAAGTAACATTTGTGCTCCAAGAAGTATGTTATTCTTCTCTGAATAAATATGCAAATGAGCCATCCCACTTGGATTCTTACTGTTAATGTCAATATTTAATTTAGAAATAATGTCTCTTATCACCATGTTACTATCATAATCAACAAAATTAGACATAATTTTCTTTTTCTAAAAACTCTTGATCCTCGTTCTTCTCACAATTAAATGTATAGCAAAGCACAGGAAAAACAATTGTGAACAGAGCAGGAAGTCTATACTCTGTTTTGGTTTAACCTGAAACGTAAGGGATATATAATTTAAAATTTACATGAGGTGTTATCCTAATCCCGATTTAGTTAAATTAACAACTTTTCCGTTTGTGATGGTAAGCTTGTGGTAACTAAACAGCCTCTGAAAAGCTGTACATTTTGTTTCTCCAGTTAAATTGGTAACATATAAAACAGCGAAAACAAACTCTGGCAGAGATTTTTTCATGTCTTTTTGGCTCCCCCCCCCCATCCCCACATTCCAACGAACAAAAAAGTATTTATATACAAAATATATACTTAAACCAGTGTCCACTCCCCTCCCCTAGAAGTTTACGACCGAAAACGTCAAGTGTCCCCACCCCCAAGGAGATAAGTAGAGGAAAGAAACACATCCGTTTTACATATCCTTTATGTTTAAGAGGTTTTAGGTGCTTATTCCACAGGTGCTTTGATAATAGGTGGTTTGGCCACAGGTGGTTCGAGGATTTGTCTATAGGCGGCCTGTCTACATGTATAATTTATAATGATAGTAATAATAAATTGTTGTTTAATTTAGATTCTTGATAAATTAATACAGTTTTTTATGACAAGGTTCCTTCGATGGCTATAAATAGAAATGTACCTGTACTAAAAATGTCAATGACAGTTATTTTAGTCCACTTGGTAGGCATCTAGATTTATCAATACACATAAATTGAATACATGTTATGCTTATACTTTTGTCCAGTTTAATGTTAACACGTATTGTAATGTGTAGTGAACTAAAGTATTTTTTAAAAGAAAAAACGCATGGTATTGTATACTTATTTAATTTCAGCATCTTTTTAAAGACACTTTTGTTTATTGAACTACCGCGCCGTTATTGGAGTGACTAATATAACCTCTCGCTAAGGTAAATCGATTTAAACAAAGCCAGAAACAGCTCCTTAGCGACGCGAATCCGATCAATAAAACACATACATAGAAAATGATTGATGTTTGTGTGAGGATTAACGAAAAAAATATTCGTAACTATAAATGTTTGAAACTATCACCGAAACTATAAAAATTAGAATTTTAAATATAATTTTTACAGTTAATTGATTTTCGATAACAAAGTTGATAGCCTGTTTGATTTTATTTTTGAGGTTGAAATAATTTAAACGTTTGAAGTAAATATATTTCATTTGAAAAAAAATTTCCCAACTTCTACAGACGGATTATTTAAAATGTCATTTAAACATAATGTAGACTAGACAATACTTAACAAAAATGAATTACATAAATCTTGTACTCTACCTGTTTTAAGTAGAACCAGCAGCCAGACAACCAGCCTATGGAAGTGACACAAACCAGCTTTCTCTGGTACTATATATAGCACACATCGTCCGGTTAATTAAAAAATCAATACAGCATCCGAGTGATTTCCCGATCGGTTTTTAGTGGGTTTTTCTTAGGGCTTTTACGTAACTTGTCCAGTGTGTGTATGTGTGTGTTTGTGTGTGTGTGTGTGTGTGTGTGTGTGTGTGTGTGTGTGTGTGTGTGTGAGTGTGTTTGTGTGGCTCAGCAAATCTTGGAATCTTAATTTAACCCACACCTATTGTCCGACAAATTTGGCACAGTTGTAGATCATAGATGACTGACAATACATGAATGTCCGATTTTTTTAGCTAATTAGATAGACAATTACGCATTAAAATATAATTTAAACATAAATAATTTCAATAATAAAAGGGGAGATTACTAGATTAAAAAGGCGTTCTCTTGATTAGAGGATCGTCTAGGCCAAATTATGTTTCTTCATAGGCTTCGAGAGGTGGGTGCGGGTGGTGCGGACCACACCGGGTGAAACTATTTAGGGGGGGGGGGTGACACCAAGACGAAAAATTGCGAAATGTATTGAATAAAAATGCTTTTTGCCTGTTCAGTTAATGAATAATTGGAGTTTAAACGTCTTATAAGTACACATTGACCTTCTCGACAATACATACTCACTCACTCACACACACCCACACACACACACACACACACATATATATATGTATATATATATATATATATATATATATATATATATATATATATATATATATACTTTCTCCCCCTTTGGAGTGTGTAGCGGGGGGGGGGGGGGGGGGTGACACAATGAAGTGCCGCATCGGGTGACAAATGACATAGAGACGCCACAGTGTTTAGTTCACGGTTGCCTGTTTTCGTCGATGTTCTTAAGGGTAGGACGGAGTTTAACTCAAAAGTTTTTGGTCAAAGTCGGGAGTTCGTGTGTGACGAAGGGGTGGAGTAGAGTTAGACATGGTGACAGAATGGTTTATGTGGCGTAGTGCAGCACATATAATCGGTTAAGTTCGTCTTCCAGTAAACTATATCAAATGAAAAAACATAAAAACGAGAATGACAATCGGTGAAAAATTATTGTCGGCACTCATTATACCTACAAGAGTTTAATGAAAGGTATTGATGAATGAATGGTTGATTGAATAGATGGACGCATGGAAGGATGGATTGATGGATGAATGGATGCATCGACGGATAGACGGATGGACTGAAAACAACAACAGAAACTATTATGTAATATAATTCGTTTTAATTCGAATGTAAGAAAAAAAATAAAGCTTCTTAATCACTGTTTTGCTTTATTGGAACGGCAAAGCTTCAATTCATTATATAATTCAACGCACACAATAGCCTCCTCTAAAATTAAAATACAATAAATTATACATATATATATATATATCTATATCTATATCTATATCTATATCTATATCTATATCTATATATATCTATATATATATATATATATATATATATATATATATATATATATATATATATTTATATATATATATAATATATATAAATAAATAAATAAATTTAAAAAAAAATTATATATGTATATGTATATATATATATATATATATATATATATATATATATATATATATATATATATATACATACATACATACATACATATATATATATATATATATATATATATATATATATATATATACATACATACATATATATATATATATATATATATATATATATATATATATATATATATGGCGAGAGAGAGAGAGAGAGAGAGAGAGAGAGAGAGAAAGAGAAAGATTTCAATCAATTATCACCCATGACCACCATGTACAAAAAGCCGGATCGAGGACTCAGGGCGCGAAATTACACCCTGAAGGGTCACCGTCTCTCCTTTCCTCTCATTTGATTTTTTATGAGTGTCAAGGCAATCAGATTAGAGGTTTTTAAAATGCACTCACTCACGCTCTCTTTCACACACACCCACCACACATACACACACACATACACACACACATATCTATATATATAAAAAGCAATGTATGTGTGTGTGTGTCCTTTATGCATTACTACACCTCTCATCACATCGCCGAAAAAAAAAATTCAAATTCGCAGGGGTGGCGCCCCGACAGGGCGCGATTTGTTTTTTTTCTACATACGGTATATAAAAATAAAAGTCGATTTTGGTTTGGCATCGTTCATCCGATAGCCATGAGACTTTAAGGAGTTCGTTATACCAATCTAGGGAAGGGTTCTGTAAAAAAATAATTTTCAATTTCGCAAGGGCGGCGCCACGGAAGGGTCGGATTTTTCTCTATATACGGTTTATAAAAATAATAAAAATGAATTGCAGTGACACCGTTCATCCGATAGGCATGAAACTTTGGGGAGTTCATTATAAAACTCTAGGGAAGGGTTCTGTAAAAAATCATTTTTAATTTCGCAAGGGCGGCGCCACGGGAGGGTGCGATTTTTCTCTATATACGGTATAATTTTTAAAAAGTCGATTTTGGTGTGACACCGTTATCCGATAGCCATGAGACTTTGGGGGAGTTGATTAGAACAATTCAGGGAAGGGTTCTGTAAAAAAAGATCCTTTTTTAATTTCGCAAGGGCGGCGCCACGGGAGGCTGCAATGTTTCTCTATATACGGTTTATAAAAATAAAAGCCTATTTCGGTTTCACATCGTTCATCCGTGTACCATGAAACTTTGGGGAGATGATTAGATCACTTAATGGTAGGGTTCTGCAAAAAAAATTGTTTAATATTGCAAGGGCGGCGCCCCCAGGGGGGGGGGGAGCGATTTTTTTTCTCTATAATACACGGTATATAAAAAATAAAACTCAGATGCGGTTCATCCGAGTGCGATGAAACTTTAGGAAGTAGAATATTTCTGCAAAAAAGAAAACTAAAGTTTCTTATGGGCGGCGCCATATAGGGTACAACTTTCGTCAATACACGGTTTGGCGCCCAGAGTTTTAGAGCGACTATGTTGGCACTTGGCATCAGTTAATCGAGCGTCCTGCATAGCGAGTAGGGGGTACTACTATATTCAGCGGTAAAACTACAACAGTCTTGTAAAAATAACTTTGTAACGCGAAGAAAATCCTTCTGTACAGTTTCGTCACCTTGCCAAAGATGAAAAAATAACTTTCTGAATATGAGGAGCCTACTGTAGAGTTTCGTCACTTTGCGAATGATGCAATAAGCATCTACTATTAGACAATCCAGTCAGAAATTGAGATCGAGCATCTAATAATAGACCATTAGTAACGCTAGCATATTGCATCAGTCACACGGATGTTTAAAACATGTCAAATACTTTTTTACGTGTTAAAGAAAAAAGCCTGTTCATTTGTGGCACTTTAGCGAATGTTGAAATCTGCATCATTATTAACAGGATGCTATTTGGCACGATGGCGCCTATTACTTTTAAGGAGCCAGTGGTCGTACGCCGCGCCTATGCGGTAGTGTAATCGGGGGGTGGGGGCCATGAGAGCGCCCCTGTACGTCTCTGACACATGGGCGGTCACCGAAGTGTGTTCTAACATATTGTTTCGGTG